CATGAAAGTAACTTTTCCTATTCTCACCTTTCAAGGTTCATCCGTGATTAAACTTGAACCTATTTCAACAATTTACTCAAAGTGAAAAGACAAAAAAACCTATTGAAAAATCAGCATGGAATGAGAAAAGAAAAATGTTGAATCTTTACTCAATGTTTACCTTTAAAAATAGACCTTTTACCTTAACCTTTCTCCTGGTGAATGATGAATGTATTCATGCAGCACATTCAACTCAACATCTCAACATTTTCATTTGGAATATGCAAAAATAGAGTGACAAAAGTTGAACCATTATTCTTTCCCTCCCAGAGCTGTTATCAAAATAACTTTTGTGAACATGTGATAACATGATTGCTTTACATGAAGATGATAATGGGCCGAGAAGGTAAAAAGAATGTAAATTTAAACATTTTATCTGTTACTTCGTTTAGCCAACAATTTTCAACTTTTCATGATAACTTTTCAGAACAATATTCAGTTCAATGATTTGTCTTTTTCCAATCACCTTCTTTGGATACACTTTTTTCCCTGGTTTAATTGTTTTCCCACAAGTAACAAGAAAATTATTTCCAAGCAAAGGAAAAAAGAAACTATTTTATTCAATTTTTTTGGTCAATCTTTTTCAATTGGCCAAGTGAAGGAAAAAATGGTCAAAAATAATGATCGATATTGATCAACTTGAAACGCTATTCAATGTTGAAGGTAATTTGGTTTTCAAGGTAAATGAACAATGCTTACCGTAAACTTCATTAACTATGGACATTGGCATTACAAGGATTGACACAAGAAGGTCTGCAATGGCCAGGGAAAGAAGGAAAAAGTTGGTTGCATTTTGAAGTCGACGCTCCAAGCAAATGGCCAGACAGACTAGAATGTTGCCGAAACAGCCGACGAAGACGAGTAGACCAAGCATCAGGTAGAACCAGTTGTACTCGATGACGAGTTGATTCACATGATTGGATGCATTGAAAGGTGTTAATCCAATGGAATTGTTATCCACAGGGAAACTTGGCTCACCATCATTATCTTGAGATGCGTTAAAGGTGAAGATTGTTTCATTGGATTTAAAGATCACTGAAGGTGATAATGATGATGACCACCAATCACTAGAAACTTGGTTTTCCGTGACATTTGACGAGGTTAATCCAATGGTTAAATCTGTTAATCCACTAAACTGATCATCAAATTGATTGAAAATTTTACTCTCATTGTTTGGTTGGCGAAAAGATGATTGACTCTCATCTTCATTGCTATTGCTATCAGAGCTCATATTTACTAATGGAATGGTTAATGAAAAACTTGGAAAAGATTCCAATGAACTGGAATAATCGCCATTATTTAATTTAAAAGGTGAATCCAAGGGAAAGGATGTCGACTGAAGAAATGGCCTTTCACTATCTAATGTTAAACTATGATCATTATAAGAATCAGATTCACTTGATGATGATGATTGCATGATTGGTGGTTGGGATGAGGATGAATCAATTGGCTCGTGTAACAACCAATTTGATGATGAACTTAGAAAACTTGAAATTGGTGGGAAAAATGGAGATTCACCATTCAAATGGGAATGTGAATGGTAATGAGGTGAATCGTGTTTATAATCACTATTGTTGTTCCGTCTAGTATCGAGGTAGACTGTTGATGATTCCCGGGTCGATGAAACATTAAGAATATTTGGAAGTGAATAAAACAATAATAAAGTTAAATTGGTTACAGCATCAGCGGTTAAATTGAATGATGTCGTTGATCCACCAATGAGATCCATAATCAACTTGAGGAAAAAGATTAAAACTGGAAATAACTTATGGAAATTGGAGGAAAAAATTATTCAACACTTTATCGAAATGTTGACTTTGGAAGAAAATTCAATTCTTTGTTCAAACAATTGCCATTCACTCATGAAACATGGCAAGGTTATACACTTGGAACCGGTAAATGTGAGTCGAAATTTTCATCCCTTTTCCATTTCAATAATTTCGTTGAGCGTTTTGGTGTTTTGGTTTCAATAAAATTGTAAAATCCTTTTCATTTCCAGGTTTTCAGTTGATCACAAAATGGGTTTTGTAAAGCAAAAGGTTTTCACTGAAAGAATCAACTTTATCAAGATATTAATGATGAAGATAAACCTTGACAAATTGACTTTTCATATTGCACCGACTTTGATTACTTTGATGATGATGATGCTTGATGATAACCAAGTTGGTACAAAGATTCATGGTTAAATGATGAAATTGATGTTTTCTTCATTTTTTTACTTTTCTCCTTTTCTTTTTTCTTCTTTTCGTCTCTTCCTATTCAACTGTTGTAGACCAAAATGTGGATTGAAACAACAACACTGTTCACTATTATTGAATGGGAGCAGAAAAGGAAAAAAAACAAAAAGTTTCTTTGACAGAACTTCATCACTTTTCTTCTTCCATCATCACTGCCATTCTCTTCATCCTCATCTTCATCTGTATTTCGCCATCTTTCAACTTGTTTGTCGAATCATTTTCAGTGTTCCTTTTCAAGTGATACTTTTCCCTGCAACAGTCGCAGTCAGTAATACATTGAGCACAGTGTTAATCATGAGAGTAATGAGAGTGATAATGATTATAAGTACAATAATATCATGTTGATTCTGCCACTGATTGATGTAAAGTGAAGAGGCAAGAAAAGGATTTTCCTTCTTCCATCTCACTCAGTGTTTTTTTACCATGGAGAGAGACTCAGAATTACCAAACATGTCTCTTTGAATCTATTTTTTTGCTGCTTCTTCTTCAGCCAACTTTCTTTGCTTCATTTCAATCTACATTATCATGGTTATAGGAAAGGCTGAATAACAAAGAAACCAACATTTATAATCAAACATCTTTCAAAAGATGATTCAAAAGGAAATTCAAACAATTTGTTGCCTCTGTTGTTAAATAATTATAATCAGGGTCTTTTCCTATGAGGAAAGATTTATTCATGTCATTTCATTATTTGTTAACATTGATTCAAGGTAAACTTTTCCACCTTTTCTGATTTCCCTCAAACTCATGTGTACTCATATTCAACTGAAAGAGAGGAAAACAAATTGATTAAACTAATCAGCCAATTCAAGATTCACTATTTGCTGATTAACTCATTTTTACTTTAAACAATTTCATCAAAATTCAACATTCAATTTTAGTCGACTTATCAAAATTTATCATTTTCATTGGTCGACATTTTTTTTAATTAATCGCTGGATAAGCATAAAATGTTTAACTGTCGCTAGTATTTGGTTTTGTGTGACTCTTCTGACTAATTGTTGTTTCAACTGAATAATAACTTTGATCATTGAAAGTTCAAGTAAAATGAACAATATGGTGACTCCTATTGGCAGAGCTTCTAATTTTGTTGAATATCAGAAGATTGAAGTTACTTATTGGAGAAGCTAATAGATGGCGGCTCTGATTTTAATTGTTTGGTTCAGAAGTTTTGTATTGGGTAATGAGCGAATTTTCATTTTGAATATTCTTTTCTCCAAAGCAGTCGTTTTCGCTCTCCTTTTTGTCTGTTTGTTGACAGTTTAAATTTACTCATTTTGTCAATTTTTTTTGTTCTTTCCTTGTTTTTTTGTTTCATTCTGTGCAGTTAAATGCACTCTCTTTGTCTTTGTGTTTATTATGGCAACAATTATTACAAGAGCCAAACGTAAACGTGGTCTTCAGAGTCCTCAAAGTGAATCATCAATCATAAAAAGTGCAACCAGTAAAGTATTGGATTATCTTCATGCCACTTCCAAGTCTACCATTTCTGAACCCATTCCTTCGGAAATAGAACGGATTACTGCCTATTATGATGAAGATGACTTGAAGGATCCATTTTATATTGAACAAGGAAAATTCAAGCGATCAGCTCGACTCATTTGGAAGTCAATTAAAATTGTTGGTGCCTTTGACCAAAATCTACTCGATACTATCCAGGAAAGGGTTGACCAGACTAATGAAATTGATCCTGATGAAAGTCAATTTGAAGACTTGGACAATACTATGCCTTGGAATGAAGATGATTTGGTTTCCAAAGGACCCAATTTGACCAGTGAAATAATCAAGTCGATAAAGAAAGGAATGTTGAATGGTACAATGTACAACCTTGGTATCGATTCATTGAAAATAATTTTCAATAGTCTTACCGTCACTGATTGGATAAGCATACATGAGAAAAGTTTTATTCGTATTGTTCGGTGTCCTTTTTGTCCGGTTGAATTTAGCTTGGCCAAGATTTATCATCACATTGAACGTTTCCATACCGGCAGTTTAGTTTGCTGTATCGATTGTGGCAAATTACTGGCGACAGAGTCTGCAAGTTCCGAACATCTCGTTGGTTGTAAACCGGCTCAGTCGGCTAAACAAATTTATAAATTTGAACAATCTGCTAATCATGGTTCTTCCGTGATAACCAGTGATATCCAAAGAGATGTAAAATGGGTAGTGAATTGGCGACCAAGAATAGACTCATTTCTTGAGTCAATTAAAATTTATGAAACATCAGATTACATTTCTTGTACAGATTCTAGTGAAAGTGAAGAAGAGTAACAATTTGTTCACTTTAATTTATCAAATTAATATTTATCAACTTATTTATTTTATTTTTCTAAATGTTATCATTAAACTGACTAATATCGCAGATTAAAATGGCCTAAAAATCATGCTACATTTTCACAACTAACTACCTCAATCAAAGTTTATCTGTTGTAATTGTTGTCTATTATCAAATTTTGTTTTTTTTGTTATTATTCTAATTCCATTTAAAGTTCGTTAATTTTTATTAAAAAAGTTCACTTATTTAATCAATTTTTGTGCTTTCTTTCGCAATTAAGTAAGTCACTGACTTGTCAATCTGATCAATCCTAGGTAAATTCAATTGTTTCATTAATTTGGATACTTCTAAAGTCTATCAGCTTTTGACTTACGAAAAATTTATGTAAAAGTAGCCGGTTCCCGCTAGATGTCGCTCTGTTCAACTGTTATGCAAACTTACGATTTCAACTTTTGCTGTGTTAGTCCTTTATCTCGCCTTAACCTCGGCTAGTCGATTAGCTTTGTTTAAATCTTATTTTATTTGTATCTTTACAATTTTTTTTTACTCAGTTGTTCATTTATTATTTTAATTTTGTTTCTTATTGTGATAAATAGATTCTCAATATCAATGGATCCTAGAAGCTTACCTTGTGGTTACAACTTTTGTATGGATGCCATTTTGGGAAATGTGAATAACTCACCTTACTCGTCGTTTAATTCCTCACATTCATCGCCATATTATCAACAATTAGCACCAAATGTTACCTTTTTCACCAATCATTATCCAGTTTGTCATCCGGCACAAGAAGCAATCCAAACTTGTCCACAAAAAGTTTCTAAGAAAAAATCTGGTACACGAGCTGTTTTTACAAGTGCTCAACGACAAAATTTGGAAAGTGTGTTTCTCAGGCAACAGTATATCAACAAAATTGATCGAAAAAAATTAGCTGAAGCTTTGAATCTTGCCGAGCCTCAAGTAAGTATTATACCAATTGTTTCTTTTTCATTTGCATTATTCAATTCTCCTCAAATTTTCGCCTATTTATTTGCTTTTTCTTGTTTTTGCAGGTAAAAGTTTGGTTCCAAAATAGGCGAAGCAAAATGAGACGAGAACACTCTAAAGCTATGGGAGAAGTGCCAAGGGAACAGTTTAGATTCAATTCCTCAAATTCATTATATAATATGCATGATGACGATGATAGCCGAAGAAGTGCTTCAAGTTCCCTTGAGATAGATTTGAGTCAATGTGTCGATGAATATCTTAATAATGAAAATAATCTAAATTAAGAGCCATTTTTTATCCAAAAATTTACCCGCCATTTGCTAAATGAGGAATAAGTGTTTCTTTCCCCCCTTTTTTATAATATTTTCCACCTTTAAAAGGATTCGTAAGTTGAACGTTGAGACTTAATCAGAGATATTAAGTTTAAAGGCGCCAAGAAGGAGAGATAAACATCTCTACCCTTTATATTGGCGGGTAAATTTTTGTAAAAACAAGCCACCAATTTGTCTAGTTTTAATTACCATTTTAAAAATGTTTATTATTGCCTAAATTTTTACATTGTTTCCACTATCATCTTCATCTTACTTTCGTCTAAATTAATTAATAAAACTAATAATTGAAATGAAAGCTGCATGCGTCTAATCATAAGGTTAATTATGTTCATTGTTTTCTTCAACTCTTTGTTTATTTAGATTCCTCATTTCTCTTGTTTAACAAAAATCATCATCATTATCATCATTATTTAAAGTTAACGATCATGTATACTTAAGCTAATCAAAACTGATATTTTGTTTACACTGGTAGTTGAAAGTGATTGGATAACAGACGATAATTAACGGCTAATTGTTTATGCCAATGTAAAAACAGTTTAAACTATAATTATCCATTAAAACCGGAGAAGACATGAAGTCGGAAAAAAAGCATTGAAGCTAATCATCAGAATGATTGCAATCGGGAATTTATAAACTAACTGAGAACACACGTTTACTACAGAAACAGAATTGAGATTTAATCTTTTTCTTTTCTTTTTTTTCTTCCAGCAAAAATCAATCACATCAAGTAAACATTGATTCAAATTCAATGTTAATTAAATCCGGTCTTACGGTTTATTATCAAGTCCAAAAACTCATAATGAACAGGAATTTAATCACAATTGAATAAACATAATCACTAATATGGAAATTAAATTTACATTGAATAGCGTGAGAAACATTTGTATCTTCCTAAGCAACTTAAGTCTCGAGTTTTAATACAATGGCGACACTGAGTCTCGCAGGGATACGCTAAGAATGGCAAAATTGCGACAAAACAAAGACTAATTATAATTTGCAACGTTTTCATTGGTTAACCATTTAACACTCTTTAACCACTTTAACCATTAATCCTTTTATTTTCAACTTTTGGATCATATTTTTTTAAGATAAGCCTCAAGTTCAATTTTTAACTTGAATTCAGTTTAACTTTCGTTTCCTTGGATTTTTCATTATTGCAGCTTTAAAGATTAAATTTTGCAACAGTTATTCATCTTACCTTTATCCAAGTCAATATTACTTCATGTTAATCAATTGGCTATTAAATAGCTAAATTTAATTGAATGATTATTAACCACAGGAAAAAGGTACTTAATCAATTTATAGCTTGATTTATTCCTTGATTTCAACATTGTTAGCAAGTGATGAGTTATAATTGACAGTCTCAATTTACTAAATTGTTTTTCACACAAAATGGTGAAAAGTCCATCAATATTGTAAGTCAATACAGTGTAAGCTATATTAACAATTAATTGATATTCAATTTTTAAAATTGTTATTTAACAATTGAAATGTGTTTCAGTTTAAGCTTTATTTAGGCGAAACATTTTGAAAGAGGAATTCGGTTCCAATTTTGAGATTTCAAGACAATCTTTCAAGAAAAATGACATTTTAATATTTTTCGAGCAATTTGTTATGTTTTATAATTATACCAATAGATGGCAACTATAGTTATACTATACTTAAGATTCGGTTTAATTTTTCTAATCAATTTTGTAATCAATATTTTCCGTTAACTTCATAACTACGATGACTTCAAATCAATAGTTCATCAATTTTTGTTTTATTACAAATTAGTTTAATTTAATAAGTTTTGTTTCCAATTAAATTCTTTGATAATGCCAAAATTTTATAGCAGATCAAAGCGTAGAAGTGGCTATAACGAGTTAACTATCATCAAAAAGGCCAACATTAAAGTGCTCTCATACTTGAATGAGCTTCGCGAATCGGATATGGGTTCCTGTGGTTTCGATCTTCTACCATTTCTAGACAATTTTCATATTGTCAAATGGACTAACAATTGGCGTCCACGAATATCTACGTATCTTGTTTCGGTCAGTAATTATGAATTAGTGGATCAACTAACAACAACGGACTCTAGTGAAAGTGGCGGAGATAATTAAATTAGATAAAATACAATTCTCATGTTCGATGGAACTGTTATAAAAATAAAAGACAGTGTTTCTTTGAAAAGGTCAGTTTAATTGTGTTATTTTTCCCAACTTTAACCATGTTCGTAGTTGACAAACCAAGTTACTATATTGACAATAGATTGGGAAAATTCAATAAGTAAATGGTAATCCCGGATTGCTTCAAGTGTTCAGAATAGTTGGTTTACTAATTGACACTCTTTTTGATATTATAATTTTCAAAATCACAAGTTTAGTTTTAAAATAATATATTGACAAGACTCTACAGTTTCACAGGGTTTTAAGGTAGTTAATCATTTGATTTGTTTCATTCGGTGGGAATTATGATCACGTTGTTAGAAATTGGGTTTTGTTTCTATTATTGTTCAGTTAAAATTGACTATTGAAAGCTTTTTTGACTTGCAAAGCTTATCATGATTATTAGTGAAATGGTACAGAAAGGGAAGGAAGGTGATTTGTGTATAAGGTGCACAGCACCCAAGCTGATTTACAGAATGTACAGCTGCTTTGAAAGATTATGATGAAATGTCTAATTCTTTGGAACTCTGGTCTTTAGTTTTAGTCGTGGTAAATGTTCGTTGATAGAGAGTTTGATTTCTCATTTGTCCACAAAGCAAATGTAGATCAGTAATTTTTAAGACTCTGTTTTGTTCTTTGTAAAGAATTTTTGGACGATTTGAGTTATTCGAGTTGCGTTGAGAAGAAATCCAAGTAAAAGCTAACAATAAAGGGTAAAGAAAACAGAATCTATTATCAAAAGAAATCCTGAGGGATCCTTCCTGTTCTCTAGAATCCCTGGTTAAATGTGTCATCTGGATATCCATTTGTTGTCTTTGGAAATTAAAGATTATGAAAATTCATTTATTATGTCGTCTAATCTGATTAATGCGCTGAGATATTGTTTTGACAGGCGCTCCGAGAAGAAGGGTAACATTGGAAAAAGACCTTCCATGAAACCAATATGACCACCTCTGTGCGTTACAACTAAGGCAACGTGGCTTGACTTTTTCACTTCTTCAATGGGTAAGGCTAAGGATGAAACAAAATAAGAGTAAATGTAATTAGATATCAATACTAAGGAAAATGAATGATTAATGATAGATGAGAAAGGATTATCAACTTACAATATATTGGTGCAAACATATCATCAGCTGCATTAATGCAAAGTGTTGGTCGTTTAATGTAAGATAATTTACTTTTGTTACTTGCTTCCTTGTAATAATGTTCAGGTGTCTTAAAGTTCCACATTTTGATGGTAAATCGTTCATCAAATTGTCTAAGAGTTGTGCTTTGAATTACTTCATGATAATCAATTTGATGGCATTGTTCCAAAATGTGTTTTTGTTCCCTTACAACTCTACACAAGGATTTAGCTAGATGTTGATTGAGAAGCATGTTCAATCCCGGTTTAGACATGCTGCTACAACCTTCCACTAAATCGTAACAAACAGAGATTAACATTGCAGCGTCTACTAAAGCGTTTGCTCCAGCTTGAATTAAATATCTACATAAAACGATACCACCAAGGGAAACTCCTGTGGCCACTATTTTGGCTTTTGGATATTTATCTTTGATATATTTGATTATAAACTCGACATCTTCACAATTAGCTGCACAGTATAATCTTGGCGTTTTCAGTTTCATTCCTCCTCTTCCTCTATTGTTGAAAGCCACAGATCTGCAAAAATATGAGTAAAAATAAAGGTTATTAATCAAATATGATTGAAAAAATTACTAAAAAAGGTGATAAAATGAAATTTAAAGCTAAATTGCAACAACACGACGAAACCTGACAATGTCTGTTTGATAATTTTACCTTGAATTACTCAATTGAACTTTGAAACCGGGTTGAACACAATTTAACAAAGTTAAAAATCTATTGTCGCTCAATCTCTGACCTCGATGGTTGAAAAAACAGTCTATTCTTGACATACATCTGAAATTGATTTTAATCATCTTAAAACTAGTATAGTGACAAAAGTGTCACTAATTGTTCACCAGTTGTGTTTATAAAAGTGCGATTCTAATGCTGATATTTTGTTTAAAATGACATACCATTCAATTAACATGATTATTGAACCCACAATGAAACTTGTTGTAATGATAAGATAAATGTAGTACTTAATGGATAACTCTTAACGTAAAACTAAACTCAACAGTTGTATTGCGTCGGATGATGTTTCTTAATCACTATAACACAAGAAAATCTAACAACAGAAAGCAGTTATTTTGAAAGTAAGCCTTTTCTTGTTTATGGTAACTGACCTATAGCCGAAAGCATGAGCATTTGGAATCAGGCTCTTAATGTATTCGGTTTGAGAATCACCAGTTAAACCAGGCATGAAGAGAGCTATTGGCCGGTTTTCATCGTTGAATTTATCCTTTGGTCTGGGTGGACCATCATACCAATCCAGGGATACCTGGCCACCATCAGGAAGGTCAACGATTTCTCTGAAATGCATGAGAGAATATTGAGAAAACAAGAATAATTAGTATAAAAAGGTTATCATGAGTTAAAGGAGTCATGAAAACAAGATTTTTTCAACAAGAAAAGTTGAAAATGGAAAGAAAATTATAGTCAGCTGAAAAAGGAAAAGGTTCATGATGATGATGATGAGGAGGAAGAAGAGAAAGAGACTCAGAAAAATTGAGACATTTTATTGATTTTTGTTACAGATTTTGTTACTTTCTTTGAAAGCGAATCACTTTAACCTTGGCCTTAGGTTAACCTTGATCCTGAAGAATATTCAACTTGAAATTATCATGAGAAGCAATCGATAGAGTGACTGAATGGTTTACTATTAACTTAAACAATGAGAAAGTCTTTAACTGCAAAAAAACATAGCATCTAACCTTGAATATAAATTACACAGGAATCGGTTTTGGTTCGAGACAGTGAAAAAATCTTAAGGCATAATCCTTGAGATATTTTTTGGTTAACCATTTTGTTTGTCTATTCAACTAATAACTGATTCATCGCCGATTAAATACTTGAATCTTATTGATTTTTATGGGTAACTGAACTTTCGATTTCCTGGTGATAATCAAATTCAATAATTGATGCAAAATTAGAATAAAATCTGCGAAGTTTTCTTGTCACCAAAACACTAAACTAACGCTAATAACGCTTTCAGGTCAGTTTAGGTTTGGGTTAAGAGGTTAAAAGCAGGAAAAAGTCCGGACTTTCCCAATTCAGTCTTACTTTTCATTAAACTAATAATATTACAATAATCTGTAACTAATGATGGAAAGTGTTATGATGAAAAAAATTGATAATGAGCAAGTTTCAAGGAAAACATAATCATAAAAGTCATTGATAACTCGACAAATAACTAAGAAACGAGGGTTAGACCGGTTATGTTACCACAGTGTAAACTCATGTAACAATTTGTTATCTTGCTATTGTCATGTTCAATTTAGTGATTGACATTCACTGTTTAAATAAATTACATTTGTTTTGATAATTGTGAGAAGAAAAATGCACAAGTGTATCGTAAAAATGATGATGAGTGGAGTAAATTTGTGTAGACTAGCATGGAAAATGCTAGAATTTATAGATAAGTTCGATCAATACCAAGAATTGAAGGCAAAAATTGTATCATACGATGATGTAAAAAACTATATCAATTGAATTAAAACTGGTGATTTTGATGGCTTAAATGATTAATAAAAGTCATGCTATGAAATGCTGTACTCAAGCTCTTTTTTCAATTCATTCACATGTCTTGTGTGAATCATAATTGTCAAGAATCTCTGGCAAAATAGATGGAGATGGTTTTGCCTCAACAGTACAAAGTTTACCTCTTTATGTGTTTGTTTTCTTTTTTCAAGAGGATGTTTCAAAGTGAAACATATCAAAGAGAAAAAAAATTTTGATCAGATTGATGAACAAAATGATGTCACATTAATAGGTTGTTGATTGTTTGCAGAGAGGAAGACAATTTTTTATGCTAACCGATCAGTATTTTTATCGAGGGCAAGTGATAATAGACAAGAAAAAGGCAATGTTTAACAATTTTTAAAGGAAATGGATACAACAAGAAGGGGTTATAGTTAGTTACCTTTTATAAATGAGATTAGGCATCGCTCCTCTGATAGCATTGGCAATGGCTGTTTGAGCGTGTGTATCAAAACACCAAAGAGTTGGATAAAATTTCTCTTGGATTACTGGACAAGTTTTCAATATAAATGAGCCGAATCTGCTTTCACGACAATAAAAATCTGGTTTCTAAAGAGAGAAAGTAAATGAAATAGCAATTAGTAATAGGTAAGAATAAAAGGATTACTCATGCAGTTAATCAGTTTTCGCATCAAACATGATACCAAAGTACAAGATGTACTGAAAATTGATTGACGTGATTGACTGGGTGGTAAAAATACTAACCTTTACTACTTTAAGAAGATAATAAATAATATAAACAATGGCCAAAACAAATGCAATGGCAGATCTAGGATTGGTGGCATAAATGAGCCAAGCATTATCAACACTTAAATCAAGGTACTGTTTCAAATCAAGGAACGAAAATTGGTCAATGATTGACAAGGCTGATAAACCAGTAACATATCCAGTGTCGGACATAATTAAACAATTAGATTATTTACAAAACAAAAACAGTGATGAGGAGGAAAATACAAAAACTGTATAACTCTAAGAACAAGAACAAATTGAGATTGAAAAAAGTGAAACACAAAATATCAAAAAGGACGGTCTGGTTGAAGTAGAGGGTGTAACTCTTTGATCAGACCAAGCACAGAACAGAGTAGAAACACTTTTTTTGATTAAATAAGTAATAAATATAAATAAGTAAATAAATAAAAATGACAGGATAAGAAAACAATTAGAGATAGGTTTTGTTGATGCTTGGACCGTCAGTACATTTACAAAAAAAGGTATCAAAAAAGGTATCACCACTTTTGGATGGTAATTCTTGATCAATTTCAAGTTGAATCAGCACACTTTACGAACAACTGAGCAATATGGTTCGATTAACGGTTAGGTTGATTAAAAATATTGTTTAGAACAATAACTGTCAGTCCAAAAGTAGTCAACTTTGACAATCAACCTCCGAAAGGACAGTTGTAAATTAACCTAACCTAAGGTAACCAATGGGCGCCCTCTATCAAACTTCAACTGACAACTCGGCTTAATCAGCTGTAATTGAGCTAAACTTGTCATTATGGCATAATGATTATGCTCTGTTGGCTCATAATCCACATTTTTAATTATTAATGATTTATTCCTGATATTATCTTGGTTGAATTTTTTAAATTATATTATCGTTCTCTGGATCCTTAGACACAAATGTTTTAATGTATCTTTCATTGTAATATGGCCAGCAGGATTGATAAAGTAAGTAGTTTACGGTTGTATTCATTTGTTTCATGTTTTCCTTATCATTCAAACTTTATTAATCTTTATAAACTTCTCATTTGTTTATCCTCTTTATTTAGCTTGATTATGTAATTTTAGACCAACAGTTATCTCGATCATTCCATGATCAATTGGAGCAAACACTGAAACCATTGGAACAAAGATTCAGCATATTTAGTTTGTTCAAACCGGAATTTCGTTTACTCTTAAATGGATATATTTATTTACACTCATTGGCTCGTGATGCATCTTCATTGGGACAAAAGATTTATAATCTTAAAACAGTTAGTAAACTGTCGGCATCAAATGGAATCATGAGTAAATTACAACTGTACATTTTAGGAACTTCTACAGTATTGATACCGTACATAAGAGAACGATTCTCTAGGTCCAAATTATTGAACAACAAGTTGGCTTATTTCTTGGAAGATGCTTTCAAGATCGGAGAATTGTTGAACTTTCTGATTTTCCTCCAAAAAGGATGTTACCCACATTTAATGTACAGATTACTTTTCTTGGACTGTGATCTTATCGAAGGCAAAAAACGAATTAGTCTTGATAGTTATTATGTAAACAGAAATCTCATGTGGACTTCAATTTCCGAGATATTATCTTATCTCATACAGATTGTGGATTTTAATCGAATTGGTTTAATTATTCGACAGAAAGTAATATCGAAATTGACTCCTTCAAATTTATCTAGTGAGAAGAATCGAGAATCAAGGGATTATCGAATTTGTGCAATTTGTGATGAATGGCCAAATAATCCACATCATATTGGGTGCAAACACATATTTTGTTATTTTTGTATTCATTCAGATTACATGCAATATGGAGGATCTGCATATTCTTGTCCACAATGTGGACATAAAATCTCTGATGTATCTCATATCAAACAACTTTACATGAGCTGGACTTGAATAAAATGTTTATTTTTAGCCAACGGTTACACTTGAAGGATATTGATTGGTAGTTGAAGCAACAATAGTTTGCTTATGAAGGTTCAGAAAATCGTTTACATTAGATAAGTTTAGACGAGAACCGCTTGATTTATCAAATAAAAATAGATTTTCGCCCTGTAAGTTGAACAATATTTTGACTAATTTGATTAGATGTGCTTCACCGGTGATTACTCTACAGTCGATAGGATTTTCCAAGAGAATAGTTCCTCGTTCAATTGAACCGTTTTTCTTATTGTTGACAAAAACAACATTCACATAGCGACATAAAGGAAGTTCTTGAGGTTCGGATGAAGTTGGATTACTATTTTCCATAGCAACTCGCCTAATCAAAGCGAGAGTTAAAGGTTTATCTTTGAGGTCTTGATCCTCTTTGATGAGAACTTTGATTCCAGAGGGTAAATCTTTCATAGGCTTGATAGGTGAGTTAACAGTATTTGAAATATATTCATTGAAACTTGTTATGACTCTTTCAAGATTAGAATCAGATGTTGAATAGAAAACAATTATTTCATCAGTAGGAACCAAGTGAGCTTTCTTTTTCAGTTTTTGAATTCGATTGGTTACTTCACGAGCAGTACCTTCATCTTTCATGCTATCATCAGGAGTAACATCAAGAATAACTAGAATGTTTCCTTCTGAAGAAGCAATATACTTTTCAGATAAAATGTTACCAGCATCACCACCAAACTTGTAGGTTAATCTTATTTCATCGGGTTCGAAGACAATATTATTAATAGTAAATAAATTAGGATTTTTCTGATACTCTTGGAGCTTCTCATCAGACAATTCTCTAATGGCTTTAATGATATCCTTAGATTTTTCTCGCAAGCGAATACCAAGAGCCTTTATATCAGGTTCAGCTTTCAGCTCAAGTCCATACTTTTCCTTGTCGTCCGTGACAGTCACCTTTCTCACATTTAATTCGTCTAAAATATATTTTTCCATTGACTTAATATTTTTCAAAGTATCTTCATCTTTGCTAATTATTATGATCTCAGGAAGGGGATATTTTAAAGGTAAAGTTTTACGATCACGCAAAATTCGACCGATTTCGATGACAGTCTTCATGTCCGAGACTTGATTTTCAACTTCTTCGTCAATTAGTGCTAATTGAACCTCTGGAAGCATTAGATGGTGAATAGATTTAGTTTCATCTCCTACGTTGAATAAATTTTTCAAATTGCTGTAGATATATTCAGTCAGGAAAGGAGTGAATGGAGCCATGAGTCTAACAATCGACATAAGGACAACGGACAATGTTTCCAAAGCAGTAAGACAGTCTTCCTTTTCTTTATCAGCCTTGAAACGCTTTCGGTTCATTTTAACATACCAGTTGGTAAGGTTTTCAATGAATCCGACTAATTTAGGTACAACCGTATAAAGCCGATAAGCCTTCATTTCTTGTTTCACAAATTTGATTAAACTTTGTGTAAATGATAAGATCCAGCGATCCATTGGATTAATTGGCTTTGATAATTTAGATGGGTCGAAAATGACATTTGCACCGGTATTTTTCTCATAAAGTTGAACGTTCTGAATGAGAAAACGATATGCGTTGAACCAGGGAAGGAAAACATCTTTCAAAATATCACGAACTCCTTCTTCTCTGAATCGCAAGTTTTCAGCTCTTACAACAGGTGAATTGATCAAGTAAAGTCTTAACGCATCTGCACCATATTTATCGACAACTTCCATAGGATTTGGATAATTCTTTTTACTTTTACTCATCTTTTGACCATCACTTGCCAATACCAGACCGTTGACGATTAAATTTTTGAAAGGAGGGCGATCAAAGAGAGCAGTGGATAAAACTAGAAGAGTATAAAACCAGCCTCTAGTTTGATCAACTCCTTCAGCGATGAAATCGGCAGGGAAATTCTCTTCGAATTTTCTTCTATTTTCAAATGGGTAATGAGCTTGGGCATAGGGCATGGATCCACTTTCAAACCAGCAATCAAAAACTTCTTTCACTCGTCGTAAAACTTGACCATCTTTCTTGGAGGGAATGGTAATATCGTCGACAGACTCTCTGTGTAAATCATTCACTTTTACACCGGAAAGTTCTTCCAATTCAGCAATAGAACCCACGACAATTATTTCAGACCCATCATCGTTTGTCCAAATTGGAATAGGAGTACCCCAATATCTATTTCTAGAAACAGCCCAATCACGAGCATCTTTCAGCCAATTAGCAAATCTGCCTTCTTTAACAAAATCTGGGACCCAATAGGTTTCCTGATTATTTTTTAATAAATTACTTGTCATTTGTTCAACTCGGATGAACCAAGAAGGAACTGCACGGTAGATCAGAGGAGTATCTGATCGCCAACAGAATGGATAACTGTGTTTAGTTGTACCAGATTGCACCAACCGTTTCCTTTCTTTAAGAAGCTTAATGATGTTTTTATCGGCATCTTTAACATGTTGTCCAAGAAAATCGTTTACAGGTTCAACAAACCGACCACTATTATCCACAGGACATACCATTGGTCCTTCTTTAGTAATAACTCCATAGTTTAAGCAAATTCTATAATCGTCTTCACCGAAATAAGGTGATTGATGAACGATACCAGTACCACTTTCACTAGTAACATATCCATCACAAAGCACTCTGAAAGCTCCTTCCGATTTTCTTGAAGCGAAATAAGGAAAAAGCGGTTCATATTTTTTACCTTCCAAGGTTTTACCTTTAAACTTTTCTAATATTTTATAGTCATCAGGTTTCTTGAAGAGTTCAATTAACCGGGATTCCATGAGAATAAAATCAGCATTACGAACATTATCATGCACTTTCACATAATCTAACTCTGGATTAACACAAAGAGCTAAATTACTTGGAAGAGTCCATGGTGTTGTTGTCCATGCAACAAGAGAGACACTAGGTTCATCATCTAATGGAAATGAAACGATTACAGTAGGATCAACAACATCCTTGTAGTTTTGCCCGGCTTCAAAATTAGATAATGGAGTATTACATTTAGTTGAAAAGGGCATGACTTTGACACCTCGGTAAACCAGCCCTTTGCTGAAGAGCTGTTTAAAAACCCACCAAACAGTTTCCATAAACCAAGGATACATTGTTTTATAATCATTTTTAAAGTCAATCCAGCGACCTAATCGAGTTACTATATTTTCCCATTCATCTGAATATCTCATAACAATAGCGCGACATTCCTTGTTATATGCTGCAATACCCATTTTCTCAACATCTTCTGGTCCCTTGATACCAAGAGACTTATCAATTTCATATTCAACGGGTAATCCATGACAATCCCAACCAAAACGTCGCTCCACGTGGTAACCTGATTGATGAGCCCAACGTGTCACAATATCTTTGATTGTACCTAGTAGGGAAGAATTAAAAAAACAATAATAATAAATGAAGGAAGACAAATACAGAGAAGGAAGATTTTCAAAAATATAGAAGAAATTAGTTTACCAGCTAAGATGTGTCCATAATGAGGTAATCCAGTAGCAAATGGTGGACCATCAAAGAAAACAAACGGAGGTTTCCCACTTGATTGTTTAAGGCTAGTTTCAAACGCTTTTGTATTTTGCCAGTGTTCAAGAACAATTTTTTCCTCATTGGGAAAATTAATAGTTTCTGGGACTAAGTTAACCATGATTACAAATAACGATGTTAATTTAAACTGATGATAATTTAAAACTGATGAAATAACCACATAAACAAATCAAGACACATCTGCAAAGATCAAAGTCTGCTTATAAATAAAAATCTCCTACACCGGTTACGCGCTCAATTCAAAATGCAAGCTTTTAATAACATGAATTTTAATATTCATGCATTTTCATCATAAAGCATTTTTTCAATTCTTATTTAATGAAATAATCTTTAATGAGAGTATTTATCTCAATGAATTGTAACACTCAGTAGCTTACCTAAAGACATATTATGCTTGAATAAGAATCTTGGATCAATTTTAATCTTGATTAATGAATGAGCAATATAAAAAATCGTTAGTAAAGACTTGTTTTATTCAGGGTTTATTTTTTTGTATTTTAAATATTTAATGAAATTGTTTTCGAATCAATACTAATCCAGTTAGTGATTAGCTTATTTACATAAATAAACAACAAGATGATTTATAAGTTTCTTCTTTCAATTTAAGTTAACTTTAAGCCCAACAAAATTTTAAATAAAAAGAAAGAATGAAACAAAGTTTCTTTGTTTTTTTTGTCTGTTACAAAATCCATTACAAATATTTGTATAGTCAATGAAAACTTCCTAAAGATTCATTACCTTTATCATCACAAGCTGATTTTTTCATGTGCAATTTATGGAATGATGAAGCTCCACCATCTCTAAAATATGATGAAAAAATGAAAATGAGAACTGGACAGCTACAAAATGCGCAATAAAAGACTTTTGTTTAGCTATTTTCTTGTTTTCCTTCTTGATCCAGATATCAAATATCATTTGCTTAAAGATTAAAATTTTACTGAATTACAAATGAGTTCACTTTTCTTTACTTTTTTGTTAATACTTTGGTTTCATAGGTACATTCCATTAACAAGATAATCAGCATCATGAGCCAAGTTCCGTCCTCTTCTTGCAATTCTTCTTTTAATGTATTTCATACGACAACCAACCAGCGTTACTAACATTGCAGTAATACCAACACCTAGAACCAAAGCAATAACCGCAGAGTTGGTATCTCGACCAGATTGTGAACTGCTTAAATGGGTAACAGCTACTGGTAAAGCCCATTCATTAGACATTTTATCAGAATTTAAATGTGAAACTCCTTTGATTGGTGTCATTTGAACTGTGTGAGTAGGTGCGGTTGAAGGGCTTGTTATTGGTACCATAGACCCAGAAGGAGATGATCGTGTTGAAGTTTCAATTTTATTTGCATGATCTTTAAGATCATCAGCTAATGATTGAGAGTTTTTAATCTTTCTTACAGAATTCAAGTGTTCTTGAGGTGCACGAATATTATTTTGTCGAATATTAACACCAAGTTCATTGTTGACTCCTCCACCTGAGCCCTGAGTGTCAATCATGTCAATTCGAGACACAGGTTCCATGTTGGTAAACTCAGTCGATTTACGTTGATAAGAGTTTAAGTAAGAGCTCTTTGACCATGGAATACTTCGTGTCAAAGTTGGTGCTGGTTGTGATTGAGGACTTGGCACTCCATTTCCATTATTATTAACATTAATAGATCCAATATCATTTGTTGGTCGATATTGATGGTAAATTGGATTAATTAAGTTATGATCCAGATTGTTGGATCTAACATTTCCTCCAGTTGCGATAATTCCATTTTCAGGCTGCCAATAATCTCGTGTAAAGCTGTTTGGATAGTCAGTGTCAGTAGAAAAGCCTCGAGATCTTGGTCCATTGTAAAAATCACCATGTGAAGAGGGTGGTGGAGGTGGTAGAGGTGGTTGGTAATATTGATTTCCGTAACTTGGATAATAGGGTTTTGTTTCAAATTTATCCCGAATAGGATTGTAATCGTCAAATTTGTGAGAGTTCATTGACATTTTACCATTCTCTTTAAGATCATTCACAATATCAGGACTCTTGGGATAGTTAAAAGCCTGAGCATTGACCGATTTCTTTGGTACAAACTGTCCTACTCCATTGCCCCCTTCAACACCCACAACACTTATGGCCTCATTATCTTTTACATCCATTCTTCCTCCAACATTCTTATCCAATGGATTTGCAAAATTGATTGTTGACGTTGATACAGGCAATGAAGCTGAGGATGGTGATCTTTGACGATTCGATACCTGATTTGAAGGTGGAAGTGCAACTTGAGATTCGACAGAAGGATATCCTGACTCAGTAGGACAGTGAAGATCAACAGCTTCATCACTTCCATCCGAACATTGAACAATTCCATCACATACATTATAGATTGCTATGCAATCACTTGTGTTTCGGCACTGAAATTGATGATGTTTACATGCTGTAAAAAATTGGAAATATTTGTAAGAATTAATAAAAAATTCTGACATCTTAAGGTTCAATACTCTTAAGGTTAATAAAGATATTATACCTTTGACAGATGCTGAAGTTGATGTATAAGTTGATCCTGAAGATGGTGGAGGACTCAAACTTCCTGAGGTTGTAGAGGTTACTTCAATTCCTTTGGAATCATTATTGGACGTTGAAATTGGTTTAACCGAAGTAGCTGAAGAGATTCTCAAATTAACCAAGTCATTTTCATGCTTAGCCTGGTTTCTTTGATCAACAGTGTTTCCATCAACAGAGTTTCGATTAAATTTGATCAACGAACTTGTATAATGATCATGTCCAGTGAATTTACATTTCATCTGTTCTGGTGGACCACAATCAAATAAATAACAGCTTCCTTGACTCTGATGATGCAACGAAACAATAAGGAAAATAAGTATTAAAGGTTGATGAAAATACTACAAAAACTCGGCAAAATAAAGATGATAATTATAAACTAAACTGATGCAATTAGTTTGCTATTAATTGTTACCCTGATAGATAAAACTTGAGTTCACACCTAATTTATTGCTTACGCCTGGTTGTCATTCTTGATACATTAACGATAGCGTTAAAAAATATCATAAAATTTTTGTTGACTCTTGTCTCACCTTACATGGATTATATCATACCAAAGGCTGGAGAAATAATTCAAGGAATAATTTTTGAATAGAAATAAAAAAATTCTGATCCCTAGTCACCCTGTCACTTAAGAATCAGGTTATTTATTTAACTTACCTTTTCTTCATAAACAGCAAGTGTGCAGTTACGATTATCCCAACACCAGAGAAGACACTGTTGGTTAGAAGAGGTTTCAGTTTCACTTAAGTATCTTGCTCCTGAACCCAAGGAATCGGAAGTTCGGATAATGGTGTTTAATTTAATCACAAATGAGTCGAGAATGGGATCACTTTTTGTATAAAAAGATTTACTGTTTCCAGAGATAAAGATAGGTAGAAGAGTAAATATAATACAAGTTAACCAGTTGGTTCCCTTTAAAAGACGATTACTAAATCTAATATTTCTCTTATCATTTATGATGATAGAGGTCATTTTTGAGTGAAAGGAAGAAACCCAAGATAGGGTTAAAATACCAAAAGCAAAGATCCACACACAAACAAAGCAGAAGCGAGGTGAATATTGAGATAAAATCCAGAATGTTAAACTTAAAATGATCGTGTGACACACCAACGGTTTCTTGTTAGGTTGCTTATAAATTCAAAATGTTCAACAATTAAAGGCTCAAGCAATTCGGTTTTAACATATTGCTTCAAAGTCTTTTTTTATCTGATAATCTGTGCAGCAAAACTCGTACAAAATACAGAATAGAAGAGAAATAGACAGTGAAATAGACTGAAGTTAGTTCCTTAAAATTGATTAAATAGCGAAACACAAATGTTAAGCAAATGAAATCGATCGAAGTAACAGTTTCAATTGAAAAAATCAGATGGCGTTGTACAATTTAATGTAATATTTTTCTCATAAGTTTTTACAGTTAATATCTTTTCAATAGTTAATAGTTATCATTTTATTTTATTATTATCATTTGTGATCGTTTTATTTATTTGAAAAGTTCAATCATTTAGTCGATTTACAGTAATCAACAATTGAAACAGTAAACATGTGACGAGAATCTAATTCGATAATAAACAAGGAGTATAAACAAGTGAACAAAATGTAACTTCTGTCTGGTTCTCAACTTTTTATTGATCAATTGTTTCAATTTTTCCTGTCTTGGATTGAATTAATTAACCTGACGATTAGATGTGGTATATTACATGGAACAAGAATCGATCACAAGGAATCAGTAGACTTGGTTAACTCCTACGATGTGAAAGTCCGCCTCATGCTTTTCTTTCTGGTGCTTTCCTCAGCTCTAAGCCATTAAAAAGGGAAATATAAACTAATACTTTAAGATTAGATTAACGGCAATTAATAAAGTAAGATAGAATGAAGAAAGTGAGAGAGAGAAGGGGAGTGAATGTTGAAGAGTAAGGTGAGAGAAATGAAGAAAAGATGGTGGTAAATTAGAGAGAAAAGAAGAGTAAAAAACTGATACAAACATGAGATTCTTGAAATGAACGTTAAGAGTTCAAAGCAAATGATCTCAAAGTGAAATACATTTAGATGTTCACTTGTTTATCAGTTTGGTCTGTTTGCTTTTTCCCATTATATTTTTTTTTCTAGACATTTTGTTTTTTCTCGCTTAGCTCAATGTTAACTCATTTTTCCCTCTTTTTTACTTAGACTTAATGTCTATTGTTAATTTTTGTGTGACTCAAGAGGGCAAACAAAAGAAAGAGCAACTTTTCTTCAAAATCAAAGTCTCACCAAAATGCCTTCTAATCTGGATAAAATGTCGCCTGGATTAATCCACCTGACTAGGATACATTCTGTTCGTTCAAGTGATTCTTCTGGTCATGGTTTTGATTCGCTTGATTCTTCCTTTACAGATGATCACATTGATGATCGTTCCTGGTCTTGGATTTATCTTAAATCAGAGTTTACGGGTAAAGATTCTGAAAAGCTATTCCACAAGTATCAAGCCCGTCTTCAGCACAATTTTTTCATGGTTTTACTTTTACTCAACATCTCTTTTAATCTGATTGCAATTGCTATTTACCTCTGGGATAAGGTGAGTGTAATTATGATAATTTAATCTATTTTATAAATCAAAATATAACAATATGACTTGATCGACCTTTATTTTTCTCATTTTAAATGAAATTCATTTTACCAAATCGCTTAGTAAATTCACCTTTTGCTTGTACAACAATCTATTTACCAGGAAAGCTCCGATTAATCCATCCAATTTTGATTTCTCAAAATGATTTATTTTGGGCTCAACTTGATTAGTTTTTATTTTACTCTCGCATATGATTAATACCCAAGTCTATTTACTTAATTACTAGAAATAGACCTCCTCAAAGAAGTAGCTACCAAGTTAGACACTGTCAACCTAGTTTACCTAAACCCGATTAAATAACAATATCAAATTATTAAATATCATATTTTCAGATTTGTATACTTATACTGATCAATGAAACGGTGGTTAACAATCAAGACAGTGATAACATTGAGATTAATTCTAGGAATTCACCACTTGTTTGTTGTGATTGAAAATCATGTATCAAAATCAGTATCTTTCCAATATTCTTCATGAGTTTTAAGCTGCATGACTGAGAATTGTATTCAGTTGGATATTCAGTAATTGACTTTAGCCACTTGCTAATTTACATTGACTTCAGTTCACTTTGCTCTTGATTAACTGACAATTTGTTCAAATGAACTGTTACGGCAAATCATTGCTGATCAAAACTCTTAATCACCCAACAGCAGCCTCTTCACCATTAGATTACTCTTACAAGTTATTTGCTAATAATCTCAGTTAATCAATACAAGTTGCTTCTATTAATAATAGCGATTTTATTCCTCAATTGCTAATGAAAGTTTTATCAGAAAAAAAAGAAACCAGAAAATATCTTAATTTTATTTCAATAACTTCATTAAAATTTCAAATTAATCATAACTTGAATGCAGCTTCTGATTTGAATATTCATCGAGTAAATTTTTTCCAATGTTAATAAATTCAAAGTGGATTGTGATCGAAGAATTGATTATTTTAAATCTTTTAGCAAAAAAAATCCAACAATTTATTCTCATCATTTATTGCAGCTATAAATAGCATCAATGATAAGGTCCATAAGTGAGAAATCAATATAAAAACAATAAATACTGTCGATGCTAATTAAATAATAGCAAAAAAGTGTATTTGTTAAGCATTTCCTTGAAATCAATTAATTTAGTTTCAATAGCTTTTTAAACGGTACCTAAAACCTTTGATTGATAATGAATAAAATGAATTTACATTACACAATTGTGATTCTAATTAGATTGTCTTTTGTCTTCTCCTTAGCAAGTGAATACTTTTCCTGGTGAAGCTTTAATGCGAGGATCGGCATTAATTGTATACTTCGCTTTTCTCATATTAACATGTCTGGAGGAACAATGGCTTCGTCCACGATTCGCTCGCATTGTGGCCGCATTGACAGTACTTGTGGCCATGATAGTGTCTGAACATGGCGGTGCTCTTTTCGCTGTAACTGGCGATAAAACTGTTTACCCATTGCAACGGATTCGTCCAACATTTTCAATCATCTTAACCAATCATGTATTCCTACCCTTTCCATCTCGTATTTATGCTTGCATCGGAACTCTGGTCATTGTTTCCCTTGAGCTGTTACTGACAATTATATCTCGAGCTCAGTCAGACTGTGCATCAACATCAATCATCCGTTATGCCGTTGCTGATACAATATTTTACTCATTAGGAGCTTTCATTGGTTTCTTTTTAACCTTTTTACTTGAGATTGCCAACCGTAAAGCTTTCCTGGACCATCGGTCTTGCGTTGAATCAAAATTTAAACTTGATTACGAGAAGGAACAGCAAGATTCACTTTTATCTTCATGTTTACCTCGCCATTTAATGGATCGTGTTCGTAATGATATTAAACTGGTCATTGAACGTAAAGAAAGATCTCAACGGAGTCGACAAAAGCCTTTCAATGAACTGTATGTGGAGAAATACAAAAATGTCACAATTCTTTACGCAGACATTGTCAATTCAATGTTACTGGCAGCCAAATTGTCGCCCAATGATTTAGTTGAAACGTTAAATACTCTTTTTGGTCGTTTTGATGAATCTTCGGAAAGAAACGACTGTCTTCGAATTAAACTTCTCGGTGATTGTTATTATTGTGTCTCTGGTGTTCCCGAGTATGTTGAAAATCATGCCCTCAATTGTGTTCGTATGGGATTGGAAATGATTGCCATAATCAAATCAGTTCGTGAAGAGACTCAGGTTGATGTTGATATGAGAATCGGTGTTCACTCTGGAATGGTTTTATCTGGACTTTTAGGTTTACACAAATGGCAATATGATATTTTTTCAAAAGACTCAATGATTGCCAATGAGATGGAGCACACTGGAGTTCCTGGATGTGTTCATGTAACTCAAGCAACACTTGACTTGATACCAGAAACGGAGAGAAGAGAGTTTTGTATTGAAGGTAAGACAAAATGGATAATTGTAATGACAATTTTCTTAATAAAGCTTTTCTTTTCATATTAAGAAAGAAAACATGAGAATGGCGAATCAACCTATCTAATTACTCCGAGAGTTTTACCTTACAATATACGAACTTCTTATGGCTATCGAAATGGTCGACAAGTTTTTAAGGTAAGGTTTGTCTTGAATTAGTTGATTGTCACTAATATAGAAATGGTTTCATTATCAATCTCATAGAACAGTGTTTCCATGGATTCTCTAACCATTGCGAATCTTCAAAGAACGGTTCTTGTTGAAAGGTAAGTCGATACTTGAATCGATTCAAATTGAAGATGAATTTTTATTCTCCAATTTAATCTCATTTGAAAACACTTGACTTACTCATTCAATTTACCATTTGAGGTCAGTTTACAAAAATATCGTGAAATGGTGAAATATGTAAACGATTTTCTTGCTGATACCATCGATGAAATGCCTCTCGGAAAGAAAGCGTAAGTTTCAACTAAAAAATAGTTTTTAAGTGAAAATATTGATTCTTTTTTTATTCATTGGCAGACTTTGGCTTCGTCAAGCTGATATTAATCCAATTTTCTTGAGCTTCACTCAAGCCTTTACCAAACGATACGGAACCAATCTATTTCAAATGGAAAGACAGTTTGCCATCCAAACTGATCCTCTGTTTCGCTACTACTTGTACTGTTCAGGCCTGATTTGCCTTTCAATGGTAGCCATCAAAACCATTATACCAAATATGCCGATATCATCTAAGCTATATTGGACTTTTTTTGTTACTGTAGTCATTATCACTGGATCACTAACTTATACCTTCTGGACAAGACAACAATTAAAGTGAGTAAAATTTAAACAGAAAGTTCAACTCTTTTAATTTTACACAATTTTTAATTCAATTTTCTCTCTAAGATATTTAGTTCGTGTTATGATTTGGTTTGTCATTACAGTTTGGCTTCTTCTTTGTGGCACACTTGACATGATAAGGGTTAGTATTTTCAGCATAGTTAAGATTTAATGAAATTTCATCTGAAATCTATTTCATTTTCTATTCAGGAAGACTGTATGAAAGATCAAAAAACTACAAGTTTGGCGGATTGTGCTTTTACTTGGGTAAGTTTCAAGTTTAGAAGAACCCGAAGATTGAAAAAATTCTTAAAAATTGAATGCTATTTATTGAATCAGAGAAGACAGAGAAAAATATGAAAACTAATCAAGCTTTCAATTAAGTCTTGTGATCTCTTGACAATTGTTTAAGAAACTTGTGATTTATTTTTTCAATAGTATTACACATTTTGCCTGATTTTAGCGTTAACCAGTATAAGCTTATTTTTGCGGATTAACATGTGGTTCAAGCTTGCCCTCAACCTTTCTGCGTTATTGATCTACATCACATTAAGCCGTTTGGATTGTTCAGTTATATCAATTCTTGACTCTCGTACCAAATGGAAGTACTTAGCTTATGAGTCTGATCTTGGACATATTTATTACATTTTAACGGTTTCCATAATTCTTCATGTTATTGACCGACAAATTGAATACATTCTTCGTCTTGGTTTTCAATGGACAACCCGTTTAGAGGTGGAACGGAGAGAAGCCCTGGTAATGGGTGAAATCAATCGGATTCTGTTGGACAATATTCTTCCTCAACATGTTGCTCAGCGTTTCCTTTATTCAAGTTTCAATGGAGCTCAAAGATATTACCATGAAGCATATGATTCAATTGCTGTTATTTTTGCCTCAATCCCTAATTATGCTCAATTTTATACTGAAACCAATATCAATGAAGAAGGACTAAAATGTTTACTTCTTCTCAATGAAATTATCTGTGATTTTGATAAGGTAAACTATCCAATTGACAATTTATCATCACAAAGGAGAACGAGAAAGAAAAATCTTGAGACTAATATTGTTGACTACTTTGTAATCTCTTTAATCGATTAATTACTTGATTACTAGCTTCTAGCTGATCCATCATTTGCTCGAATCGAGAAAATTAAAACCATTGGAAGTACTTATATGGCAGCTTCAGGTTTACATCCTGGACGTGGTTCCACAGATGTAAGTTTTTACCTTTTTTGTCGTCGATTCAATCAATTGGTTGTTATTTCAAACAAAAATGTGAAACAATGAGGCAAACTTGACTTGAATTGAATAGGAAATGAAACAAAAAAGCATTCAATTGTTAACATTACCTTGTCTTGATATGTTCATCAGAATAATCGAGATTTTTAATGATTTTGTGAGAAGCTTTTATTTGAAATTAATTGAAAATAATCATTTATTTGAACGCAATTTTATTGATTGAAAATGGTGTTCTAACATTTCTATGAGTTCATGAATTGACAGATTATTGTGATTTTCAAGTGTCTTGAAGATTGCTGTTGTATCTACAAAATTTATTGTTTAGAGGAAAAGAAAAGAAATAAAGTTTGCGGATAAAGTACAAGACAATATAATTGTTAGGAAATGATTAAGATGGTGAAAAGAAAGAAGGCAAAAAAAGAAGAAGAAAAAATGATAAGTCGGAAGGTCCCAACAAAAATGAATTCATTAGGATGAAAGACAAACAGCTGATTGAATGATGATGAAGATACAATATGAGTTTAGACAAAAAAAGATTAGGTGAAGGAAAAAAATATCATTTCTGTCTTCACTGAATGAAAAAGGAATGAGGGACAGAAGAAGAAAATATAATGAAAAAACAAATTCAAGTTCAAGATTATGAGATTGATGTTTTTTGTTATAACCATTGTCAAGTCCTTGTTTTTAAGTTAAGTCATATCTTGGTGTGTTTTGGTATATTTTGTTGATATATTAATATTTGCTCTTTTCTCTCTCTTTTATAATTATTGGTTCACTTTATTGTCTACTTTTAATTGGTGAACATTTGCACAATTGGAAACTGTCTTTTCTTTCAATTGATGGGATAAAAAAATTTGGAAAACACAACCATCCAGAGTGATTCTAGTCTTGAGGAGCTGAATCTCAATGTTTTGGAATTGGTAAACTTTGGGACAGCTTTGATGGAAGCACTTGCTCGAATAAATAAGGATGCATTGCAAGAGTTTAAATTGCGAATCGGTATCTCCTCAGGACCAGTGATTGCTGGTGTCGTTGGTGCACTTAAACCACAATATGATATATGGGGGGACACAGTAAACGTTGCCAGTCGAATGGACTCTTATGGAGTAATTGGACGAATTAATGTAACAGAGTCTGTAGCTAATATACTGATGCAATGTTCAACACTTGAATTGGAGTGCAGAGGGCCAGTTCTGATCAAAGGTAAAGGTGAAATGGTTACATATTTAGTTAAAACTCCTTTTGATTCGTGAACGGGATGGCGGAGAAACAAGATAAACAATCATGCTCTTTAAGGGCCAAGAAAATGCTAATCTTTTTGTAATCATCAGAAAACAAAAGTGGTTCCATAAATTTAAGTTAAAGATGACGAAGCAGAAAACATCAACAATGATGATATTTGAAAATGATGATTCTTTTTTCTTGAAACATTGAAGATTGTGCTTGTTGGAAATTTGGTTGTGATTATTTCATGAGTTCTTGGTGAATAGAGTTGATGGTAGATTGTCCTGATTGTTGTCGAGTTTCAAAAGTGAGGCGTTCTTGTTTTGCTTTTTTTCTCTCTTTCACTAATTTATTCTTTTAATTAAGTTACACTGAGAATATTTAATCAACTTTGTATTGAATACCTCTCTGGCTTTGATGATAATGATAATTTTACAACATATTGAGAATATTGTACAAAGGTGATTAGTCAATTGCAACAAGCAAAGAGGAAAAATCTGAATAGTTATTCAAACATGGAAATTGCAAAATAAGGGGTTTTGTTTGCCAAAAGTTTCACAAGTAATCCATATTATTTATTCGAAAAATGATTGAAAATATCCGTGTAATGCAGATGAGAAATGAAAAATCGGAGTTCAAAAGAAAAAAAAACATTTACGTTGGGATTAATCTTTCATTCTGAAGTAAAACACATTGTAGATGAAAATTTGATCACGGTATATTCATGAAAAATGTGTAAATTAACTGTCACTGTCATCTTTTGTGCAGAAAGTTGAGAGAGAAACAAGAGTAAAGAGGTCATAAACAAAAAAACAAATAGATTAGGTAACAAGATGCCTTTCATTGAGACGAGAATAGACTTTCACTGTGTTCATACAGAGTGTTGAGTGACCAGTAGAATTTAATTGTCAGAGCAGCAAGTATGCGAAGACGTTTTTTTTCCAAAAGTAAATTGAGTGAAATACTGGTAATTGTGAATCATAAAGCATCAGCGTCCAATACATCTTGTATAGAGGCAACGGCAGCTGAAGTTTCGTCATCGAATTGGCTACATTTTTCTAAAGTCACTGGTTCATTACCAATAATCACAAGGTTGCTTTCGTCCTCTTCAGTTGATATAAGTACTTCGTCACCGCCAAGATTTAAATCACTTATATTCATTTCATCGAAAACAACTGGCTCTTCATTGCCAACAAAGCTACTTTCTGCTTGCGGTACCTCAGAAGAGCTCTGCTCAACCTCAACAGGCTGCTTTTCATCAGAGTTTGTATTATGTTTCTTCAAAATGGAGCACAACTCTTGATCAATTTGACGTTTAAGAGACTTAAGGCTTTCGTCTTCATCATCGTGTATAATTGGTGCTCTCATAATTGTTTCATTGTTTTCTGGACTCTTGATGATTCTAACCTCTAAATTTGATTCGTCTATAGTTTCAACTACTTTAGGTGATCCTTTAGGACCTTCATCTGATTTTTTTTGTGCATTTGCCTGGTCGTCTTCATCGTCATCAGAATCATCGGAATAGCTAGAATCGTCGTCAGAAGATGAGGATTCACTTCCACCAGCCTTCTCAACTGTTGGCTTTTCTTGCGTCGTTTCGTTGTTTTTGTTATTGTTGGTATTATTCTCCGAAGATTCTAAAAAGCAAATAAAAGAAATAAAAATGTATATTAAATAATTGAAGTTGTAAACAATAATTTGATTTAACAATAAAAAGTTAATTTAAATTGTCAGACAATAAATATCCCAAGCTATATGTCAATTTTTATACCATTCAAAAGTAAAACCTAACAAGAACAGAGTTACTCAACAGTTACTTTTTATAGAGGCTATAATCACGTGACATTGGGAACGCTTGATATTTAAACGTTATTTAAAAGTTATTGAGATACTAAAGCAAAAAATAAGAATTTTAAGCTTTAAGCCACATAAACAAATTAAAAATCTGAATGGGAACATTTATCTTACCTTGAGAAGGAATGGATGGTTTAGTTGCATCATTTTCGCTCGGCGGTTCCTCATCTGGATCTTTGACCAATTTGACAACATTTGTTAATTTCTTTATGCAATCCGTAATTTTATCCCGCTCCTGCAGTAGTCTTACTTTATCTTCTTTTAAGTTACTGAGTGTAGTGGTAAGATCAGAGTATCGATTTTTACCTTGGGTAATGAGCTTTAAGATATCGTTCCTTCGATTCAATAAGGTCTCTTTAGTTTTGACTGACACATGCGGAAGGTTTGCTTGACTATTGAGGAAATCAGCTTTAGACATCACAATTATTTGCCTTTTTTTACCATCTGATATTTTGCGTTGAATTTCGTCAAGGGTATGTGCTAGGACCTTTGAATTAGAGCTGTTTCTCACAATATTATCATCAAGCTCTACTACGTTGCGGTCATCTTCTTCCTCTTCAGGATCTTCATTGTCTTCTTCCATTTCCTCTATAATAGGTTTTTCCATTTCCGATTTGGTGCCTCTCTCTGCATTAGAGTCGAGATCAAAAACTGGAATAGGTTTCACACCATCGAATGTTAAAAATGTTTCTTTATCACAGCCAGGGCAAGGTACCGTGTTAGTTTTGTTAATTTCATCCACACTGGATACACAAGTTGCATGGAAGTAACATGGACAGTCTTTACAAAACATAATTGCATCTAGGTCAGGGTCGCAAGCCTCACAACAGGAATAACAACTGTGCAAAGTCTTGGCTGTTATTATTTTACTGAGATTAACCAATCTTGAGTTATTAGAAGTATTACTATTGTTTGATGAAGGGATAAATTGGTATGACGATGAGTGTAATTGGTACCTTGATTTGAGTCTTTCAACTAGATTACGACTTCTATCTGGTGCGACTGTCATATTCGTTGAGGGCGAAGATGGATACTGTCTAAAGATGGCTTTATGATGAAAGGAGGATGACGAAGATGATGTTCCAGCTGATTGAGAAGAATTGGAAGTAGTTGGTCTGAGAGATGACCGCAAAGAAGATGATTGAATGGGTACAATAGGCATCTGAGAATTTCTCCTGGCAATACGAGTAAGTGGAGCAGAAGTAGAAGCTGAAGGATGTCTCTCAGCAGCGGCCATTTCCTTACGTTTAGCTCTTTTGGCAGCAACTTCCATGGCATTGATTCGCTTAGCTTCAATAGCAGCATTACTGAATTGTGGATTAGCCGTTGTTCGACGTTTACGTTCACATTTTTTATTTTGAATTTCTTTTAAAGCTTGCTTGGTCACAAGGCCTAGAGCGGCAAAAAAGTCCTCTTTTCTTTTCCATTCGGGGATCATCTCCTCCTCTTTCTTCAATTTCAAATACTGTTCTCGAAGCTGTTGTTGTTGTAATTGTTGCTGACGGAGTAATTGTGCAGTATCAATAGCACTATTGTTGCTGTTATCATGGTTACCAATATACCTTGAACTAGAAGCAGTGTTTGACTTATAACCATCACGGTTATAAGTATAAGATGGCGAATCTCTTTTCATACCTCCACTTGGTCCGGTAGAAGAGGAATAATTATGATGAGGGTGAAGATGTGTATGGCGAAGAAGCGAAGAATTTGACGAGCTGTTGGCGACAGTAGCAAGTCGAGCTCCACCACCAGGAGTTGGTACAACCAAGATTTGTTTATGATGAGAATGTTTTTTAGCTGTGGCTGCTGCAGCAGAAACAGGTACTAATAATTTAGTTTGACCAGAAAGAGTCCGTACTGCTAGGGCAGTACCACTGATACGTCGGGCAGAGGGCCCTTCGTATTTAGCTACAGTCGACATATTAAAATAAAAATCACATAGAGAAAGATAAAGAGAGAGAGAGCAGGAATAAAAAGAAAGGAGAACAGAAACAGAAGGAGAAAGAGAAAGAAAAAAAGAGAGTTAAAGGAAAGAGAGAAAGAAACTCGATAAAGAGATAAAGGACTTTTTGGTGAAATAATAATTGATATAATTTGAAACAATTGTAGCTTATATAGTTGATTGAGATAAATCAATTTGAGAAGAAGATGATGTATACTTTAGTTCTTGTTATAGAACAGTTAGACCAAATTGACTATCAATCTTCGTGTACATTGATAGAAAAGCGATTCAAAACAAACCTAAAGAGAAAGATGAACATTACAAAAAAACACTGGTCAATAATAATTCAAATACCAAGGTAAAGTAACTTAATTGTTAGATAAACTTAAGAGTTAAATGGAGAAATTAATTAACTAAAATCAATCATTCTCAAATCTTGTCCGGTTCTTGAAAAAAAGATTTTGCAAAATCTGACTAAAAAATTTAGCAAGAAAGAGTAAAAAGAAAGGACTGAAAAGGCTAAAAACGATCTCTGTCTACTGACTGTCTAACTCTCTCTTTTTAAATCTTTAACTCGAAATACATTTACTTGGCTAAATAAAAATACTTTCAAGTCAATGAAATGGACACACAAATAGAACGAGAGACATTTATTAAGGTGAAAGATGAAAGTTTACTTACCCAAAAGTGATTTTAATTAATTTAATTGAGTGATCTATTTTGAAACAAAAATCAAGAAAATTATTTGCCGAAAGTTAAAAGAAAGATGAGAAAGTAAGAGAAACAACCACGTGACCTCCAGACTATTCACTTTAACAGAAGATGGCGTACTTTTACTACACTTTACTTTTCGAACTGTTGAGCTTTGAACTTGTTTTCCTTCATCTTGTCTTGACGAAACTACCGGTAGCCTTTGCTGCTTAAGGGTCAGTGAAGATGAAAGTTCAGCCTTCAAATGGTATTGGACAAATGAAAATGTGGTCAAGTTATAACCAACTTTTAATATGTTTACCAAACTTTAAACTTCTTATAGCTTTACCCAGCTTCTTTCTGGGGAAAATGGTGGAAACTGATGACAACCAGAGTCACCAATAGATTCAAATGTGAATCTCTTTAAAAATAAAACGAGAACATTTAATCTTGAATAAACTCTTTAGACTTGAGCCGTTTAAAATTGATTTTTGAACCTTCTCGATACCTAGAGCCTTCAAGTTAAACGGTTATTTTGCCATCTGAAGCTTTTGTTTTTCATTTCATTTCTTTTCTCAGAATTTTCTCATTCTTTTGCGTTTGAAATTCATCTTCTGTTTAACAAACTGGTATCACAATAGATGGCAATAGCGAAAAACGGTAAAAATTTGAATCACTAATAGTGAATCACTTTATTCCTGAGACAAGGTGAAATACGAATAAATACTCTAAATGTGACGATTTATGCAGTTTTAATGTCTAAACATTAAATAAACAATTGATTGATGTGTTAGTATTCATGCATCTCTAAATGATCAAATTGTTAATTAGTTGCTCTTGTTGTTGGATAAAGTTAAACAAATATAATGAAACAAAAGTAGGAACATACAAAAATGTAGGAAACAAGATAAATGCTAATTTAGGCTTACAATTATTTCTTTTTTCTTCAGGTATATCATCAGCGAATGATGATTAACTTTGCTTATTGATCTACCTGTTTACAAAATTGTTCAACTTTTTTAACCAGTAAATGGTAAAGTTTATTATTAAAATCATTTATTCAATCATGTTGAAAACAAGGTTAAGGGGTTAAGGTTAACACATAAAAAATTTAAGGTGAAAACGAGAATAATTCAATTTCTAAACAATGTTCTTCACTTTTCGGCTTCTCTCTGCGCCCGGAGCAGCTTCAAAATGGTTAAACGGTGAAAGTGATCCTTGTTCCCTAAGGGCTCGTTTACAATCAAGTATAGCACTTGATAGCTTCCGGCGTCCAAAGTAAGGTATACCAAGTTCTTCGAGGTCGGCGTCGTTAAAATTTAAGAAAGTATTAAAATCGATATCAGCACGTTGAAAATAATCAATATACTTTGCAAGGCCCAAACGGGTTAAGACCTCCGCTAAATCGAGACTATTACTCGCTGGACTACCATAGCCTGAGCTTATGCTGCCCGATTTACTTCGTGAGGAGGAGGAGATGGGATCAAATAGGTTGCTACTACTGTTAGAACTGTTACTGAATAGTGAAGAACTGGAGGGCATTGAAGAACCAAGAGAGAGGCTTCCAGTGCAAGTTGAAAAGTCAAAACTTTGTTGTTTACGTAAAGTTTTTAATCCGTTTGAAGTTGGGTATTTCGTCGATTCCCAGAATGACGATTGAAGAGACATATCATTGGTTAAAGAGCTATTAGTGAGAAGACTGTTGTTCGGATTGTTAAGCTCATCGGGAGACTCTTCGACTGGTGTCAATTTTTCTGTTGCACGGCAACTATCAAGTCGACTTTTAAGGAGCTCGTGAGGCATTGATTTAGAAAAACCAAATCCTGCCCAAGATGGGGTCGGAGTTCGAGGTTCACTTGCTTTTGGTTTGGCTTCACGAACTGCTTTAGCAGCCAAATATTTACGCTCGTCGTAATCCAATTTTCTAGGCTCTGGCCATGGAAAAGCTGTTGATTTATCAGAGACTGAAAAGTTACCAAAAATGGCAGAAAGACTCCTGTTAGGTGGAGGGGAAAGATCAAGGGGTGATGGAGCTGAAGTTTCACTTCCACTATTGGGTGAATTCATACTGGAAGTCGTAAGACAAGATTGATTCATGGTAGGTGTTGTTGAGGTGGACATCAAGTTATGAGCGGATTGTATACAGCCATTTCCATTCCTATTATCTGAACTATTTTTCAACATATCAATGTTAAAAGATGGAGTATTTGGTTGAGCAGAGATTTGCTGTTGCTGTTGTTGATTGGCTGCTGCTGCAGCAGCAAAATTGGTCAATTGAGTAGCTAGCATGGCTTGTAAAAATCCATTAGGTCCTAACTGTGAAGGAACATTAGTTGAAGCGGCAGCAGCAGCAGCGGCAGCGGCAAAACTTGGAAAATTGCCAACACTTGAGTAATCATTAGATGGCCAGTTAAGAAGCCCGTTAACTTGTCCACCAAGTCCACCATTATTAGGTAAACAACCAGAGGGATTAAGAGCCGATCCAAATCCACCCTTCATTGTCATCATGCTTGTTGGATTAAGGGTACAATGAGGTATAAGTGAAGAAAAAAGTTTGGCCATCATCATAATGGTATGTTTATCACAACAATTAGGAACTTCACTCTCATCTAATTCCAATATTTGCCTTCTAACTTCAAAAAGCATACGTGAATCACGTTCTGCTCCCCGAACAGTCATGCATCTACCAGAATTTTGTTTAGGTTTCTGTTTAATTAGTATGGTAACTTCGTAATCCTTCATCAATTGGGTTATCAAAGCTGCATCCGTCTGTTGGCCTTCTTTCAAGTCAAAAATAAGAACTAGTGGAAGATAGCCCAAAAGTTCTTGCCATGCAAGGACAACAGAATCAAAGCAGGGTCCTTTAATCATAACAGTTGATTTTCTAACTGTTAAGGAACCATGAAGAGTTGTCATCGTAGTATTTTCAACAGCTACTGGATCAGGGAAATTAATAACAACACCCGTAGATTGCATGATAGACCGAATGTTGACATTTCCTCGACCCATAACAAAAGAATGATGTTGAGAAGCGATGTCAATCACCAAGGTGAAAAGTATAGTAGGAGAGTTGTTGGTCATAGGATGGCCACAGAGATATTCAATCAAAACCGCAATACCTTGTTTCATGGCTAACCATTGAGCACGGGTACCTCGAACTGAAATGGATGCATAACTGGCACAAGAAGAACCAAAATTTCCAAAAACATTGCTTTTACCAATTATTCGAATGTTGATAGAGATACCGTAAGTTTGTTGAATTGTTTGAATGGCTGGTGAAGTGTGGTCAAACATTTCCATTTTATTGTAACCAGCGATGGGAAGCTCAAAATGTACGCTCAGCGGTAAGAGTTCCCGGATTCGACATCTAGCTTGCTCTGCACCCAGTGCAGTACCAGCAATGCTAACCTGATTACTTTTGTCAATGGTGTTGGTCCGATTAGAGTCAGGAAAATGAATATGGCAACCAGTTTCATTCATTACTTTTTGAATGGATCGACCACCTTTACCAATAATGTGAGAATGATCGGTATAAGCAACATCCATTTTAAGGGTAACACGATTTTTGCGACTATCCAAGTGATCAAGAATTTTATCCTTGGCATTCAATATATCTTCTTGTGCACCAGTAATACGGATATGTGGATCCTTCTTAGATTTAGTTCCTGGCTTTAATTTCATTGGCCATGTGATAATGGTATTTGTTTCAGCCATGATTTCATTGAAGAACTCTTCTGCAGATCCAAGTTCTTTGTTCTCGCCTGTAAAGCGAAAAAATATATAAAATAAAGGATTATTAAAATTAAACGAAACTAAGATGATTGACATGATTGTATTTACGAAAAAATACAATAAAATGTAGTTTAACTGTAAAAATGAAAGCACAAAGAAACATTGAGGAACATGATCGTTCTGGTTTAAAGGGATCAACAGTAGACCAAATGTATTACCTAAGCGTTCATGAACCATAGTAAATGATTGTGGACACAAAACCATATTTAACACAAATCACATAATCAAAATAAAAACAAATATAAAATGCAAAATGCACATGTGGTTAGCAAGCAGCCAACAATTAAAAAATAAGACGAATAAAGAAGGGGTTAGAAAAAAAGACTTCAACTAAACATGCAATGTGAAACCTTTAAGGGGATTAAAACAGTAATGTTGTTTTTCAATTACTATTGTCGTTTGTTATTGAATAATAATTAAACTGAATTAATTAGCAATTTATTGCTGTTCCACTATTATTTGAAACCAACAGATTTAGGATTGCAAATTAAAAGATACTTCATGTTAAATGGAATAAACTAAATAGAATAAACTCGAGCTGAAGAACAAAGCAAGTTAAGTAAACCAGTGTAAACTTGGTGAAACTATCAAAAGGCTGACACAAAGGTTAGCAAATTTAACATTTTCTTATCAGTGACAATCTTTCAAAGTGTTATACATTTTACTTTCTCGCCTGGTGTTTAATGATTCAAAATCTTACCGTTTATAATCTGTTCAAACTTTTTCCTATCTACTTTAACTCGTTCTTCAAATGAACCACTGGTTGATTCAGATTTAACGTTACTAGCTTCATCGATGGTGTTACTATTTGAATCAATTGATGCTGAATCCATGGAAAATTTTTTAAGGTGAGTCAACACAGACAAGACACGTTTAAGATTCTTTATTTGCTCCACGACAAGCTTACGGAAACCAATAGATCGGGTTTGTTAAGTGCTGATGGAATTGTGTTGAGAACTGATTTGAGAGTCGGTTGTGTTTTAAAAAACTAAAAATTTCTTTTTAATTGACTTTGCTTCCTTCTAGGGTCCCAATTAGTTCTCAATTTTTATGAAGATGATCAAAATAAAGGGATAAACGGAGATTCTTTGGTGATCAATGGTGGTGATTTAAAGATGGTGTGACAGGCAGTTACAAATATAACAAAAAAACAATACAATCCAAAGGGAAATGAAAAAAAAACAACAAAAAGATGGTTTAAAGTAGGAAGAAATGGACCAAACAACAATCAAAGATAAATATTTAAGGTGTAAATTGGAGGAGAAAGGGTAAATTAACAAAAATGATGAAGGTTGGCTGGTGTCGGAATAATTAAGAAATTAAGAGACAACAAATTACTATTGCACAAATGTGGTCAAAATTAGGTATAATAATAGTTTTCGAGTCATAAGCTCCACTTCTTCCTACCATGAGAAACAATTAAGACTTCTGGTCAGGAAATTAAATGGTAGACACTTTTATATATTTAACACACAAAAACTTAGATTAAAGTTAGTTCATCTTAATAATAAATAACTAATCAGTTAACAATGTACAGAGCCCACCTTTTTGATTTACCAGTCTCTTTATTCATTTTTTTTATTCTTTTCTCAATTTTTTTTACCTTTTCTCTTTTTTTCCTGTCCATTGGTAAGGTAAAGATACTTTTCTTATCTCACCAATTTAACTATCTTGGGAATTGGCAAAAATGCCGAACGCAATTGGTATTGTTGAAAGGTTTGCCCTTTACTGAATCCAATCAAATTTGATCAGGGTCAATCAAGGTTTCAACTCAATTATTACAGCATTTACACAGCAACAATGACCAATCCTAATTACAATTTCAATCTTTCTTCTCAATTGAATTTTATTTTCCATTTACGCTTCTCTATCAGCATTTTGTATTTGCAATTTGCCATTGGTTAATCATTAGGTTAGAAAATCTAACAGAGTCATGAGAATTTATTTGTTTTAATAAATTCTCAACGGAAAATTATTAATTATTAGTTAATTCGCAAAAATTGTCTTTTATTGAAATACAAATTTGAAAATTTGGATTTGTAAATGGCGCTTAAATTAAGCTCAACCCATTTGCACAAATTTATCTTCCAAGTTGTAGTTATATATTGATGGTCCCTAAAAGTCAGCTTCCTCTTCCGTTGTTCGGTTTGGTTTTTGCAAGTTTCTTGGTTTGTGTTGATTTAATTTAGTTAATTTAACTACAATCATGGTAAGTTAATTGTCTATATTAATTATGTTTCTCAATTTGCTAACTAATATGTGCTTCTGTCTATTCTAGGGTCGTGTTCGTACCAAAACAATCAAAAAAGCTTCACGTGTTATCATTGAAAAATACTACACTAGATTATCATCGGATTTCCATACTAATAAAAGAATATGTGAGGAAATTGCTTTAATTCCTAGCAAAAAACTTAGGAATAAGATTGCTGGTTTCGTTACACATTTAATTAAACGTATCGAGAAAGGACCAGTCCGAGGAATCAGTATCAAGCTTCAAGAAGAAGAAAGAGAACGTCGTGACAATTATGTACCTGAAGTCTCTGAAATTGATTTAGATGTTATTGAAGCTGACCCAGATACTATGGAAATGTTAAAGATGATGAGTATGGATACTATTCCAAGACTTCAACAAACTAACCTTACTGTGTACAAAGGTTAATATAAATAATAATAATAATAACTACAATAACAACTGTACCGTCTAATATGGACATATACTTTTTTTGTGTCTTTAAGATTCATCTTGATTAAAACTTTTGGACTTGAAACAAGACTTTTTAATCAATTAATTTTTCTGTTTGATTCGCGTAGCAAATTTATACCGTTTTATATGTGCTTAAAGCTTAAAACAACAGTTTTATTTAACTGGTTAGTATTCATAAGCTTCTTGCGAACAAAATACTTTGTCGTTCAGATAATAGATACAGAAGTTATTAATTTTAACATATTTAAATTGAATTTGATTTAAATTTAGAAATTAACCTGAACCATTTTGGTTTGCCAATAATGATCAGTACAATTTGGAAAATTGATTTAAATTAGTAAATGAAATATAATTTGTTTTCCATGCTAAAATGATGGCGGTTAAATTCATTTGGTATAATATACTCTGTAGTAGAGAGTCTTGGATCTCCAAAGTGAATATGAATTGTCAAATTTAAGGTGATATGCACCTTTCCCGGGATAAGAGTGACTTCCAGCATAAACTTCATCATGACAATCTCTGCGATAGATAGGTACAATCATGGAAGTAGGGAATTCATCAGAATTAATGCACTTAGAATGAGAACCTTTTTCAGGGTCCGTCGAAACATTATCTCCCATTGCAGGTCCAATAATTTCATCTTCATCTTCTTCATCCTCATCTTCTGATTCAGAAATGTGAACAGAAACTTGAGTCCCAGGATTTTTGGTCCATTCAAAAAATAAACCAAACCCAATATCATAAGTGTCTGTTGCAAACTCCCAGAATATACATGTTCCATCTGGATGTGTTGGAACGCGAACGGTTACAATTTCCCCATGTCCAACTTTAATAATACCATCTCCATTAATTTGACGAATAGCTTCTTTAAAACCTTTAATATCTTTATTTGTCCACATTTGAGGTGATTCAATAGAATCATAATCTTCTGGACCACTAACATCATCATCATCGTCATCAAATGCATCATCACCATTTTTAGCTTTCTCGATCTTATTATTGTCACTTGATTGGTTTTGATTAAATTCTTGAGACGAATGATGATCTGCACTTTGTTCGTCTATTGTACTAATCATAGTTGTCGATCTGTCACCAGACACCTCTTGAAAAGTACTATGAGATAAGCTATTTGTTTTTATAGTATTGGACGAAGCTGAATATGCTGATGTAGTAGATGATGGTGATGAATGAAATCCACTAGACGACGAGGTTGACAAGATTCCTGATTGCGAAGAAGACGTGGAAGGCGAATTAGCGGTATAACCAGTTGTTGACTGATAAGAAGAGAGAGAATCTTCTTTAGACAACAAAGGAGATTCAAAATTTTGTGATAAAGGAGGAGAGGAGGTTGATGATCGACCGTTCATCAAATCACTTATTAATCTCTGTTGGACTATTTGTTGCATATATTGCTCGTAGTGTTGCTCTTGAAGTTTGTTAATTAAAATATCTTGTTGCTCTAGATCGTTAGGATACTGTTTCTCAGCATAATCTTTAAACTGTTCATATGTTTGCTTTTTAAGAGCTTCTTTTATGGCACGTCTGAAATGAAAGAAAAGAATTATTTGTTAGAATTATTTGAAGAAAAATTATTTCAGTGGAAAACGAATGATTTCAAAGCAAAGATGGCGACTAGCATTTTCCACCAGTAAGTAATACAAACTCAACATTACAGCAACAATCAAAAAAATTACTGTTCAAAGCTTTGACGAGGTGAAACAATGGTTTTTGATGTATTTTCAATAAATGAAAAACGATATTTAAAGGTGAAACTGTAATTTCTAATTAAAGAGGAGTAAATATGTTAAATCTTTGTCCAGCTACAACTTGTTAAAACATTAAGAGATGGATGAGAAAAGATGCGAAATCATCTTTCAGATGGATAAACAAGATTAATCCATCGAATCGACAGACTCAGTTTGCTGACTGAAACTGTTCTCGAATGAACTGAGTCCGCGTAGAATTGAGAGTTCCTTAATACATGTCAACGGAGATAATGCATGTAAATCATTCCAGAAACTTTTATGACAAAAAAGTAATAAATGAACCGGTGTTAAAATTTTAATGCAATGAAAAAACTAGAATTGAACTATAATTTGATTATTTCACAATTTCATTTAGAATGGAGTATTTATGAACTGAAGAAATAAACTTGAGGTGAATAAACTTATGCTATAATGATCATTAAACAAAAAAACTTGGTAATGGAGCGAAAAACTTTCAAGTCGATAATGTGGTGGATGATGAATTCCTATTGTATTAGCCTCCAGGTAAATTAAAGGAGCATAAATAAGGGGAAAACTCAGCACAGCGAAAATCAAAATAGCAAAAGTCGTTTGAGTAAAGCTCATCTAAGCTATCTCTCATTTCGTTCTTAAAAATATTTTTTGAATTTCGCTGTTCTTATGCTCTTTCAAATGTGTTTAGCTATTCTGAATCCAAACCAAAAATAACGATGAAAATAAATTACGGATTCTACTAATGATCTTTTAACTAACTTTGAGTGATTTCCTGTGAATTTGCTAATTGACAGTCAAAAGAACTTAGCATTTCGCCTGGTGTTATGCAAGTTATGACCGGTTAATGGATGAAATCAAAATTAAAGTACCTTTGCTCTTCCTGTAAAAAATATTCCTCTGGACGTTTGACTTCGGATTCTTCTTGTTTGATTTTTTCCTCCTCTTCTTTTTGCTTCTTAATTTTTTCTTCTTCCTCTTCTTTTATCCGTTGTTTTTCCCTTTCTTCCTTTTCTCGTTTATGCGCTTCGATGTAAGGTTTAAAAGATGGACATGATGTATTAAGAAGTTGTATAAAACTGCTCATTCCTTTTTCTTTGCTCATATCCTTTAGGTCTGTCCAAGCTTGTCTGTAAAAGAAATAAGATTATCCAAAAAAATGAGAAAAAATATAGATGAAAAACATGTTGTAAAACATAGAATACTGTAAGAGAAATTTTCATTTTTTTCTGTCAAAAACTAGTCAACTGTCAAACTTTCAATTTTATGAAGACCGGTTGGTTGGAGGATTATTCCAACTTATCACGATAAAATTATAATGCAATCTTTAGCTACGGAGAAGATACGTAAGCTAAACTTGATAACAGAAAGGTTATATGTTATTGAGAAATAGAAACTTGCCATGAACAATAAAGAAAAGGTGTTTGAAAATATTTTGATTGAAATGACGGGAATGGAAAAAATCACGTTAAAATTGATCAGAATATTGGTTAAAATGCTGGCATTGCAAGGGAAAATAGAAACACATTGTTGAAACATATGCGATAAATATTAAAGCTAACTGTCTATTCATCACTATTAGCTGATAATCAGATTGAATATCACTAAACTACATTAATAAATGCGATTTTTTCATAGATCCTTTTCTTGGAGTAGCTGTAGATCCTAGACAATTGTTCTGTGATTGCGGATGAGATAAGATGATTTAGAAATGATTTCCAGGTTGATATTAACTTACCTTCGATCTCTTCCAACAAAATCAAGGGCTCCTAATGGTGAAGCCTTAGACACATCAAAAGGTCCATGTTTAACCAGCAAAACCAGAGCTAAAAATTGATTACGTTCATCATATGATGGGTGAAGAACCTTACCCTCATTTTCTGTCAAAACATTGGAGAAATGAAAGAGAATATTGTAAATTAAAGAGCTCAACAACACTCATCTAGTAACAGTTAAGGTCAAGTGTGAATCAAATGAGTAAATCATTAGATTGAAACTTAAAACAACCTACCTTTAAAAAATTTGGTTGCTGCTTTGAACAGTTGATCCAAAGGAAAACCCCAATTGTTTATCCATTCATCAGTAGGTTTATCTGATTCCAAGTCATTGGATAACTGTGAAGATGGTGCACTTTCTTTGGAGACGTTAGATGTCATTCTACTATTAAATTACAATCAATCACAAATAAATAAATCCATTTAAATAAATAAAAATATGAGATTGTTCAGGATCATGATGTGTTTATTTTTAATACACAGCTAATTTTTGGTTTTGGTGAGAAAAAGTGACGATATGATAGACAGTGGCTCCATCCATCTGTCAAATAATAGGGATGTAAGTTTAAATGGTTTCGTCTTCTAACTTGAGAACCGGCTTTCAATTTGATTAACTATGCTAATTGAATTATTACTTAATTAGCTTCCACAGCAATTTTAATACATAATTTAACGATTCATTCCGTTTATTTTGAAGAAACTCTTAAATTGATGATAAAACTGAATTTTATTTTGCAAATCTCAAAACTAAAGTTAGCAGGAAAATCTGAGAAAATTAAAAATTGCAATAAATTTTTAAATTTTTATAGTAAAGCAATTTAGGAAATTCACTTTGGTTCTTTAATTTCCCTAAATGATTTAACTAATAAAGTAATTTCCAAAATGCTGTATACCCTTAATTGTTCTTGACTTTCAAATCGATGAAATGAAGCCTTTCAGATCTGATCAGAAACAATTAACTTGCAAATTCACTCTCAATTTCATATTTTTACAAATTATTGAAAGCTGTTGAAAGTAGTTTTCCTTCATGAATGTTTCCTGAAAGCTTCTTTAGTATCATTACAAAGTTCATCGGCAATACAGTAGTTAGTAGTAAGGTTTATATTGTAATGTTGATCCGATGAAATTTAAAATCCGAAAAAAACAAATTCAAGAGAAACAAATGCAAGTTTCAAATGTATAATAATAGCCCTGACAATAGTCAAATATGACTGAGTGGCTCTGACTTGACTTATGGCATACTAAGCTTGACCAGCGTTACATCATGTTTTAAAAATTCAAATAAATATAATTTAAGTAGCAAAATTAAAATATCTGGGATGATCAGTCTAGTTTGACCAAAGTCAAGGCAAACATTCTGGGTTTGACCATCCAAAGCTAGTGCGCCCAAAAGGTTATCCTGGGTCCAGTCAAGTGTTCCTGGATGTTCGCTAGAATACCTTCAAGACATTTAGAGAGCTCACTGTATTTCTGGGTACTTTTTTGCAATAAAACACGAATGAGTGAAAATTGTCAGCACTGGGTTCACCTATTTTACGGTATGGCCCACACCGCAGATCTTAATGAAATTTGACTCATAGCATCCTCAAGGGTCGAATGTCCCAGATCCAAATTTTCATCTTCGGCAGATGAAGTTTATTTGTCTAATGACCTGCAATACGAGAGCTCGAAATTTCCCACTGCGTATATGCAAAACCGAGTATTTAAATGTTAATAAATTAATAAATTCAAAATACAGTTAAATTTAGGTAGTTAATCATAATTGGATTGAAAATAATTAAAATTATGAAAAAACTGAACTGAATAAGTTCCATCATATTGGTACTTGCTGTTAGACTATGAAAATAATCTGTGATTCTGTTAACTTAACCCTGCACTAACTATAGTTGATTTGATTTGATTTAAACAAGCTTGTATCATTGATGAATGATTTGAACTAAAACTTGTTAAACTGTGAAGAGATGAAAGAGGAAACAATCTTGAGCACTTTTTGACTTTAAGGATGCGCAGAAAGACGGTTAAGGGCAATGAACCAGTGTAAAAAGGTTATTAACATTAATCGTGCTCAGTTGACCGTGAAATTTAGGTCACATAAAGTCATTCAAGGTCATGTTAGGCTTGTTCAAGGACACTTTTCATCCCTTCCAAGACTTATTTTACCAGTTTCCCAACCTTTTCTTCACTTCCATTAAGGTTAGGTCAACTTTCACTCTCTTTATAAACTTGCATTTGGGTTCTCACCGGTAACAAAAAGATGCCTCATCTTTATAAGCACACACTAAATGCATACATTATATCATATATAAATGTATACTATTATACCGTCTATTATTTGGGGATGAATAAACGCTTTCACTCGAATCAATTGAAAATCGAAACACAATGATGGGCAACTTTTCATTGTATTTTAAGTGTCACTTCCCTCACTCTAACCAAATGAAATATTGTAATGTTTTATTTGATTATAAATTGCACATAACTAATGTTTAAAAATTGGATAATTGAATGGCTAATTGGCAACGAGCTAGAATGGTAAATTAAATTAAAGGTTGACTTTTTTAGCCAAATTTACATTCTTTATTGAAAAATAAACAGCACTCAAAGTTATCGATCAAGAGATCACAGTCAATTTTTTTTTTGAAAAATCGCAAAAATCATGTAAGAATCATGATTCAACAATTAAATGCCAAGTTTGACGAATTTTCATGATGAATTATTTTTCAATCTACTCTGTAGAAGATTTCATTATTCAGAAACGGCAGCTTTGCTTGAGCTGAATGTTTTACAATGTTTTGTTAGCCAAACCAAAATTTAGAACTATTGGTTTCTGATTGAGACAGTGGAAGCCTTCAAATTGGGGAAAAATTCTGCAAGAGAGGAGTCAAATTATTATAACAATTATTTTAACATGAAATATAAAGTGATTGAATTTCTCTGGATGGATGGCAATAATTCAGCTGGCATATCTTTTCTATTCATAACTGAATGAGGTATCTTTCGTTTGATAAAGCCAACATAAATGGGCTGTATGAAATGATGAAAGATAGTCACTAGAAATTAAGATTTTTCGGATTGATTAGCCACCACAAGGGTTTGCTCATTTGACTGATCTACTGGCGATGGACTGGTTTGTTCATGACTAATATCTGTAGTTGGATGTGATTCCTCTGATGGATTGCGTTAATTTATTGAAGTTCCTTTCAAATTGCTATTTTACGCATTTACTTGACAAAATATTCGTGGATCAAAAGTAAAGGTTTGTTACTGTGTAATGCAGTAAGAAATTTAGTTAAACAGAACTCTTAGTTTAAGCTTCAAGCGTATATAAAACAGTATAATTTTGCTAACGTGAATCAACAGAAATATAAATTGATTGAAGTCCAAAAGTTTTAATCAAGATGAATCTTAAAGACACAAAAAAAGTATAAGTCCATATTTAGACGGTACAGTTGTTATTGTAGTTATTATTATCATTATTTATATTAACCTTTGAACACAGTAAGGTTAGTTTGTTGAAGTCTTGGAATAGTATCCATACTCATCATCTTTAACATCTCCATAGTATCTGGGTCAGCTTCAATAACATCTAAATCAATTTCAGAGACTTCAGGTACATAGTTGTCACGACGTTCTCTTTCTTCTTCTTGAAGCTTGATACTGATTCCTCGGACTGGTCCTTTCTCGATACGTTTAATTAAATGTGTAACGAAACCAGCAATCTTATTCCTAAGTTTTTTGCTAGGAATTAAAGCAATTTCTTCACATATTCTTTTATTGGTATGGAAATCCGATGATAATCTAGTGTAGTATTTTTCAATGATAACACGTGAAGCTTTTTTGATTGTTTTGGTACGAACACGACCCTAGAATAGACAGAATAACAAAATAGTTAGTCAATGGTTAACTCACATGAGAAAAACTACTAAAATAAACAAATAACTCACCATGATTGTTGTCAAATTAAGTCACAATTTAAATAAATAATTAAAATACACCAAGATTGCAGACTTCCGAAAGGAATTGAGGGACCATTAGTATATAAACTTTTGTTTATAATTCAGTAAATTTTTTATTTTGCTGTAATTTTTATTTATTAGGAGTTTTATAATACAATCAAATTCAATCTAGTTCAATTCAATTCAAATTCACACTGTGAACTCGATTTTTGTTTGAAATTTTCGTGTGTAGAATAAGGCAGAACAAAATTATGTTTATTTGCTGTGAATATTTATTAACGTTTCTCGATTTTTAACAATTAAGCTTCCTATTTAAGTAATAAACATGTGAGCCCCTAACAGAATGAAAATGTCTACATTACGTTTAATATTTTTCTGTAATTCAGAGAAAATATTGGCCTTTTGCATCTTATTTTGTCTTATTTTATCAAGCATTTTTGCATTTGGAACAATTAGCATGCTGTAAATCCTCCATCAATTGGTAAAGTAATTCCGTTGACCATTGCTGATCTGTCACTGAGAAGATAAACAATTGCATCAACCACATCATCTACTGCCGCAAATCTTCCTAAAGGTATTTTACTTGTCATCCATTCACGTTTAGCAGGATCAGACCAACCTAATTTACCCATATCAGTTTCAACAACAGTAGGATTGATAGAGTTGCATCTTATGTTTGAAGGTCCCAATTCTAATGCGGTAACTCGAGTGATTTGATCAACAGCTCCTTTGGATGCACCATAAACAAGGTGATCTGGTAAAGCAACAATTCCAGCTTGACTTGATACATTAACAATTGACCCAGGTTTACCAGCAGCAACCAATTTTCTAGTAACTTCTTGTGTTACATTGATAACTGATTTCACGTTAATATCAAATAGTCTGTTAAAAATAAAACAGCACAATATTACACCAATTATTTCTAGTCATTTTTAAATAATAAAAGTTAAATTAACTTACGTATTACAGAGTTGCTCATCAATTTGACCGATCGGGACAGAAGCTCCATAACCAGCATTGTTTACAAGAAGGTCGATTGTTTCCAGAGCTGAAACAGCCTTTCGAGTTTCCTCCCAATTAGCAAGATCACATTGTACAATTTCAATCTCAGGTAGCTATGTTTAAATATAAATTAATTAGTTATAATCGTTGTAAAATCACTGTTATAAAAATTACCTCTTCTTTGAGCGAATCGAGGTTCTCTTTGGTTTTACTCAAGGCTACAACAGCTGCTCCAAGCTGGACGAGTCTTTTAGCAGTGGCGCGACCGATGCCTAAACAAAAATGAAATTTAAATAATTATTTAAATATAAATAGAAATTAAATCAAACAATTAACAAAAAATGGTAACTTGCCTCTTCCTGCTCCAGTAACAAGAGCACGCTTCCCTTTGAATGAGATATCCATAATGAAAATGTGTGATTTGTTTGAATCGCTGAAGCTTTATTTAAAAGATCTCGCAATAAGTTTCACCTTGAGTATGATTTAAATCATGATAGATTAACTATGTAACTGTGAGCTCACTTGATCATCCTTGCCTCTTAGATTTTGAAACTTGATTTAGTAATTAAAAGCTCAAATGAGACTATGATATCATTTCACGTGTTCATTTCAACCTGTTCAATAAAGAAATCACCGAAGAAAAGCTTTATCAATTGATACGTAATTCAGAGGCATATTGCTTGGATACTCAACTTATCTGTGAAAAGTAAACTTTTACAATTCCTTTCTATTTTTGAAAAATTAAGATCCTTGAAAATGACACAAATCAACTTGAACAACTCTTAATTGAATGAATATTGCAACTGCTTAGTAAGAGTGTTTATTATTATCAGAGCATTAAATGAATTGACTTAATTGAGGAAAACAAAGAGGGACTCGGCATTATTCCATTTTATCAGGTGAGTTACTTTTCAGGATAAGCAATGACAATTTAGTGTCTGATCCAATATTGAAATAAATCTCTTGCTCATATCAAATTTTAATTATAGCCTTCAAGTCAATTCAGGAACTTTTAGACGACCCAATATGAAAGTTAAATATGTGCATCGATAATCATAGATTAACCAAAGAAGTTGAAGCCTTGAAGCTTTAGAGATACGTCATTCATGAACTTAAATATTCAGCAATGGAAAATTAAATTCTGAATTATTCATCATGTTTTTTGATTCGAGAGCTATACAGTTCCAAATGAACTACAAATTGAGAAAATATCTGATTAAAATTAAGTGAAACTATCATAAGAGCTAAAAATGGTCTCAATATTATGCAATTGCATCAGAACATCATTCAGGATTACATGACAGATAAAGGGATTCAATGATTTGCCGCAAATTTTACTGAAAAGAAAGAGCAAAGAAGGCCTTTCCTCTGTCGCCATCACCTTTTTTAGACTAATATTTTGATTTCTCATTCCACCATTAATGTTCGTCACCAATTAATAAATTGTGGGATTTTTAAGTGTTTGGTCGAAAAGGCAAATTGTAAGTGAATAGTAAATGTTTATAATTCAGAAAGTTTGATTCGGTAACATGTTTAAAGGTATGTCAATTTATTGTTAATTAAATCAGTAAATGCAGAAACATAATAAAGAGCACTGAAAGAAAGCTTCAACATTTGCTTTTTAACATTCTTTGTAATTTAGGTATTCAACTAGCGTATTAGGTATGATTGTTGAGTTAGTTACATCCGTTGATTCCTGTGTCTTTTTCAGGCTTGAGCGACACAAGAAGAGCAGAGATTTAACACACGCCCTTGGTTCCATTATTGATACAGTCCCAAGACGAGTTCTAAAAAATATATAAAAATATAAATATCTTTTGAATACTGAAAAGCTATGGGATCAAGGGAAAAGGTTATGACTTACCCAATAGCTAAGAGACTACCTGAAGGCGAATAAGAACAACATAGAGCTTGGTCAATAGGAGAAATTGCTTCTGGATTCTCAATATTGTCCAAGTCCCAGATTCGGAAGAATCTAATAGATTACAAAATATAAAGTCATTATTAATTTATGGCCTACATTCAAAAATCACAAATCGTACCCATCGTCCGCAACCGAGGCAATATGACCACCATCAGGAGAGAAAGACAAGTGCCTTATAAAGTGACCATTTTCTCCAGCCGCGTAAATCGACCTCGGAGGAGGCTGTAAATGACTATAAATTTTAAAGTATGACAATTAGCATGAGAAACTAGAATCGTTTAGGCATAGTGAGATGAATAAATTCTTACAAGAACTCTTTGAGCTTGTTCCCGGTAGCAACGTTCCAGACAATGACTCGAGCATCCCATGAGCCAGTTGCAAGAAGACTGCTATCTGGTGAAAAATCACAGCTTGAAACATTGTGCTGATGGCCGGCTAGAACGTAGACTACTTTAAACTCAGTAGTATCATAAACATGAACCTGTTTCCATATTATAAATGAAAGAATGAGAAGTTCATACTATAACTGTTTACTATTTATGAATTTAACATACCAGCTTACTTGCTCCAGTTACCGCAAGAAATTTGCCATTGGGTGACCAACAACAAGAAGTTAAAGGTTTACCATCTATTTTGAGAGTCTCAATCAAATTACCTTCCTCTGTCAAGTTCCAAATTTTAAGGAAACCGTCGTTAGAGGTGGAAGCCATGATTTGATTCGAACATGGTAACAATGAAATATCCGTAACAATGTCTTTGTGAGCAACAAGTTCCAACAATATTTTTCCTGTAAAGTGTGAGATAAAATTGTTGTGAAAAAATTACACAAGAATATAATGACACAAAGGCCAAGCAAGATAACACATTGCTTGAACTCAACAAGAGCACGAGAGTAATAAGATGTTATAATTTACCTGCAATGAGATCCCAAACTCGAATCCTTCCAGTTCCATGACCAGTTATAAGAAAAAAATCTTTAAATTGGGCAAAACGAGACCAAAAGTTTTTAGTTGAATCAAGTTGTTTGATACTACAAAATTTTAAACTTCGTACAAGATCACCGCAATCAATTGTGATTGGAACCAATCGAGATTTACGACAGGGCCTAAAAAAGAAAGGACAAAAGGCGATTAGATCAAATTTCAATAAAACCACTAACTAAACATAATAAGAGAAACAAAAATAAAGGTTTACAATTAAAACGATAAAACAGTGAATTTAATTTCCACTGTAAATAAAACCGAAAAAATGGAAAGCATTGCATTAGTATGGAAATCTATCCCTAGCAAGAGCCACAATACATTGTTTTGATCCAGACTTTTGGATTCATTTGAATCAATATTGAATGGATATTATTCATGGGTGTTAATCTATTTTAATGCAATTATCAAATCTAGTCATTTTATACGGATGAATATTTTCATGAAAACTTTTGCGAGTTTCGTAACTCTGACAAACCATGGCAACTCTGGTAATGACATCGTTTATTTCAACTGACAGATTCAATTAAAACTGGTTCAGGATTGACTAAATGTGTGTTTCCTGAACACTTCATCAAACTCACTTTTCATTCAAACTATCCTTGGTGAATAAATTAGTGTCGTTTATATCCCTATATCACTATAAAATTGAAACACTAGACGTAACTCTAGCTGTCCAACAAGTATAATACCTAAGGTAAAGGCTGATGGTAAGTAGCTGCCAATAACAATTACTTTAACGAGAGCAAATTTTCGCATGTCTGATTCCAATCAATAAAAATAAATTATACACACGCATCTATAAAAAGAATCAGATGAAGTTGACAATCTTTACCCAATGGTTAATACAATGAATAGGAAATTAATTATTGAAATGACTATTTTTAGCAATTAAATGGTTCAATGGATATCAATAATCAAATTTAGCGCGGCTTACTTGGCTGTTATGTCAGAGCAAGGAAGTATGGTTACCAATCTATGACCAGCCGACCAAGCAAAGCAAGTATCATCAGGGGAAAAAGCACATTTCCAGGTTTCAGAATCGGATGAAGGTGATCCGTGGATCGATTTGTTTGGTACCAATTGTTTCAATACTTTGACACTTTCTGGTAAACAAAATTACAGTGTTGTTAATTGTTACCAAATGTTACAGTCAATGAGTTTTGTACAAAGAAATGAAAAATATGTTGTTCCTGGAGCCAACTCTTTTAACCAATTTGTATATTTAGCTTCACTTCAAATAACAAGGTATTTATTATTTCATCCTTTTCACACTTTTTTTCATTATTATACATTTTATATGATGATGTTTCTCATAATAACTTTCACTTTAATACTTGCAGTCTATTTATACTTACACCAGAAGAAAGCTATTTAATCTGTTGGCTTCAACTCAAGAAATTTACGATCTTTCATGTAAATATTTTAAAGACTCATCATTCATCATATTATTGATAGACATAAAAGGCTTAGTCTTGTCTAAAGTACATCAACTTATTCACTGCTTTGAAAGCAATGTTAAATTTTGAAATTTACAATGTATTCAGAGTTTTCCCTACCTTGATAATGAATCTTAAATGAACTCAACAACGCAGACAAATGTATAAACGATGAGTTATGAACAACAGATGAATTCTTACTGACAGTTGTAAGTATAGATAAGTCGTGTGAAGTTCAAAGTTCATGTTATATAAAAGGTATGTAATGAATAATGAAATACTCACTTTCACAACCGGTGTTTGCCTTGAGGTTGATAGCCATTCAATGTAACAGACTAAACTATCACAAAAAAGTGGTTTATCTGTAAAATAAATGAACGTTGATGAAGAGATTTAGGTTGACAAAATTACAATCAATGAATTTAAGATTGTAATGATTCAATGATTTGGGTATAAATAAAAATTAAGATGCAGGTTTAAAAAAGGTAACAATCAGACGCACTTAAATAAACCTTTGATAAACCTTTGCACTTTTCACTTTTTTTCTGATGTAAAGTTCAAAGAACCAAGAACTGTTGAATATATGATTGATTAATCTCTGATTATTATTTCTATTTCAGGCAGGTTTGGACAAGGAAGACAATAATAACAAGGATGGATTTGTTGGACAGAAATATCGAATAATCGTTGGGTAGAAATGTCACCAATCAAAATGAGATACAATAACAAAGAAGTTAAAAGTTGCCGACTGTTAAAGTGACTGCTTACGGATGAAAATAAACTAATGGTTGGAAAATTGATCAACAGAATGCCGTAGAATGAAATGAAACAATAATGATACTGAATCAGAGTGAATTCTCAAATGATAAACATGCAATAAGGATTGTCAAAATTACTAAACATGCGTCATGTAAGTACCTTTTTCAACGAAGCAAAATCGATTTTATGCCAACTCAGTCTATTCATATACTTTTATCTTGTTTTCTTCAGGCTTTTCCTCATCTTCTTTCCATGGCTTCCTACTGATTCATAGAAGTAGATTTTCATCAACTCATATATTTCCTATCTCATTTCAACTCTTATACACCTTATAATACTCATTTTCTGGTTGCTTTAACCTGAAATCAATAAAGACGCTGGTACCATATTTTGATTAATGGGAGGATCTATTTTGTTGACCCAAAACTTGTATGCTCATGGACATATTGGTGTGATTATTTTGTCATTTTTCAAGCTTGAGATCTTTTCAAGGAAAAACTTTTACCATCAACCAGAGTTTAATTCAATTGCTTGACCAAAATTATTGTTTCCCATCAAATTGATTGGTTAATGCGTATCAAAAGTCAACTAGCTGTTTCACTAGCTAAAGATACATTAATCTTACCCTAAACTTGTGCTGACATTGAGCATACAATTTTATAACCACTTTGTGTCTATGAATAAAAATGGGTTTCATAATTATATTATAAATAGCATTTGTACAATTATCATACAATTTATAACTATGAAATATTGTAATGCTAGATGGAAATTTCATCATCTACGATCAAAAATGTTCATAAAAGATTAACATTGACATTAAAATTGACTTTAAGCTTTAATCTCAGATTTGTATTCCATTTGTTATGGCAACTAATTTTCTCACAGCATTTAATTTTAAATTAAATACCATTGATTTAGCTTTCTTTCAAGATCTTTCTCATTCCAATATTTCTGGTTCATTTCATAAAATGACTTTTTTTCGAACTGCTAAGCCATTCTTAATATTCAACTAATACATCATTAATTTACTTTCATATTATGTGTGACAAAAATTAAGGAGCTGAAGTATTAATTATATCTGAGCAGCTTTATTATGTCAGCACAGTACGAAATTTAGATGATCGTACCTCAACAGTTGTGTCAAGTCCAACATCAATCAGCGTGATTCTGTTTATATTAATATTCGAATTGATTGCTGTTAATCGCTTCAAAATTGAAGCATTGCTTACGGCCATCTACAAATCCCGGCCTACACATTTGCCAGCCTTGGATAGATCCTGATTAGATTGCAATTTATTACTTAAACTTTATTTAGATACAGAATTACTATTCAAAATACAATTCAAAATAATATCAATTGTAAATGGACAATCAATAGTTGGTCATATTTTTAGTTCAACAGTAAACAAATTAAATATTGATACCAGAGCAATGTTGAAAATATTTAACTTAAACAACAAACATTATAATTATTTATGTTTTTACATCATTGAGACTCCATTGATTGGTTCTAATCCTGGATAATTTAAAAAAAATACAGATTATTTGAATTAGTAATTAGGTTTTATCATCGAATCCCAAGCTCACCTTCTTTTCTTCCAACTCGAATGGATTGTAACCTAAATGGACGTCTCGGTAATTCACCAGCACTTAATGATCCACTGAAAAAATCATCTTCTTTACCATTCCGAGTGCTCGGTAAAGATTTACTTAATTTTCTATCTCCTTGATTATCATTTACATTCGTTATTGTGGATTGATTTGTAGATGTTGGCGTTGAAATGGACGAATTAGCTAATAACGGTGATTCGTGTTGAACAATTGAAGTGGTCATCGATTTACCAAAATTACCAATCGGCTTTAAACTGTTGTTCAGATTTTCTTGGCTATTGCTTATAAGGTTATTTCCATTGGATAAATTACTTTTTGAGCCATGTAACCCAGTTAATCGATTTGGCCTGATTCCATTGATTGCTCCGGTGACTGTGAAACTAATATTTGTGAGACAAAATTTCTATCCAACAAGAAACATAAAATAGCAAAACAAACCGAACTCAAAATATAAAAAAAACACGAAGCAAAGCAAAGCAGAGCAAAGTAAATGGATAAAACCAGTTTTGAAAAGCAAAGCGCGATAATTTTTTGATAAAAACTTTAACTTACGATTAGTAACTTTACGAACATTGTTCAGCAACTCTTCTCGTCTTTTTGGCTTGAAATAATTTGCTGCAATATTTTCTTCCGCTCCTTTCTCAAACTTTTGAAGTAATCGAAATTCAGAGAGAGATTCTTTATCCTCTTCATCAATCATATCATCAACATTATTAGAAGAGAAACTTCTTCCTGGCGATATCGATCGAGAAAATAGAGATTTTTCCCTTCCACCGGGCTGAATTCGGCCCACCTGACCAAAACTGCTTCCAATCAATGGTGTCGAGCCTGGAGGTGGAGGAAGTTTAGTTCTGGTTACAAGCAATTCGGGTAGACGCCATTTCTGTAAATCTTCATCCCAGATGCTTTCACTTTTAACCTTGTCGATGTTGGCATAATTACAATCTTTACGAACACAAGGTTGAATTTTGTCCAAAATTTGGGCCAACAGTTTTATTTGTTGATCTTGCCGTCTGATTGTTTCTAAGTAATCTGTCCTTTCCGTTTCAAATTCACTTTGTAAATCTTTTACTTCACTTTCCAGGGTTGATATTTTTCTTTTGGCTCTTTTCAGTAAAGCTGTTCTGGCCCTTAATTCCTCTGTAATATCACCGTAAGCTTTGAGCAACAACTGGTCATCATCATCAAGCTTTTTAAGAGCTTCAGAAACTGCGGCCATTCGTCTTTCAGCGATTCTTTTTCTCTTTGTTCGCTTTTCTTTCAATTCTGGATCATTTGCCTTTTCACCTCCAACCATTCTCTCTTGGAGTGCTTGAATCCTTTCTATTGTTTCAGCTTGAATTTGTGCGATGTTTCCCTTTTCTCGGTCTAGATCTGAAACCGGTGAAACCATTGGTCCATTGATTTGAATTGGAGTCTCATTAATCAACTCATCAGGATCTCCTTCATTGTGTATTATGGCCTCATTTCCCTCCCGAATCAACCTTTGCTCCATAGTTTCTTTCAATTTGTTCATATCATTCTTCAATTGAGCATTTCTAGCTTGTTCCTCTTTATGTTTTTCAACCAATTCTTGCATTTTTTGGTCGTATTCTTGTTTTATCTTGTCAAGTACATCATTATCAATTACATTTGAGCCTGAAAAAGTCATGAGAATATAATATTATTAAACTTTAATAACAATTCTAATTTTAAGAAGATTCTGTAAAAATAATAAAGGATGTGACACTCAAAATGCTGAATAAACTCTTTGAAAACTTACTTATTTGAGAAACTGTTGATGTCGATAGCAGAGATTTGAGTCTTTGAATTTCCTCTTGATACTCGCGTAACAAAGCATCTTTCGGATCTTCATTTATCGTTGGTTTGTTTTGAATATTCTTGGCACGATTGGCATACCTCAGTGTACTAAGGGTTTCATCATAATTATTGTCTGCCGGTGAAAGGCAAGCAACCATCAAAGTTTTCGTGTTACCTCCTAATGAGTCCTGCAGAAGACGAGTCAACTTTGAATCTCTATACGGAATGTGTTTGCATTTACCATCGACTAGTGCTGAGATGACGTTACCCAAAGCAGAAAGAGACAAATTAATTTTTGTTGCCTCTTTCAATCGATCTCCAGTGGCCCCTGTTTTAGCCTGTCTTTCACTTCCAGCCAAATCAACGAGATTCAATTTTCCTTTGCGTATAGTTGTATCAAAATCAGCCATTTCACCAGTTTGCATTCGCTCTAGTTGAACTGTGAATATTGAATGTGACCGTGATGAGTCTGCATTCATCAAAGTTGCTCCAACAGAACGATTCTTCCATCCCAGTTCCATTAATTGTTCACATTGTTTAACATCATGTACTGGGTGACATGATAATCCTGGGACAAAAACACCTTGTTCAGGAGCTTCTTTCAGATCTAACTTTTTCTTTGAGTCAGTCCCAAGAAGATCACGAATCTCTTCATTGTAAATTTCAAGATAAGACGCATGAACTAGAAATTTGGTGTTTTCGGTAGCGGCTATGGCTTCAAAAATGTGCTCAAATGCTCTAGGAATGATTCCCTTTTGGCTTGCCGGAGTTGTGATTCCTTGCATAGTAAATGATTTACCACATCCTGTCTGTCCGTAAGCAAATACGGTTCCATTGTATCCTTCGGTAACACTCTGGTAAAAATATAAATTTGTTAAATGACCATTCAGGGTTTAATGAAGTAATTGAATGATTGTTACCAAAAATACAGACGGATAATTGTACATTTTTAGGCAAAGTACACTGGTATTGAATTCTGGTTACAAAGCAACTTTCTAATGGCCGTTTAACAAGATGATTTGGTTTCATTAGATTCAGAAGACTGCAAGACATTTCGAGCTATGCACCAAATTTATTTAGTCTTCAATTACATGGTCGATTCGCGCATAAACTGACATTTTCTGCTAATTTAACAAACATTAAGATATATTGTAAAGAAGTTTGTTGCTAAAAAGACACAATAAACACAATTGTAGCATTTTTGCACAAATTTACACAAACACTGCATGAAAAATGGCCAAAACTCGGTAAAAATGAACCTCAATCAAATTTAGACTCGTCTAATTTGTTAAGAAACAAAAACTGAGTCTTTTTGTGCTATTTATTAGTTTCTATGATCAACAGTCTTCGAGAAAACCGAGTTCGAAGTTGAAACTTTGATCGCTTTTATTTCAATAATGAAAGCAGATTTTTCCATAAAACTCACTTTGCTAATGTAACATCTTATAGTTAACTAGAAAAAGCACTTATTTTCACAAATTAAATTTCCCGTTCAAAATAAAACGGATAAGTTCGATTCGCAGTTAAATCGACTTATCTCTGTAAATATGACAGTTAGAGAACTGAAACTTATATTACGGCATTAAAAGTTGTATGCACACATTTTGTACCGAATAATTTCTTCCGCTCAGCGACGGTTCTTTCGATTTTACACTTTGGCCTAAAAACTTTGACCCTGGATATTTCGAGAACGGTAGCCTCTACAGTCATCATTGTTTGGCCAAACATGACATGATATTATTGGCTATAAAATATTGCAATGTTAAATTATTAAAGACCATACAAGATTAGTTATAACATTGTATTAATTGGGTTGACAGATTTGATACCAGATTAACAAAGTAAATGGTTACTTATGATGTCTTGGAATAAGATTCATTATTAAATGAATTAGCACAAATTTCTTCGTTAACCATTCTTCTATTGTTATAGTCCATAATAAAATCTAATGTTCAGCCAAAAAATAATGATTGTAGATGTTACCGTTATCGATTTATCGAGGGTCAAAGTTTTTAGGCCAAAGTGTAAAATCGAAAGAACCGTTGATGAAGGGAATAATTTATTCGCTACATAATGTGTGCATACAAATTTTAATGACGAATAATAAGTTTCAGTTCTCTAACTGTCATATTCACAGAGATCGGGTGATTTAACTCAAATTCGAACTTATCCGTTTTATTTTGAACAGAAAATTTTATTTACAAAAATAAGTTCATTTTCTGGTTAACTATCAAAAGTTACATTAGCAATGTTAGTTTCATGAAAAAATTAGCTTCCATTATTGTAATAAAAGCGATCAAAGTTTCAACTTCGAACTCGGTTTTCTCGAAGACTGTTGACCAGAGAAACTATTGAATAGCACATATCGACTCCGTTTTGATTTCCCTACAAACTAACAAGGTCTAAACTCGAAAGAAATTAATTTCTACGCGTTTTTGTCCATTTTTCTTGCAGTGTTTGTGTAAATTTGTGCAAAAATGCTACAATTGTGTTTATTGTGTCTTTTTAGCAACAAACCTCTTTACATTACATCTAAATGTTTGTTGAATCAGTGGAAAATCTCAGTTTATTCCCGAATGGACCATGTAATCGAAGACTAAATAAATGTGGTCTATATATTATATATATAATATAATATATCTAAATGTAACCAAATCATCTTTTAAAATGCCCATTATAATAACAATTACTTAATAATGTTTAATTGCCTACAAATGGACACATATCCATAATCATTCACTGTTCCCATAATTGTAATAAATCGATAGAACACGATGATTTCGAAGACTGTTCATCAGAGAGATCTTTAAATCGCGTAAATGGACTCAGCTTCCACTCCCCTAAAAACCCATAGAGTCTAAATTTGAAAGAAACTAATTTTTACCCGTTTTCGTCCATTTGTGTCGATTCTTGCATAGAATTTGAAAACAACATTTTAAACTCGTTAAATAAGTTGTATTACTATAACTGTTTTGCATAAAAATCAATAAAAACAATTTAATATCACCATTAAGTACTTTCAATCACTTTCATAATATTAAAAGTCGTAACATGTTTGTACTGTTTTTGTTAACATTGGTAATAAACTTACCTCAACAATGGGAAATACAATTTCGTTATAAATCTGTTCTGTCGTAGAATCAACGAAATAAGCGCCATCAAATGTAAATGGCTTGGGAAGGGCTTCTGGGTCATGAGGATTAATGATGCTGCATTGGCCAAGAGCAGGGTTGATCTGGACAATAACCTGAATTAGGAGAGTTAAAAATGAACGAAAACATAAAATTTCATTGTAAAACACTTTATCAATGGAAATCGATTGAACCAATTTTCTTAGGAAAAGAAGACATGAAAATCTGATGCTTACTTTGCATTTCAAGTCCTTTTCTCTCTGGTTGAGAGGCCGGCATCGAACTATAACTTTGACTGCCTCTGAAGACATAACTCATCGCTATAGCTGACTACAAGATTCTTAAGGTTTAATCCATTGAGCTGACAAAAAAGTCACAAAATAACCACATCGAACCGGTACTTTACTAAACACCAATTGCGCAGATTTAAGTAGAAAGTTTAGGTTTACTTTGAGATTAAAGTCACAATATGATGAGATGAAATGACCATGTTTTAAAACAATTGCGGGCAAAGGTAATGATAAACAGATCAACAACCAGTACAATAATAAAAAGAGCAATGGTGAAGAAAAAGGAAGAGGTAAAACAACAGGGAACTCAACAGTTGATTTATTGATGAAAACAAAATCGAGACATGTAGATCAGTTTATGAGAAAAATTGATCTATTAACCTAGAATTCTGGTGACAAGGTAAAGGCGAACGTTTAAAAATTAATAAATCACAAGGCTAAATTAACCAAAGTTGTTTAAATAATTAAAAATATTGTGAATAACAAAGAGAAACAACGGGAAAATGAAAGATATGGAAATATAAACAACGAGGCAAAATGGTGACACACTGGACAAAAATATTAAGATTCGTGTTTTTTGATAGACAAAAGGTTAATAACAAGATCGTATCACACAAGACAATTTAACTTTGTAAACTATAGCAGTAATCAAAATCAATTATAATTATTGTTCAACAGCTTTTTTACCTTTACACTTGAAATGGCCTAGTCAACCTTTTACAGTCAGTTTGTATCATCAATTCCATATTGACTACTTTTATTGTTGCTATTAGAAACTAACGATCATTTCCAAGGTTTATTCTCTTTCTTTTTTCTTCAATCGATCAATTGGATGAATTTTATCAAACTACCAGCAATCATGATCATAATAACACTAACTGTAATGAAATATGAAAACAAACTGAATTGACTGAGTGTCTGAAAATCAAAGGTTTGCATATAATAACAGTTTATTAAGAAATGCATTTCAAGTGTAAGATTTGTCTTCAACAATGAACAAGATCCCTGAATTTGTCCAGTAAAGTGTTTCATATTGATATTGAAATAAATTTACAATTGTGCACTGAATCTTGAGCATCAGCTAATCATTGATCTATTTTGATATTTCATTTTTTCTTCATTTCTTCTTTTTCAATGCCAAATATTTTAACCATTAAACTGAGTTTATTTTATTGATTGACAGTCACTTTTCAGATTATACTTAATTAATAATTTACAATCCCAACTTTCAATAAAAGTTTTATCATCTCTATCAATAAACAATTAAAACGAAATATTCAGATGATATTTGATTAACCAAAACTTACAAAAACTGTTAGACAATACAATAAGTAGAAAACAATTTGTAAGTTGTATTGTAAATGTGCTTAAGCTGGGAGTTTTGGGTACTTAAACACACTAATTTGAAATAAGTAGTCAGGGATAAGTTGATAGATTTTCGTGTTTGGACCAGCCGCGATAGCTTTAGCTGTATGACCTTTCTAGGTGTTTTATCGACCCATAGGTGCTAGGCTTTATCCAGCTTAGCTGGAAATCCACCAGGAAGGGAGGATGAGATAGTCCAGGAGGCTCAACCCTGAGGAGGCAACTAACTCAAGAAATTTATGATCTTTCTAGTAAATTTGTAGATTGATAAAACAGAATGCCGTTGCATGAAATTAATTAAAAATGATACTGAATCTGAATAATTCTCAAATGATAAGGATTGTTAAAAGTACTAAACATGCGTTTTTCAACGAAGCAAAACGGTTTTATGAAAAATTTTACAAAATGAATAAATCTTATAAAAGTCAAATTTAGTCAAATATTATAGATTAAAACTTTGAGGCTTCAGTTGACCATTGGAATAGAGGAAATCAAAACTGTCATAAACTTGCCTGGATTGAAAACGCAAACTCAATTGATTTCAAATGAATTTTCTCAACTTCAAAAGTTCAAACTTGTTGGCAATTTATAGATTTTTCAATAATGAAACTCTCGCAGGAATGCAATTTATTTCTGTGTGTAATGTTAAAGTGAAAGTAAAAACTTGAAGAACATCAATTTAGCTGTTAACAAATTAACGTTTTACTAAACTTTCATTGCATTCCACTCCATGCTTCTTCCAAATAACTTAGAAACTTTCAAATTAAATTGAACTGAATGTTATAATTTCGTTTAATAGACATTTCAAGAAAAAAAAATATTTTTTTTATAATTTTGAGTGTGAATAACACTTTTTTATTGGCATGCAATCTCTTTGTGAATAAATCACAAACAAATTAATAGATTAAGACTTGGAGGAAAATCACAAAATTATCATCAAAACTTTGGTTCAGAGATGTTTTATTTGATTTATTCTACATCTCGGAACAAATTTGATTTCGTTAAAATCTTAAGGAAAATTGTTTATACAAAAGAAGCCAAGCGAAACACAATCCTTTTTGTGCTGAAAATAATTGATTCTATTCCAGTCAGAATAATTGACAAAATTATCAATTATTTCTTTGTCATAATTAAGTTTATCGAGTTGAAAAATAATGAATTTATTCCACCGGGCTTGATGTGTGTAATTATACCCATGAAGGGCCCACCGAGAAAAGGAAGTTTCATTCAGCTTCAACCTTCAATTTTAAAAAATTGCCAGTCTTGATCCATCATGACTTTAAGTTTGACGAGATGATTTTAGCCAGGGTAATGAAAAAGCTCTGAAAAGAAAAAGCAAATAATCAAAAAGAAACTCATTAATAAAGTTAAATCTAGTTTACTCAATATAACGTCGAAGCATAAAAAGTTAAACTTACTTTGGCGGTAAATTTGGAATTGGAAGGCCAAATGCCATGCCTGGTATTTTATCAGATACTTCAATAAATTGAACTGAAAAATAAGATAAAACAATTAGTTATTGCTGCAATTTTCAAGTTCCAATTTTTATCATCAGGACTTACCTTCTTTCGTCCTAGGGAAGAAGTTGCTCAAATTACTTCCCGCTTGATTCGTTGAACCGTTAGAGCCGGGAGAATTATCGCAATTAATGTTATTATTATAGTAACGACCAGATCTGAGTCTTTCATTGAGTCTTTGTTCTCTTAATCGTTGAATATCCCACCTTTAAAAAAAATATATCAATTTAGTAATCAAATGTTTATCAAAGTGGATTACAATATAGAGACAAAAAACAATACCTTTTTCTCCTTTTCTCGTCGCTTTCGAGTTTTTGGTGTCTTTTCAAGAAAGTGTCGTCATCCAGACTCTGTAATTGAAAATAGTTGCATTGCATTAGTATAAATCTCAAAAATTTGATTTGGTACAAAAATAGTAACAGTTCAATCGAAATAGGAATAAAAAAAATTTACCTCAATACCATCAGTGGAGAGACTATCAGGTATGTGAATAATCCTCCAAGAAGGTACTTCTATTTGATTACCCTTGATTGTTACATCGAGGGAGGAAGACTCATTTCTTTGGATTGTATCCTTATCATCTTGACAGCTGAAGAGATCATATAATTCATCGGTATCCAGAGAATTTACATTTGTACTTGTTTGTTTACAATTCACACTATTTACAGATAGTTGATCAATGGTCGAGCTGCTGCTTCTTGATACAGTTCGACGACGTTTTTTACTACACGATTTGGTTGAAGAAACTTTTTCATCTGCAGATTCATTGTCAATTGATTTATCCGAAGATATTGGAAGATCACCTTTATTGGTCTGAGCAGCAACACTTTTAGTGTTTGTTGGTCTTTTTCTTTTCACAGCTGATTTTTTGTTATCTTTTGAGTTGCTTTTCTTTTCCTCTTTAATTTCTTCTGATTTCTTTTTACTTGTTTCAGTCTTGACTTTTTTCTTTCCAGAATTGGAACTTGGTTTTGGTTTAGTGTGATCACTAGTATCGTCATTATCCCCACTGCTTAATATTTCAGTGCCGCTAGTTAATTGGAGACTTTGATTAGATGGTGATGGAGCCAGTAAATTTGAATTACAAGTTCTTGGTGAAACAATAGCGGGATTTGATGTAGATAGGGGAGATGGCGTAGAGTATACATTTGTAAACATGCCAGTCATATCGTTGGTATCACTCAGACAGCTGATCATCATTTCAGAATCAGAACTTTGTGCATTTAATTCACTAATAGTTTCAGTATGAGTAGTATCCCCAATTATCAATGTAGATGTTCCAGAATTTGTTTCTAATAATTTTCGTGTTAAAAAGTTGATCCGACTTTCCATTTTTTCTATCTTTAAACACAATGTTTCCCTATCATTCTTTAAACCTTGTAACTGGCGCTCTTTTTTCAGTAGTTGTTCTTGTTGGTGTTGAATCAAATCTAATTGCATGAGAATCATGTCTTTTAATCTATTTAGAGAAGAGAAAAGTAATTAGTTATTAGAGAACTGGTTATACTATAAATGTCACAATATTTTTTACCTTTTGATTTGAATTTTATCTTCATTGATAGATCCAGCAGCAGCTCCAAACAATGAGTTGTTTGTATCAATACATGCACTATTATTAAGAGATACACCAATGAGTGAATTAATATCACCGCCGTTTTTAGTTATTTGAGAAGGTAATTTAGTGCATGAGATGTGATCATGAAAGGCTGCGGCTAAATTGACCTTGTGAGTAATCCTAGGATTATCATTAGCTGACATACTACAAGAGCCTTTAGTTTGATTAGTATTGAACCCAATAACCTTTCCAGATGGTGTTGAGTTTGACTTGGTAGGTTCAATCACAGTAACAGAGGTAAGGTGACGATGAGACTTCTCGTGAAGATGAATGTGGTTATTGTGAACTCCGTTGGTTAATAGAATGGTTCCAAGATGATATTCAGATTTCATTCTGACATTAATCACTTTTGACAGAAGTCATGAAATTTGACATGCGATGATAAAAGAAACAGAAAAAAACAAAAGGGGAAATAAAGAAAAGAAGAGACTAAGGCCAGTGAAAACCAGCAACAAACAAAAAAAATTATCACCCTTTATGTAAGATGATAGTGACACTTGATTTAACAATAATTTACTCAATCAACATGCGAGATCTCAAAACGAGAATCTCTAAGGTCTATTTTAAACATAATTTCAAACATCTCACATGTCAATTAAACAGATTTAAATTAAGTCTATTTGATAAACAATAAAGTGACATAACTTGGGAAACAAGAGAAGTGGAGGCCATTTTATCAAAAAAAAACATGCTCAGTATCATATTTAATATTCCTAATTGACCTTTATGCGTCGTAAATAACTCGCAATGATCTTCGGAAATTAACTTCACCATTTAAATATGAATTTGAAATAAAATTAATTATAATAAATTATATCCTTTAATTGTGCCGAGCTATCGCAATCAACCGAACGTACAATACTAGACTGAATTACCGAAACCGCTGCGGTAATCCTTACCGATTATTTTTTGAAGGTCTTCTGATAAATTTTCATTTCAATACAATTTTATTGCCTTATAACTTGTTTATAACTTAAATTGAATTTATGATTGATTATAAGAATTATTCAAATCTGTAGTTAATTATCAGTCAATTATTGATATTTTATCAACTTTTCAATCCAAGTGTTAAGTTATTATTCTTGAATAGAATCTGATTACGTGTGATTTTTGGATAAACAATATATTTTATTTGCTCTGAAGTTTATGAAATTCTCAAGAGTTTAATCAAGTTTCTTTGAAATTCAATTTCAATTGAAAAAATAAACAAATTTCGAGAATTGATTGATTTAGAAACTTGAAGTAGGCGCCTTTGTTTATGATGCTCTTATTGGCTGTTGATTTCGAAGCGAGGCAACCACAAGCCATTGGTTAAAGAAAAAGCTTCATTTCTTGAAAATTAGTCTTCGAAGATAAATCGTTTTTGAAATTAAGTATCGTGAAAAGTTTTCAACTTATAACTCATGAAAATGGATAGTGATGTTATAATTAAAGGATCTCGAACTCGACCTAATCCATTCAAACTAGTTCCTTGTGAAAAATATGGCAATAATACTGAGGTAAATATTAGACTTCTCGCTTGTATGGTTTTTGACAATTTTTGTCAGAAGTACTTTCTGCTTGTTTTCACTCTATTTTGTTCATCAGTTTTAATTGTTCTCATTGAATTTTATTTTATTTAATATGTATCTCTTTAGGCTCCATTCATCTTAAATCTAAGTGTTGAAGCTTTAGCTTTAATTGATGTTCACTCTCACTGTGTTCAAACCGAGGTTATTGGACTTTTGGGAGGCTTGTACTGCTCTCGGTACAGACAATTAAATATTTTAACTGCTGAGCCATGTGAAAGTTTAACTGCTGGGACTAGTGATTTACAATGTGAGATGGATCCAGGTTAGTTTAATTTTTCATTTGCAGTCAATTTCAATAAAAGCGACAAGCTAAAGTTGCTCTTGCTATCTTTTGACCGGTGACTCATTTTAAACTCACGTTTCTTTTAGTCTCTCAAGCTGATGCCTTTGAAAGGTTAACTAAGGCAGGATATCAAGTTGTCGGTTGGTACCATTCTCATCCAACTTTCGTGCCCAATCCAAGTCTTAGAGATCTCGAGACTCAAGCTAAATATCAGCAGCTTTTTGCTGATGGAAACCAGCCATTTCTTTCTTTGATACTAAACCCTTACTCCACACCTCATCAAACTTTAACTAAAAACAATCTTGTCTCAAAATACAAGTGCCTTATGCTTAGTGAACATATTTCATCATCTCAGGTAAATCAGTTTATTCAATAACAAGTTCTAATTAAATTGTTTCCAGCCACTAAGCTATATCTTTGTATCTTGCAGAACGAATCAAGAACGCCATATGCCTTTAATCCTCTTTTAGTGAGAAGAGAAAAGCTGTTTTATAATTTGACCCATCGTTTGGAAGAGTTATGTTCTAAAATTGAAGGGAAACCTTCAACTCTTTGTATCACCGACAAGCTCAGAGGAAAAGATATGCCATATTTGACCAAGGTAAGTGAATATATTTTTAGCTATTTGGCACAAAAATTATCCTTAATATTTGTTTTTTTTCATTGTACCTACACAGATCTTAACAAGTTTAAGGCACCATTTTGAGACTACAGGGTTATCAAAAATCGAGTCGGAACGTTTGGTTGATCAAATACGGGCAATACTTCTAGAGCATTTGAGGAGCAAACCTAATGGCAAATAGAAGGACGCAATTATCATTTTTTTACAGCAAACCATTTCAGATATCCATCCCATCGTTCATTAACGTTTCATTTGTTAATTTTTGGATAAACAATAAAGTTTTTGATAATTTATAATAATCTATGTATACTTTTGGTAGACTTTACGCAAATAAAGAGTCAGCTATAATTTCATATATTTTCAAGTTATCAACTTGAGATGTTATTTGACAATTAAATAGCATTTAAAATTAATTAAGCTGTTGGTTTTTAATCGAAAATTTCCAATGGATCCATGTCTTGATATTCTTCTCCTTTTGGTTTTTTCTTGTTTCGCCCTTCTCTTATCACAACCTTATCCTTGTATTTGTCTGAAGCTTGTTGCCGTAACATTCGCCGTCTAACATTTGGATTGACAAATCCTGGATTAGAATAAATCACAGGACCACCAAGACCACCTTCAAAAATTTTGATTAAATTTAAGCAAAATCTCGGACCAATTTCAGCGAGTGAGCCTTCCTCTCCAACAATTTGATAATTACGGAACCAGATTCTTTTATCCAAAATAGTGAATGTATAAACATGGTCAAAAAACGGTTGGCTTTTCGGGTGGTGTTTTGGAACGCCAAATGTCTGTTGAAAATAATTTTATTAGTTTCAGGAAAATAAGTGTGAAAATGGACAATTTGAAATACCTGAGAGAACAACTCTTTGAGTAAAGACAGTTGAGGAGTTTTGTCAAATTCAGGATCAAATGAAAGTAAAGGCCTGGATCCTCGTAAACAATTTCCACTAAGACGAAGCTCTTCCATGGTGTGAACTTGAAAAGAATGGATAAAAATAGTTTAATACCAGTGCTGATAACAATATTAAGCAACTTACTGTTTTCTATCATAAACTTTGCCGAAGGTCCATTTGGTACGTTAGCAACATATAAATAACTATCTTTTCGCTTCTTATTAATAAAGAGTAAGCACTTGTTACAATTGCGTGTTTCACAAATTTCTAATGCGTCACTGAATAGGTCACTCTTTACACTGTCCAATTTGGGTTCTGTAAAGTTGAAAAAGCATTGAAATTAGCAACATAAGATGAAGAATCGATGAAAGGAAACAAACCTGATTTTGAATGAGGCATTAAAGTCCGTAGGTTTAACATTAGATGTCGATCACGAGCTGTGATTCCTCTAGCTCCAAGAACCATCACTCTTTGTCTATTAATCCATTCAGTCTAAATCATAAAAAAATCAGCATGTGAAATAAAAATAAGCACATTTAAACAAATAAACAAGTTACCTTTCTTATTTTCAACAAGTCATCGGAGAATAAGACTTCATTTTGATTTTCAGTTTTTTCTGGCTCCTTATCAGTAGCTTCATTTTGTTTATTGCCGCGTTTACGCTTCCCCATTATCAATTTATTTTAAACAATTAGAAACAATTACAAAAACCAAATAATAAAGAATTAGAACTATCTAGTAAGTTGATGGCAAAACTCTTGTAAACAGAATGGATTTATTTTTGCACGTTGGTTTCAGTCACATGTTACTACCAACAAAGTGGCGCCAATTTAGAAACTACTTATCCAATGACTCGTTTTCATGTTTCTAAACCAAGACACAATATTTAAATTATTTTTTCTCATTCTAAATTATCTTCTTTTGAATTTATTTATTAGAATCTATTAAGTGAATTTCCATTACTTTAGTGCATGTATATACTGAATTTTTGGATGTTTCAATAGTGAAAGACAATTGGATATTTTCATGTTGGCGATTTGGATCAAAAATCGGAAATCATCTGGGCCGGAACAAATAACAATAGCTCGGAATAACACACAAATTTTATATCGTTTAATAGTAACCAGTTGGACAGAATTAACCTCTTACACAAACAGTAATACAAGGGCTAGCCTGACGTAGACATGACGGTGGACAAGCGGATCTTCAGTTGGTTTTTGCCTTCAAGGTTCAAGCTGTCTTCAACCACTAAGGGTTGAACAGGGACAAGAGAAGGAGCAGTTGAAGGACTGCAGACACAATAAATTGACAGAATGCTTGATAATGACGACGAAAATGGCAAGATAAAGCTTCATTTCGATTTTACTGGTAAAGCTTGGAAATTTGAATCACAATTCATAGACACTTGGATCCTTTTTTTACAATTTCTGGCTTAAATGGCAAAAAAGCCAGTATAATTGGTCATACATCATCTCAATAATCATATAAAGCCTTAATTCTGTCAGAATTGTGCCCATAAATCATCCATATTAGCTGCAGTCATTGAGTAAATTGTGTAATGGCGGGCAATGGAAAAAAATGGAAAAATTGCAAGATTCAAAACTTGAAAGCTAAAATTTTCTGGATAAAATTGGCAATTTCCATGCAAGATCTTCAATTTCCAGTTAATCAAAGTGGACCATCAGATTCTACTCTGATCATGCTGACCTCAATTCAATTATCGGAGATAATTTTTAACCTTGATCGTATTAAAGACTGATTACATCGGATCAATCGCTATTTTTGTTCACAAGGTTAATGATAAGTAAACAATAAACCAAAGCCTAAGTTGTTTACTATGCATTTTCCTCAAGTTTCCCCAGTTCACTCATTTCGGATGATTACCACAATTGTACAATTTGTGATGAATAATTCAATCTCTCTCAGTGATCTCTTTAAATAGTTATTGGCTCTCTGTATTTACCCAAGAATTAATCATTCACCATCATCGTCACCATTTGATATTGAGAAATCAGAAAAATCTGTTTTCTCTTTGAACAATTGACAAAATCACAACACCAAGCAATCAATTTAGGACAGAGCTGATATATATTCGCCTGCCTCTATTAATCTAAACTTTCCCTTTCTTCTTCTTACCTTCCCACCTTTTGATCAATTGTCTTTTGTTTCATCACGTGCATGGTTAACCCCGAAAAATTATGATAATAATGATAATGTCACTTCATCGTGATTAACACCATCGAAAGGGGTTATCGTTAATCAGAACGGAATATAAAAGGACTATTCAACAGCGATTCAAATTATTATTACCTGATTGATCAAGTTGGACGACAGTTTTTACTTCCTACCCAAACAACACTTCACTTTGTTCACTCTTCACTTAAACTGTTATTCAATACAAACTTGACACCTAAAATGAAGTCAATAGTTTTAATTTTTACTGTTACATTGGTCATTGTGTGTATAAGCTCAATCAAATCGGATCCAGCCAAATGGACAGATGATATTGACGACCCTTGCCCAACTGATCGTGTCTACAATCCATGTGGATCAGCCTGTCCATTAACATGTGCTCAACCCAAAAAGGGTAAATGCAACCGAATGTGCGTTCCTGGTTGCTTCTGTAAACCTGGTTTATACGAAAATGCTGCAGGAAACTGTGTTACGCTGGACGAGTGTTACAACTAACCAACTACTTATTCAATCCAAGATGGTCAACTTCTTATTTTGATACTCAATTGAAAATATATTATCTTCTTGTAACTCTCAGTTCATCTGCAAAAGAAATCTGAGTTTCTCCAATTTTAACCAATGTAACTAATCTATTCTAAACTTCATCTATGTGACAAATGTGACATTAAACCATCAATTAAATGGCAATCGTTTCAATACATTTAAGCCTCTATTTTTCAATCTATTCATCTCATTGTACCCAGTTAATTGCTTTCGTTGTATAACCAGTAATTGAAGAAGATGAAAACAAAGCAATTAAAATTGATTCCAGTCAATGAATCATTCAACATTTTTTGCGTTGATTCCTCAACAAGTTAAACTTGAGAAAACTGTTATCTCTGACATTCAAGATGGTTTCAAGTTTTATCGACTCAGTGAACTTGAGACATACAAATAGCTTACCATTTGTTTACACCAATTGATTCTAAACTTAACAATCAAACGCAAATTAAACCCAAACCAATAACAGAAAAATGAAGACATAAAGTTTTACCACTAAAATAATATATTTATTTATCCATTATTACATGAATTTGAAAAATAACGTTATAATAAAATAAAATATCTTTTATTCATCAAAACATTACGGTGTAACCATAGGAGTTCAACAGTCCTCACGAAGTACACATTCACCAAGATGGTTTTCATAATAGCCTCTTGGACATTCAGGTAGTCCAGTACAAACTTGAATACACATTCTGGGTTCAGGATATTTACAAGTCAATGGACAGGCAGAACCACAGCCAATCATCACTTTTTCAACCTTTCGAGGTTTGTCCTCACAAAGGGAAACTGTAAGGAGAGAGAAGACAATCAAGATAATTAGAGTTGATTTCATTTTGATGGTTTAATTGTAAAACAACAACTTTAACGGATTAATAGGTTAAGACTAAATGTATAACTGGTCTAAACTCGAGTTTGTTTTATATAAAATCCTACCATACTCAGATCGTTGGAGAGCTTTTCAATAAAAATGCTAAGCTTATCAATCCTTTTGTTTCAAAGTTTAATCAAATTCTATCAATCATTTTTGAATGACAATATTTATCAAGATAAATGTCAATGTAATTATTTTGTTGCTTAGCATAAATATTGAATCTTGTTCATTTGATACTCAATTACACAACTAAACCTGCAACTGAAAGCATGAACATAATCGTACCAGACTTTGACTCGATATACACAATATATTTTGTTATTGATCAACATTAAACGATAAATATTAATACAATCAAAAATGTAATTGAACTCACACTTTTGTTATTGATAACTGTTGCTGTTGGATTGAGGACAATCTTTCCATAGAACACATTTACCAATGTTATTTTCAAAATATCCTTCTGGACATTCAGGGTTCCCAGTACAGACTTGGATACAAGAGTCAATTTTAGGATTACTACAGGTTCTAGGGCAAGCTGTGCCACAACCAATTATACGTTTTTGCACTTTTCTGGGAACATAAAGTTCATAGGAAACTGTGATAAACACTAGGAAAACGATGAAAGTCAGAATGAATTTTGTTTTCATTGTCAAGTTGAGGTGAATACGTTTATTTATTAATAAATATATTATTAAAATATTTGGTTACGAGAAAAGTATATTAACTTATCAAATACAAGTTATATGATTTAATAACCAGGCTTTTATTTAGATTGTATTTAAATTGGTTTATGAGCAAATCTTTCCATTCAATCCATCAATTAAAGAACCTTTGATTTTGTTTTTCTTGATCCTCGAGGAGAACAGATATGAATATGAAGTGGATTGCTGAATTCAATTGAAATGAGCCAAGAAATGCATGCAAGAGATTTTGCTTTTGATTTGTTGTTTTCAAGATATTAATCGGAAGATGAAAGGATTGATCGCTTAAAAGATGAAATGGGTGTCATTTGGCCATGACAATGTATAGCATTGGTTTGAAATTTTTGCATTTCATTCTTGAATAACAGATTGGTCTGAAATCTATGAAACGAGCATCAAAGTAAATTTTTTTATAAAAAAGGTCTTAACATAATAATTACATTGAAATATATTTTTTATGATTTATTTGTTTCACTTGGAAGCATAAAAATAGTTGAAACATTTTCTCATAAATTCATTACAAATGGCATGGAAAAAGCAAGCTATAACAATCAGACAATTTAGTCAAGTTAATGACACAGCAGTTGTTTTTTGATGGATAACTTTGTTTCCCTCCTTTCGGGTCAAATATTATGATCAATCAATTTATTTTTCACACCAAGCAATATTGACTCACTCTGAATCATTTCCAATCGAGAATATTTCTCATTGTCGTCAATTGTAGACTGAAAAAGCCTAAATTCATAATGAAAAGAATCATGTCGAAATGTGAAAAAACCAACAAATTGGTTTACTTTTATCACATTTAAATACCTAGCCGGAGTGAAAAACCCAAAAATCCTTGACTTTTGTCAAATGAAACAGAATCATCCAACCAAGGTTTATTATTTTTTTCGTTCTTGTGGACAACACCCGACTCCACCGCTGAGGAGAATCAGTCAAGAACTCATAAGTTTTCAACACGATTAAATTAAGGCAACAGTTCACTTCCAGTTGAGAGTTGAACCTTTGTTGGTTGTAAAGCAATAAAACTGATTACATTTGTTTCATTTAAAAGTTTATCTGATGGACAATCATTGACAAAATTGCGTCTAAATTTGAAACCGATCTCTTTTTGTACAGTTTAGGTACCAGATTTTTTCACCAAACTCTTTGTTCGCGAGACGGTTGCACATATCCTCCTAACCCGACGATGTACCATCAACCTGAATACAAAAAAGTTTTTCCACCAAAGTCAATGGCAAGAAGTAAGGATTCTGCTCTTTTCCCCCCTCTGCTTAAAAGTTGATTTCTCAGTGACCTGAATCTCGAAAAAGTTCTGACTGTTTTTGGTGGATGTAGTTTAGTCATTGTTTTCATGCTACTTCGCAATTTTCTTTAGCACCCGTTCAGTTTGGTAACATTTTAAATTGATCAACTCTAATAACTAACCTTGTTACTTGATGAGTTGATGTAACTTGTAACTTGAATTGCATTGATTTTTGCAATTTGTATTTGTACTCAAAGCCTAGAAAAATACAGTCTAATCGTCGAGATTCATAATTCCAGTGAATTTCCCTGATATCTTTGCACTGAGCTTATTCAACATAAGCTTTCTTATTTCAAAACAGATACATTTAATCAAATAATCAACAGTTATTCTCATTTCACTTTTTGATAACTCGGTGCATTCGATCAATGTTAACATCGGCCGAAAAATAGAGGAATGTAGTCCAATGCATTGAGTTTGTTGGTACTCTGAGTTGGCATCGGTGATAAAATGTTACAACTACATACGAATGCGTCTAATACCTCTTATCTCGTTGATGATAATTAGATGGACTGAGAAAATTGAACATTCCGTCTCAACTCAATTCATAAAACAGTATAAATAACAGGTAGCAGCAAAACAAGTTTTATTTTATTAGAAACTTTCAACTCAATTTAACTATTAACTTCAAAGTTTCAATAACTAATTACTATAATATTATTACAATGAATCCAGAAACGATGAATGAAAATGGTAAAAGCCTTAAAATTTTATTCACTGCTTTGTTTGGGTAAGTGTCACTTGAATTTGAATTGATATTTTTTTAATTTAAACTTTTTTCGCTCACAGTCCTGGTCATTTGAATGCATGCCTTGGTATCGGTTCGTTGCTTCGTAAACGCGGTCATCAAATTTATTTTGCTCATTTTCCTAGACATCGTGCAACTATCGAAAAACATGGTTTCTTGTTTATTTCATTGTTGGACTATGCTGAACCCGAATTCCCAATAGTCGATATGTTGCCCGACATTGGAATTATTGCTAAATTTGCGTTTGAGAGGATGCATAAATTAACACCATTGGAGCTATTCAGACATGCATCTGGTAAACATACTTTCGCTGGTATGGTTAATGGATCAAAAGGTGAAAATTATGCCATGATGAAGATCGTTAAAGAGTATAAGCCCGATGTTTGTTTAGCTGATTACCTCTTCAATATGCCTTGGATGTTTACTGTTGATTGTCCAGTTATTCCTGTCAAGTCTGTCAATCCAATTGAACTGTATAATGGTCCTCCTGCACTTACAGGGTGTTCAATTCATGATCCACCGTCTGTTAGGGAAGAGATTGAGCAACTGGCCCGAAAATCTGAATTAGAATTGGAAAGTGAACTTGAAAAGTTGTTTGCTCATTTCAACGTTCCACTTGTATCATATAACTATGCACAACAGTTGGGAATTTACATTTACCCAGGTCCATTGGATTACAAGGAATTGGGTTCACCAAAAGAGAACTGGGTTCGCCTTGATTCGTCCATTCGTTCAACAGAAATATCCAATTTCGAGTTACCAGAGAAACTTAAAGATAAACCAGGAAAATTGATTTATGTCTCAATGGGATCACTGGCTTCCGCTGTAACCGAACTACTAACCATGATATTGACTCCATTGGCCAACTCACCTCATCGTTTCATCGTCTCAACAGGCCCTAATGGTGACTCAATCAAACTATATGATAACATGTGGGGAGACAAGTTTATCAACCAAGTGGCTCTTTTACCCAAAGTAGATCTATTCATAACTCATGGCGGAAGTAATTCGCTGATTGAAGGCTTAACTGCTGGTAAACCATTGATAGCTATTCCTCAATTCGGTGACCAACTAGATAATGCTCAAAGAATAGCTGATCTTGGCTTAGGGGTGAGGTTAAACTTGCATGAATTTAGTGGTGAGAAGTTACTAAAAGCCATTGAAGATGTGCTCAATGATGAAAAGATTAATGCGAATGTTGCTCGAGTAAGTGAAGAGCTGAAAAAATCTGATTCAAAAGATAAAGTTATCTCTCTTATTGAGAAACTTGCTCGAGACAAAAAGCTTTGAATTCCAATATGAATAATCAAAAATTGTTGACATTTATTATTGTTTGGATAGCTAAGCTAAATTGATATAAAAAAAGTATAAACCAAGAAATTAAATATATTTTATGATAAATATGTGATTCTGTGATCAATTTGCAATTCATTTCAGATAATTAATGGTATAGTTAACCTCACTCAGAGTATTAGGCGTAATAAGTCACCTAAGAAATAACTTAAGTTAGTTAAGAAAAATTTATTTGCATTTGTTTTAAGGACGAAATGTTTTTTTCTGGTTTTGTTCAAACCAGAAAAAGCAGCTCGGACGAAATATTCATTCGGTATGAAAGCCCTAACTATACCTCATCCCCTAAGAAATAAGTAGCCTCACCTCAGAGTTCAGATCTACAAGAAATGCACCAAAATAGAATTTGTGAGGCAAAATTCAGAATCTGTATTGAATGACTTTGGGTGAGGGGAAAAAACTTTATTGTTGTTCAAAGTTGATGCATGTATCTTGGGCCAGAATTTGATGTAAAACTTAATCTTTCGTGTAAAGAGTTTGGTAAGGAAATCTGGTACCTCAACTGCCCAAAAGGTGAACTATCAATATCGATAAGCTACAAGAAACAGTGATTGAAAATTGTCTTTGGTTGCTTCATTTACAAGTGAACTTGAAGTCAGTCGAACAAATCAATTTCCTTTACCTGAAACTTTCTCTGAAATAAGCAATAATAGAAAATTTAATTTGTGTGCTAGCTTCAAGGTGAGGCTTGAATCGAGTTGCGGTTTGCCAATTATTCGGTCAATTCGATGATAATAATGAAGTATCATAATATTAATAAATACTGATGCGCATTTTATTTGGAATGAAAAAGAGTAGATTAAGTTTCTCTTTGAAACATTATTCCTTCGACATTATCCAGATGAAAAGTTGGTTGGCCCAGCATCCAAGAGCCTCCTTTATCCGGTCCATTAAAACATAATGAAAGTTTTATCAAACTTTTATAAAATGATAAATATGAATATTTTTACAGTTATTGTAGCTCTCAACTGATGATTCAAACACTTTATTTGAATATTTGTATTGACTTCATTACTCTTTGCTGAATAAACTTAATTAAAAAACAAAAAAAAACAGGTTAGTCATAAATCAAGAAACAAAACACGTCAATTAAAATATCTTCAAAAACAATACTCATGTCTGACGATTGCAATTGAAATGCAAAAACAATTTTTTCTGAGAAATTCAGATTTAATGACTAAACTAGAGATTAAAAAGCATAAATCAGTTATTATTTATATTTCTAGTGAGACTGATGAACTTGCAAAACATTTTATAACTACACTCAGACAATTAATCTTGCGATTTCATTTGAAAATTTAATGCTAGTGTTTAGATGAGTTTTTTTCACAAAAAACACAACACACCACAAACATGTTGTAAAATTCATGATAATGTTGATGATGAGACGCTTGGGCAAATATTACAATGACATTTAAAGACTGTTTTTTTTAATGTTTATAATTGCTAATTGCTGACTATTGTTTATTTTGATGAGCTAAATTCCACGGTAAATACAGATGATTGAACAAAGAAATTATCTGTATTCGATTTCAAACTGTAAAAGCGTTTAACCTTTAACCAGATGCCGTTAATAATGTTGATATTCGAGTAACCACTAACTTCTACCTGCATTTTGCTTAGAAGCCGTGCAGTCAAGAACAAATAAAGTAACTCAAACAAAGAGTCTGTTATTTGGATGTATTTCCGTTTCCAAATTGAAAATATGTTTAATCAGACGCCATAAAAGTTACTATAAAACCCAGCACTGCGATAACAGAAAATCATATCATCTCAACTTGAGATAAGCAAAGTTAAAAAACAAAAACTTCAAAATGGTTTTTAAAATGTATTTGAATTTACTAATTCTTGCTATAACAGCAACTAGTTATGTTTCTACCCGATCTATAAGCCCAATGGAAGACATGGAAGTGGACGTGAATATGCCGATGGGAATGATCTCAAATGTAATGAGTGGTAGCAACGCTTTTGCTGGTTCCAACGCAATTACAGAGACTGGAGGAAGTGACGGAAATTCAGGTGCCGCATCCGCAGCTAGTGCCGCTGCAGGAGCAACGACCAATGACGGATCTAATGGAGACAATGAAAACGATGGAGACGATGGCGGCTTAGGTTATGAAAACAATGAATCAACTGCAGAAACAACAGCAGATGCATCAGCTGGAAATGCAAACAACGCAAACGCAGAAAATTCTCAAAACGTTGCAAACGAATCGCAAGCTGAAACTGGTAATCAAGCTGATAACAATGAAGGCAGCGTCGATAATGGAAGTAATGAAAGATCAAATGCAGCAACAGGTTCATCATCAGACGGTGAAAATAACAACGGAGGAAACGATTACGGCAAAAATGATAACGGTTCAGGATCAAGAGCCGCAACATCATCTTCAGCAGCATCAAAAGGAGGCTCATCTAACGGCAGCGATAACAACGGAGGAAACAACGGTTCAGGATCAAGTGCAGCAGCATCATCTTCAGCAGCATCATCAGCAGGTTCATCATCTTCAGAAGGAACTGACAACGGTAGCGATAACAACGAAGGAAACAACGGTTCAGGATCAAGTGCAGCAGCATCATCTTCAGCAGCATCGTCAGCAGGTTCATCATCTTCAGAAGCATCTGACAACGGTAGCGATAACAACGGAGGAAACAACGGTTCAGGATCAAGTGCAGCAGCATCATCTTCAGCAGCATCATCAGCAGGTTCATCATCTTCAGAAGGAACTGACAACGGTAGCGATAACAACGGAGGAAACAACGGTTCAGGATCAAGTGCAGCAGCATCATCTTCAGCAGCATCGTCAGCAGGTTCATCATCTTCAGAAGCATCTGACAACGGTAGCGATAACAACGGAGGAAACAACGGTTCAGGATCAAGTGCAGCAGCATCATCTTCAGCAGCATCATCAGCAGGTTCATCTAACGGCAGCGATAACAACGGAGGAAACAACGGTTCAGGATCAAGTGCAGCAGCATCATCTTCAGCAGCATCGTCAGCAGGTTCATCATCTTCAGAAGGATCTGACAACGGTAGCGATAACAACAATGGTAACAATGGATCATCAAGCTCAGCAGCATCATCAGCCGCAGCAGCCTCAGGTGCATCTTCAAACGGAAGCGATAACAACGGAGGAAATAATGGTAACAATGGATCATCAAGCTCAGCAGCATCATCAGCCGCAGCAGCCTCAGGTGCATCTTCAAACGGAAGCGATAACAACGGAGGAAATAATGGTAACAATGGATCATCAAGCTCAGCAGCATCATCAGCCGCAGCAGCCTCAGGTGCATCTTCAAACGGAAGCGATAACAACGGAGGAAATAATGGTAACAATGGATCATCAAGCTCAGCAGCATCATCAGCCGCAGCAGCCTCAGGTGCATCTTCAAACGGAAGCGATAACAACGGAGGAAATAATGGTAACGGTTCAGGATCAAGTGCCGCAACATCAGCAGCAGCAGCAACTTCAGGTGCATCTTCAAACGGAAGCAATAACAACGGAGGAAATAATGGTAACAATGCATCATCAAGCTCAGCAGCGTCAGGAGGAACTTCAAATGGTAGTGGTAACAAAGTGAACAATACAGGATCAAGTGCTGGTTCAGCAACAGGATCTAATAAAAATAAAGGAAATGGACAAAATAATCACGGCAGTGCAAGTTCAAGTGGAGCGGCAACAGGTGGAGCCGGCAATGGAAACGCCAAGAAAAGTGGCAAACAAGGAAACAGTCAAGGTAATTCAGCAGCAGCCTCAGCTGCAGCAAGCTCAGCATCCGGAAATGGCTCAAAACCTGGTAAAAGTCCAGTTAAGCAAGGAATTATTCCAGCCATGATGTCTAAAATTCCTATGAAAGTTTCTTTGATGTTCTAAATTTGTAATGAATTATTACGCTTATATGTTTTATGATCATATATTCAGAAATAAAGAGAATTTAGTCTAAAATGCTGTTTGTTTTTTTCATTTTACGCTTTCATGCAGCATAAATTCAAACGCTCAAGGTCAATTCTGTATTTGGCCTCAGTATTCTCGAGCTGCACGCTCCGATATTGACGATCGATCGTCTGACCTAGTTTTAGATAACTTTTCTAGAACCAGAAATTAGCAGGTTGAGATTTAATAGCTACTTGTATGAGAGTCTCTCAAGATTTTGCTTCTATTTCATTTATTGCAATTTTTATTAACTGCTAACTGTTATTTTAATATCAATTAGTTGAAAGTCACAATATGCTGATTCTCCAGCATAAAATCATCTCTGGTCACATTAAAAACAATTTTATTCACTTGCTTTCTCCTTTTCTGTTGCAAGAGTTCATTTGCACCCTTTCAAGCGAAAATTTTTCAGTGTTTCTCCAAATTGTAAGGTTTTATGTTTATTTAATTGCTTAGTTGATCATTTATTTGAGCAATCTCTAGATTTCAATACAAATTTAATGTATCTGACAAGAGAAAGACTGAGTTTTCTTTGTTAGAGTTTGAGCAAATTACAACTCAATTATTTAGTAAAATATCGCGATGGATTTTTGTAAATAACAGAAACTCTATTTAGCATCGCAATCAATGTGATTGAGTATAAATTAAGTTGATCCAATTTACAATTTTATTATTTCTCATCTTCAGATGACTGTTCTTTGCTAACTCGAAGTACAGGTCGAGTAACAGTTGGATCCAAATCAATCAGGGGTTTGATCTGTGGTACCATTGGTGGGCTTGGAATGTAAGGTGCATTAGACCCACTGGTACGAACTACAGCCGGTGGTGGGATTGGAGCTCCATTGGCTACAGCAGTCGCATTGTAATTGATTGGAGATATTTGGAAGCTTGGTAAAGTTGGATAAGATGACAACCTAATTTGAGGGCTTTCCACTGGCTCAAAGGATTGGAAACTAGGCCATTCAGGGAATCGACCAAAATCATCTGAAACTTCGGTTACATTTTGGACGAATGGTTCTGGAAATGGAACTGGAAAAGGTCTTGGAAATGGTCTGGGCAAGGGTCGAGGGAATGGTCGAGGGAATGGTCGTGGGAATGGATATGTTGGGAATGGTTGAGGTAAAGGTACTGGATCCGGAGTTGGTTGAACATTGTCACAGTACTCTTTAAGAACGCAGTTACCAGCCGAGTTTAAATAGTAGTCTTTAGGACAGAACCAGTCAGCCTTGCATACTAGGATACAAAATTTAGGCTCAGGATTGGCACAAGTTGGAGGACAAGCGCTACCACAAGAGTTATATACTTTGGCAGCTGTTGGTGGCTTGAAGACACTTGTCAATTGACCAGTTTCAATTGGAGCTGAATGATTAGCTGAAACAGCCAGCACTAGCAAATTTAGAGCAACTGTGTACAACAAAAAGCTCATTTTCGTTAATGATCCGCAATTGCAGTGGTAATAATAATGGAAGAACCACCAATTTTGAGAATCAGATTCACATAACTTATTATTTATACTCAAAAGTCAATCCATCTAATTTTCTCTTCTCTTCTAGATTGAGTAATTGATCTTACGTGCAATTCACCCTTTTTGTTTTGTGTTTTGTCTCCAACTACAGCTGAACCATATTAACCTGAAAGTGATGGATTATTCAATGGTGTTGCCATTGTGCTGATTCTTTGCCAGTATTATGTGGTTGCTGGCTGTGCTTTGTGCAAGGGCAAAATATGAATCAATCTTCATGATCTTTACCTTCAACGATAACAATGGAAAGAGAGACACTGAAATCAATAATATGCTTCATCGTGATTTAAATTCAATCACGTAACTGATTTAGATTATTGATTCTTGGCCTGTTATCCTTTTGTTATGAATCCTGTTTTTGGTCTCGCCTGAAAGTTCACTGAATCTTGTGATTCACTAAGTCGATACAAAAACTTGATAATTTTACTCCAACTTTTCTGAGCAAATTGTCAATGTTTATCAGCTCAAGTTAATATCTTTACACGATAAATAGCTATTCCTTAAAAGTGGCCTTAGCTCGATAAAATTAGCAATTTTTTGGAAAATACTAATTCGTTTTCTTTGTTTTTCCTGAATTGAAACCTTTCTTTTTGGTTGACGTCAAATGCTGATCATTTATCTTATTGACAAGGATATTAATAACAATAACAGAAATAAGTAATCATTTCAAATATCACAACATGAGATGATTCTTGTCCATTGCAACCAAGAAACAAAGCAATGATAATGCCAAAAATCTGGTAACCAACCAAAAATGATTAAAACTGTTAGTTTGATGGAGACAAAGATGGTTCAATTTATTGTTAGAATTGATTTGATGACAGTTTATTCACTTACAAGCTTGAACCTTTAATGAAAACAAGGCAACAAATTAATTCAATATTATTACACTGTTCAATATGAAACAAAAATATTTATTTATTCTTCTGGTTTCCATCGTCAATTATAATTAGATAATTTTAAATCATAACACCAATCCAACTCAGGGTCAATTGAGATATCAACTTGGTAACAATAAATGAAATTCACTAGCAGCAAATATATGATAATAAATTGCTAAAAACATTTAGACACAAGCATGACGAGTCATATAGCATTTACCAACACAATAACAATTGTCAAGTTGCAAGATTATCTGTTTAATAGTAAATCACATTTATTCGTTTCATTTTTCGAGCAATAACATTGATTAGCCATTTAGATCTGAATCTGCTACCAACAATTATTAAAGTGATAAAATTTACAAATTGAAAATTGGATATTAAGACTGTTTAAAGAAATGATTCACATTTATTATCTCCCAGAATTGCACTTGATGTAAGGCTCGTCCGATATAGTCTAGTGGTTAGGATATCTGGCTTTCACCCAGAAGGCCCGGGTTCGATTCCCGGTATCGGAGATTAACTTTTGAACAAATCTGCTTTGTCCTAAAGTCGCAAGAGTTTGTGAATCAATTTTACTTTGAAAAAGATTTTTTGTTTCCCCCTTTAGTTCACCTAGATGGCAGCATTGATCAAAAGTCGAGCAGTTAAGTTGCTTTTATCAGGATGTTGAATATATTTTGCGATTCGCTGTTTAAGATAAGTAGAATAATTAAGGCCATGAAACATTTATTGATAAGACAAAAATCGAAACAGATAATGGAGTGCTGACGAAACTATCCGTAATGTAAAAAAATTTGCTCATGATAATCGTTGCAATTCTCAAAGCTCATTGTAAGGTTCAACTTTGAGTTATGATTTAAAACTTGAAAAATTAAACGCAAAAAATGTCCCAAAACCTTTTGATCAACTGTGGAAATCCAGTGAAAGAAATAAATTCGGAAATTACGCCAAATTCGGAAGCAAATATTTCTAGCATTTTACTGGGAATGAAACATTAATCTCTTATAAAACACAAGAATTCCCTTAAATATTTTATGAAATCTCTGTTCAACAAACAAATGTTTTTATTGAAATATTCATTCTTTTAAACACGGAACTGTTCAATAAATATATCAAAATTTTCACTCTTAATCTACTACTTAATCCATTTTTGATTAAATCATCAGTGAATTGGAGTTTTTGAAAACAAACTTTCAATCAATATAAAATGGTTTCTCCCAATGAATGCCAACAAAAATGTTCAATTTGGCGCAACAATGCATAAACTTAGCTTGATAACTTTTCACTTTGAATGCGTTGTAATAAAATCTACCATTAGCTTGTTATTATTATGAAAAGCACAAATAACATTACTATTAACCTGTTCACTTGATTAAACATTAATTGTTTGTGTTTTGATTGAACAAATAAAATGAAAAGGAAGAAAAGGTTTCGTTGAAGGAGAGACAAAATAACTTCACAATTACCTTGGATTGATCAACCAAGCAAACGCATTTTCAATTAGATGAAATAATAATATTGATGAATCAAACTAAATCAAAGACTGAGCAAATAAAACATTTTCACTGATCATTAAAGCAAACCAACAATATCAAAGACAATCCTCGAAAGAGGACAAAAAAAAGGCAAAACTATCAAGTAACAAGTTGATCAGTAAAAAGGTAAAAATAATCAAAGACAAATTAAACTTTGAAACAAATTAATCAATCCAATGAATTCAAGATATTTATACATTCAACAGACAAAGCTTGTCAACACATGAAGATTCAATTAATTAAAAAACATTAAATCAATACAAATTGTGTCGCATTAAAGTGAAACCAGAAATGGCAAAAAATGAAAGAAAAAAATTTCCAAAAAAAAAAATGAAAACAAAATAAGCAGCAAAGCTGATTCATATCAAGCTTTATTGTCATCTCAAGTGTCCTTTACCAACAATTGATAATCAAGTAATAAGCATCGAATTGAGTTGCAAAGAAAAGATGATTTCAATGAAATGAATACTGTATATTTAGGGTTGCAAAATGTTTCATTTTACACCCAAATTCACCTTTCCTTTTGGCTCTTTGTGCCAACCTATCATTTCATGAAAAACATTGAAGATGAAAATAATTGTACATTTGGTGAATGATACTTGAAGGACTCTTGAAACTTGTATATAAATATATATCTTTGGATTAGCTGATTTCATCCGAAAACCTTTTCTCCTTTCCTTTCGTTATACACTTTGTAAAGGCAATGGGTAACAATGCAAATTGAAGATGAAACGGGAAAACAAAAAGTGGAAAAGGTAAGAAACGATTTCTTTCAGCTTATAACTCATCTTGAAGTGTTTGATTATTGTATAAGAGTACTGACATTAGGAATAACATGATATTCATTGAGTTATTGTTGTCATCGTACAATTACAACAAACAATATTACCGCAAAAAATGTTTCAAGACTAATCTTTCATCTTGAATAAGGTTTCCTCTCTTAATCTGGTTTAATATAGCCAATTGTTAACCTTTGTATATGACCAAAAATCAAGCAAAACCTTCATAAATGGCCAACATTAATATTTTTGTTTCCTTCATCATCAACTTTTCGCGTTTTCTGTTCAACATTTTTCTCCCTTTTTGTACCTTTAACCTTTGCTTTTGTTTTACAATAACTGTAATTGATACAATAGTTGCATGTCAAAGTAAGACGGTTAAATGTAATGATAATATTAATGTTAATCATTAATAGTTAAAAGTTATTCAATGCCTTTGTTGGACAAAAGTTGATTCAATGGGCTTTTCATTTCGGTTAATAACTAATAATCATTTATCTTGTTTAACCTTACAATGTTGCCCTTAATCAGCATAATGATCATTGCTTGTTACAGATTAAGTTACATCTTTGTATTATTAATCAAAGACATTAATGGAAACCTTTGAAAACATTGACATCTTCATAATTGACCTTATTTGCGATATTCACTCAAAATAGGTAAAAGGTAACAGCAAAGAAGCCATTTCTCAGGTTGGCCAAATTTCAGCTGCAAATGTCTTAAAATGGAAACAAAAAATCTTTATAAAATTACGATTTCTCGAGCAAAAGATTTCTGGTAAAGTTCACATCAAATTTCATTCTTAATGTTACTTGCAACAGAAAGAATCGAACCTAAAATAGAATTGAAATTTTTTCTAATGAAAAATTTTGAGGCCAGGATGCTTCAATCTAATGAAAATGTTCAATTGTCTTTTGAAATTTTTTGGGTAAATGAAGACAAAAGCGGTTCTCGATAAATCGGGTTGATAAGCAATTGCAAGACTTTAATTTGAATTGGTGTTGACAAAATTGTTGATACAAAGTGAACTCTTTTCTGGATCGATTTTTGCATCGCATTCAAATTAGCCGTTTGTTATTGTAATTGAGTTTATCAAATTGTTGAGACATTCTTGAAATAACTATTGATGAAAATTGTAGGCGCAAGCAAAGTATTAACAAAACAAAGTGTATATTCATCAATTGATTATGATGTTGATGATGGCAATGATGAAGATGGGAACAATGATGGCAACACTCAGTAAACGTGGCAATTGAGGACATGAAATGAGCTCTAAAGATGAAGTAACCTGTCAATTGGTTTAGTGAGAAAAGGATAAGTGGAAGATGAGGAAAAACTAGTGTTTTTATCCTCATCTATTTTTCCCTCTCATCTTTCAAATTTTGTTTTCCTCTTAACTTATCTCAACTCACATCAACACTTACAATGATGATTTTGGATGAAACAAGGTTCAGCAAAAGAGAGAAAGAAACTTGAATGTTCTATAAAAAAATCCGTATAACATCACATTTAAGGCTCTCTATAAAAACATTTATCTGTTTTTCCTGTTTTTTTGTTCTTCCCTTAACATTGGCTCAAGATGCTGTTCATCCTCATCAAATGGATGGGAAAACCAGATGCAGGATAAAAAAGATGGTTAACTTTACCATGTTGATATCATTTTGTTTTTACTCTTGAAAAGCATCTTCGCCTTCCTTTACTTGTCAAACATTTAATCAAACGCAATCATTATCATTTGCCATCAATCACTGTAATCACTTTGTGAACACCTAATTGATTAATTGTTCAACTAATCAAGACTTTTGCAAAAAGTAAAGTTTCGACGAAACAGAAGCGCATTTCAAGTAAATATAAATAAATACTCGGAGTTTGCAGGAAAGGAAAAGAAGGCGAACCAATGATGATTTTTTCAAAGTAAATTGTTCAATAATGTTGATTATAGGATTGATTAATAGACTAATTTACAATCGACTTTTATAGACGAAAGAATCAAATTGTTAAATTAGCCAAAAAAGAAAACGACATTTTTCTTTTTCTGGGTTCTTCTTCTTCTTTTTTTCGAGGCCTTTTCACTCGACTTTCATTGTTCAATTTAATCAATTTTTACGTTCATTATATCATCGACTATAATAGGGAATCACAACTATTGACAATAATAATGATTAAAGTGTCAATGATTAAGGTAAATATTGTGTGTATATTAAGGGAAGGCTAAACATTTTTAAGGTGTTGATTGAAGATGTGACAAGGAAAATGGAAACAGATTGTTAACCGAAAAAGGCAATTGTGATCAAAAGTTAATTGAATGGGTAAAGCAATAAATCTTATCATTACAATGGATGAAGATGAACAAGAAGACAATCAGTTTCACCATCAACATGGAATCACATTGTTACCTCATTGTCAACAATGAACATTCATTTTCTTTACCATTTTGTCCATTTCTTTCAATCTTCTTCTTCTTCTTTTTTTTGTTTGTGTCTCTTGTTCAAGTGAATTGTGAGTGTGCATTCAAATTAGCAGTTAGTTACAGTTAGCATCCTTTAACATGATCATCATTAACATCTCCATCAACCTCATCTTTACCTTGGTTACTGGTTGTGTCTATTTGAAGAGGCCTTTTGTTAGAGGGAAACAAAATTATTTAAGGAATGAATGACAAAATTGTTTCATCCAATCTGTCGCTTCTGTCTTTGTGTACCTTCAATGGTTAACAATCATGGTATTTATTGTTAATTTCATGGTCAATCAAAGGTGATTATGATACTAAAAGGTAATCATAATAACTGCAGTTCACTTGTTTACACACAACAAACCAAATGTGAATCTTTAACAACTTGTAACAATACCGATCATTATGATGATGAGTTGCAAATTATTTGTTGATTAAATGATTTGGTTGAAAGGCAAAGTGAAAGGCAAGTGTAAGGATGAAAATTGGTGAAAAAAAGAGAGGAGAAGAAGAGAAGATTCAAGTGAATAAAAGTAGATGATGAGGAAGGGATGAAAAGAAAGGGAATGGAAGATGAAAGAGGAGCAAAAACTTGATCAATATTTACAGTTGAAACGTTCACTTAGAGACTTGACAATAGCTTCCAACTCCCCATTGACAGCATTTATCACTCCCTATTCAATCTATTAACATCATTTTCATCATCTTCTTCTTCACTTAGTTTTTTCTTCCCTTCTTCTTCATCTTCCTTCTTCTTCTTCTTCCTTTCAACTTGTAAACTTACCTTGAGAAACCATTCAACTTATATCATTTGATAAGATGATGTTTGTCATGATAATCAAGAGTTATAAGATACTGTTGTCTGTTTATTTGTGTGTGTGAGTGTGTCTAAGTTGGCTCTTAATGTTGGTTAAATTTGATTGTCAATCCATCCAACCATTAACTTGTTCAATTGGCTTGTCTCGAGTAACCCAACTGGTTCATTAATTTAATCACGGTTATGCCTAATTGACCATAATACTGTTTAGATCATGTTTATAACCATATTAACTTTCAATCAGCAAATTAGATTGTCGTTTGACTCTTTCCTTTACCTTCATCATTATCATTATTTCAAGAGGCTTTATATTAATTTCATCTCTCTCTGTCTCTCTTTTTTGAACAAAAAAATGATGACTTTACTTAAAACGGGAAACAATTGAGTTTATTTAATCATCCTTCATCTTCATCTTAATCCGATTTTGCCTTTACTCTTTTTCAGGTACACACAAGTAAATCACTGTTATAATCACATTTTACTTGATATAAATTTAACTCAATTTTGTGTTCATTTTTGTCCTGCAAATGTTATTTCATTTCTGGTTAACATTCACTGTTCAAATACATAAATATATATCAATAGTAATAATATTAATATACTTTTGTATGATAATACTTGAAAGTTTAGAGGCAAACATTTTTCAATTCACTTTTCCTTCTGTCATGCTTTTCATAATATAACTGTATATTCATCGCTCAATTCAACCATTTATCATTAGTTTACCTCGTTATCTTCATTAGATTTCATCAAATTCAACTCTTTTTCAAGTTGATTCAAATGTAAAAATGAGAACAGTTAATAAAATTATCATTAAAATGGTAACTTTACAAAAAATCATTTCAATGAACAATTTTCATTCTCATTTTCATTTTCAAGTTGATTTGCTTCTAATCATTTCATTTTATCCTTTCTTCAAGATTATCCTTAAATGTTTACTTTTATGTTACTGTTAGTTATTATAAGGCAAAGATAATTTGGTTTAGTCGATCTTAATGTTCATTTGGTTTTAATTGTTTTATTAATGTTATTCCCAAAAGGTAAATTCAATCTAAATTAGTACCAACTATTATGACTATTTAGTTAGTTTAACACTGATATCGATGGTAATAACTATTACCTTGAGAATACAAATTACTGTTAATATTTACATATCACACCTAATTTCTTGGGATTAATTGTAGTCTGATTGGGTGATAAAAAAGGCGATTAACTGAATCAGCATTTTGTTTGATTTAAATTGTACTTGAAATGTGAAATTGTCACCAATTGAATTTTGGTAAATCAACTGTTGGGTCATTTTGTTTTCCAAGCAACTGAAATTTTCACCAATAAATCAGTCAAACTGGTTAAAGTAATTTGATCAGAAAGCAAAATGTTGACAATCGGTAAAATTAGATTGTTTAGTTTATGGTAAAAAAAGCAATAATGGGTTGAGAGAAGAGTCAAGCATACGAATTGAATTTGTCATGGAATTGCTTCTTTCAACTTGTATTCTCATTCAATGATTAACTCATTTTTACTGGCTTGGTTTGGTCAATGAAAACAAAAGGGTCCAGTGAAGATTTGGAATCCGGATGAGGTTGAATCGGTTCAAAATCTTCGGCTTGACATGAGACTCAAAGACGGTGATGGAAATGACGATCTGTAATGAAAAGAAAGGAAAAAAAAGGTCAATTAATTTTACTTGACTTGAGACAATTTGACGTGAGAAAAGGTCACTTTAAAGGTCATTTTTTCTTCTCCTTCACACAAACTCTTTTTGTAGCCAAGCAGTCTAGTAAAAGATGAAACAACAAAAAAAAGGTCAAGAAATGATACTTTTGACGATGTGTGTGTGTGTTAGGCATTTATGGTTCCTTCAAGTTTACTTTTTCTGGTAAATATTGTAAACATGGAAAAAGCGTTGAAAATTGTTGGTGAATTATGGTTAAGACAAAAAGTCGTAAACAAATTAGTAAAGCTAAAGCGCAACAAATTAACCAAGATAGCTTATTTTTTTTCTGTCCTCTGTAGCCCTGTAAAGCTGACTCTCTTTACTCAGAACCTTAGTATTACAATATAATTAAAGATGTTAACAGAAGCTCAAGACTTATCACTATTAACTGCAAATAGTAATAAAAAGTAGAGCAAACTATTTCTCTTTCCTTTTTCATACATTTCTTCCTTTCTTTCATCTTTTGCACATTGAACTGAACATAAACATGAAAAGTGGAAACAATCACTACTAACTACTACTAATTAGTGTAATAAACGACCAAATAAAGTGAATAAAAAATGCGAGTAAAAAACACAAGTTGAGCCGACATTTCAAGTTGAATCCAAATGAAAGAAATGGAAAAAGTGATTGGCCAAAAAAAAGGTCAACTTTGAGTGAAAAAATTGTGTCCATTGGTGAAAAGCAATCAAGAAAAAAAAGATTGTCGATTGTGTTCATGTTGTGTACCTGTGTAGAGAAATGATTAAATTAGTTAACTTTTGCAATGAAAATAATGATTGATCACTTTGATTACCTTTGACAATAAGATAATGTCAACATTGAAGAGTGGAAAGATGATAAAAGGAGGCATCTTTGAATAAATTGTAACAGTGAAGATGATGATGAAGATGACAAAAAATGGTATCAATGCTTTTGCTACCATAGAGTATAGGTTAACTTGAATGTAACCAATCCTTATATTGACTCCTCCTTTAACTTTAGGCATTCAACTACTGTAGCTGGGAGTGAACATTTCAGACTCCATCCACCAGAAAATGTTACGTTTTTCCCAATGTTCATCATTGCATTCAAATAAATTAGTGATTCATTTTGTTGTATTCTGATTTCGTGTTCGCTTCCATCATGGCAATCTCCCAGTTTGCGTTTTCCTTAGCATCATCTTCATCAACTCTTTCATCTACAACCACATCTATTCCAACTGTAACTACAACATCGGCGACTACCAGCAACTCAGGTATAACCAGCAATAGCAATCATTCATCATCTTCATCAACCTCTTCCTCGTCACCCTCATCGCCCTCACCACCTTCACCACCCTCAGAGACAAATAAAAAGGGTCACCAGGCCAAGCCACCTTTTTCTTACATCGCACTAATCACAATGGCAATCTTGCAAGCTCCAGATAAAAAATTGACTTTAAGTGGAATCTGTGATTTCATCAAATCCCGATTCCCGTATTATAAGGAAAAATATCCAATGTGGCAAAACTCGATTCGACACAATCTGTCGTTGAATGATTGTTTCGTCAAGATACCAAGAGAACCAGGTAACCCGGGTAAAGGCAACTATTGGACTCTTGATCCTGCCTCTGAAGACATGTTTGACAATGGGTCATTTTTGAGGCGAAGGAAACGCTATAAAAGACAACAGGTTGACCTGATCAAGGAAGCATCGGCGTTTTGTATGGCCGCTTCAGCTGGATTAGATCCTTATGGACGATTCCCGGTCAATCAACATTCACCTCACAATCCTGCTTTTATTCATCCCGTTTTAGCTGGTTATCCTTACTTAACACATTTACCTTTGATTAGACCACATGATATTGCGATGCGACACTCACCACAACTCTTTAACTCAACTAGACCTCAATCAACGCCAACAACAATCAAATCTTCTATTTTCTCCATTGATAATCTCATTGGAATCAAAAGTACCTGATCAACCAAAATTGTATTTTAATGCTCATCCAGAAACTCCAATGTTGCCCATTTGTTTGTCATTTTTTGCTTCATTTTTATGTTCAATGTTTATTTTCATCTTCTTTTTTCTTCTTCTTCTCCTATTCTTACTCTGTTTTCATCTTCATCTTCAAATCTGAACAAAAATTGACTTCTCTATTGTCAACACCAAAAACATTATTACGATTAAGGTTTACATGTGATTGTTCAGTCAATATTGATATAAGTCAACGGAAATTAAATACTCAACTTTTGAATAGATAGAGTTGAAGAAACAAAGTCTCATCAATTTCCTCTTGAAAAACCTTTTTTTATTGCCGTGCTTTTTCATTTCTCAAGAAAATGAAAATACTTGATCATCAAAAAAACATCATCAATTACAATGGAACGCCATTTACAACATAACCTCAAAGGATTGTCATTGAAAGGTAAGTGAACTTAACATTTAAACCACTAAGTTGAAGGTAAATCGCAAATCAAATGGTTACAAACTGGAGTTAAACTAAGTTTTTGAAAATTGTGATTCAGTTTCAAATTGTCTTGAAAGAGTTGTAGATATTGTTGGTTGAAAATTTAATGTTTAACCAACCTTATAATGATAATTGTAGATGTTAATTAAATAAATAGTTTTACAGGGAATCTCAATGATTGAAGATGGCAAGTAACGTTTTTGTTTCAATGCCAAAATAAAGTTGACAAAATCATGAAAAACTCTATAGACTTGAATAACTTGTGTAATAACTTTTTTACCCAACAATCAAGTATATAAAGCTGTTCAATGTTGATTCTGAAATGTTGAGAGTTCACAGAGTGACTAACAAGAAACACAGTAAACTTTGCCAAAAATAATTTTGTTCACAAGAAAAGTGACACTCTTTAGTTAATCAGTTAAGTATAAAGTTATTTTGGCTAAACCCAGACAAAAAACAGTTGACATTATATTAATATTAATAAGGATAACAACAACGACAATCATCATGATAACCAAGCATTTGCGCACAATTACAGCAAAAAGATTCAACTCTGTCTGAACAAGTCTATACAACTTTCCTGGTTTCCCAAAATACTCTTGAAATTAGCATGAAAAGCTCCATTTAGTAAACATTCAAGATGAATCTTGACCAATGAAACCCAAATTTACCTTTTAGCTCTCATTTACCAATGAAACCTTCAACTTTAATCTTGCCAAAGTTGACACCAAACTGTTGGCAAATTGAATGCCAATGAAAACCGTTTAAGCTAAACTGTAACAAACAAACAATTGCAAATGTATAACAATATTGAAAGTTGATATCATTTGATGAAAAGTGATTGAATCTTATTATAACAAAGTGAGGTTATTCAGCATTTGTTTTCACAGTCAGTTAGTGTATTGATAGTTTACATCAAAAAAGGGAAAGATTATGATAATTGTAATAATATTAATATTAATATAACCAATAATAGTGAGTGAGGCAACTTAAAATCAATGAAATGAAAAGCAAATTTTGCTAGTTTGATTGAAGATAATCCAATAATATTAATCCATGTGCAAAGATACACTAAAGACTTTGTATTCATTCCCTTTTCCAGCGATATTATTATACTTGTTATAATATATTATTATTCATATTATTGTTGCCCATTCACTGTACAATGGGAGCAAGTTCAACAGAAGATGAGAAAAGATGTTGAAGAAGAAGAAGAAAAAATCAAACTTATCCTCATCTCTGATGCCAATGAATTACATTAAAAACTATTGAATCTGGTGAATCCAAAAGTGAATGGCTTACAGCAAAAAAAAGCCTGAAAAAAACGTTAAGTATAACATTACAATGTTAGTGAAAAGCAGACGATAATAATAATATAATAGAGACATTTAACATCTCTTTTTCATGGTCAGTCGGTTTAATTGTGTGAAACAATTAACTTGATTCAGGGTTCATTTGAAAGATTTGACAAGAAAAATGTTGACAACTGTCTATTCCAATAAACATCATCAACATTTACACTTAACAAGTAAAAACACCTCAATTTGTTTACTTTGTTTGCTTGCCCTCTCATCCCATTCATATCGCGCCTATCAATGCTCAACCATTATTGTTGTTATCATCATCAATATCATTATTATCCTTTTCAATTTACCAACAAAATAACAACAAACAGCAACAAAACAAGTAAAAAATTGAGGTTCTTTTGGCTTTTCCTCTATTTGTTGCTGTTCTCGAGTTGTTTAGTCCGTCTTTCACTCGGCAACTCCAATCATCTTCTCTATCATCCTCGTTAGCTTCAATTTGCCTCCAAGATTATGTCTCAATAGAAACTGTTTAAAGACCTTTGACAGGCCACCCAAAAGCTTTTCATCTTTAACTTTGTCTTGCCAATCACGCTCATCGAAATCATCATCGACAGCGACATCCTCGTCGCCATCCTTACAAAAAAAAACCTTTTCAATCACAACTAATATAATCCTGTTTTTCCGGTAAAGGTAAGTTATTGGAAATGTTATTGAAACGCTGAAAGATTAACTATAAAAGCTTCTTTCTAGACCAATTTGTCAAACTGATTTTACTATTGCTTAAGCCTTTCACCATGAAAAGCATGAAAGAACGAAAAGTTTATTGAAAAATCTTTACTTCAATAACAAAACCTTTTCACTTTTCAGGATTTACTGTTAAAGTGTAAGCATAACATTGATAACACTTTTCAATATCGAAGATTATCTTAAAACTAATCAACTTTAATTGAAATCAAAACTTTCTGTTTAAGTCGATAACAAACAATTAATTAACGAACTAATTGAAAACAAAAAATCATATTTAAAGTTCTGTAAATCCAAGCAAATTCTGATTCGAACCAGAAAATGTCTTTGGTTAGGTTCAGCTTTTTGAAGCAACATTAAAGAGTAAATTAAATGTTGATTTTTTCGCCCTTAATTGTAATTAAGATTGATTTTTAGCTCTTCCAATGCTGTTATAATAATTTATTAAATAAATAAACTTGATAATTTGGATTTGATTGTCTGTTATCAAAATTATTTGTTCAAGAGTAACTCAATAAACTCAAACCAAACACAATGTTGAATAGCATTGAAAAACTTTTTTTGTCCTTTTGTTTCATTTCATTTGATCATTTTTTTAATCAAATTGAACAAATTGAGTTTATAAGAAATGTGAAAAAAGATGTTTTCTGTTGGTGAAATTAGATTAAATGTTGCGATAATGAAAATCAATGTTTTATTGTCATCTGGTTTTCAGTTGGTTCAATGGTTATAGAGTAGAGAGGAAAAAGAGAAGAGAAAAGTTCCAATGAAGATTTTTTCAATGATTTTCTTCTTCTTCTTCTGCCAAGGAATTTTGAAGACGGAAAAATAATAAAATGCAATAAAGTGTTTTCACTGTTGAACCTTTCAAAGCCTCACAAGATTCACATTTCATTTTGACAACAAGAAAGACATACATTTACTTTAATATCAACACACTTTCATCCCCATCCTCATCACTATCAACACAATTCATTTCTCTTTACTCTTTTTTTTTCATTTATTTACATCTCACCATTGTTCAACTGAGAAAATCATTTTACTCAATAATGCTTGCCAACATAATTGCATTTACTGTCACAATTTATTAATTGTTAACGTGTAAACATTTATTATTAATAGAGAGCAATTAATGTGTTCCAATGAGAAACGTTGTTAACATAATTTAATCATAACATTTGAACAATTTGCAAATTTTTCTCGTTGAAAAGAAAAACTTTCATGAAACTTTTTGAATCGAAAATATTATTTTTCTGTAAACAATTGCTCAAAGTTCATTGTTGTTGGAAGAGCAAAAATTTACGCAAAAAAATTCTTCATTCATGATTCTTGGAAAGGATGAGAAGAAGCAAGATATCAAAAGATTCTCATCATTGAAGGTGTAAAAAGTATGTGAAAAATGTTGTCCAATTTGCGTGTTTTTTACATGTTTTACTGTTGAAAAAATTGGATGGAAAAAAAGTCAAGATGAACTTTGAATTGATTATCATTGAAACGGAAGTTGAAAATTGAAAGGAAGTAGCAATTACTCTTCAAGAAGTGTTGTTTTGCATTCTTTACTTGTTTGGCTTGTTCAATGGTTCATCAACTTTTACTTGTACCAATCATGTTATACCAATGAGCCTTGAAGAGGAGTTGGAGGAGGAGGAAGGAGGAAGATGAAGAGGAGGAAAACATGATGTTTCAAGGTTTATCTTACTGTTACTCCGTTCCGGTTTGCAAGAAACTAGGCGTCAAATAGGAACGAAAAGGAGGAGAAGAAAAATGCGAATAATCATTATGACGATTACGAAGATGATGAGGAAGGTGAAGAAGTAAAAAAATATACAAACGAGATGATCATCTGAGGATGGATTACAGCTTATTCTTTCGGTGATTAATCATGTGCGATATCCTCATTTAACCAGATAATTTTGTCCTCTAGTTGTACTTTACACTGATCAATGTACCAGATAATCATTATAATAATCTGTTAATCTTGTAACCGCAAAAAATTATCATCATCAATCAGTGAGCAAAAATTCATCTTCTGGAGATGATAAACTCGCAAGCTTTTTCCTCCTTCACTGTGAAACCACAAATTGATACACTTTTAGACTTTTGTTGCCACTAAATCTTTACCCATTGTAAGACGTTTTTGTTGTCAACTATTAACGCTTAAAACGTTTCATGATCATCTTAATGATCCTCAACTCTTAGCGTCTCTCAGCTATTTATATCATTTGTAAATCTTTTTCTTGCCTCCAAATGATGTTAATCTGTTTGTTTATTACATTTGCTTACTTGCAATCCCTTCAATATGATAACATTGAAATGCTATTGAAATGCCATTGAAATGTTGGGCAAATGTTCATCTTTGGACTACTTTTCAACTTGCCAGAGTTGAAGCTTTTTTTAAAGTAAATCAAACGACAGGAAATAATAACATTTCTTATTGTATAACAAGTTATCAATTTTATTGTTGCATTAAAGGTAGATGAGTTTACCTTTTGTGAGTTTAAATTTCAACTTGACTCAATTTTAATTCAATTTTTATTTTTACTTTTCTACTTTTTGTTCAATGAATATTTTATTATTTTATTTTTGACAACAAATGAAAATAATCAAATTGATATTATTTGTATAATAATGTATCTTGATGTAAATAACCACTTGACTATTTATGATCACTTGAGATGCTTTTTTCGGTTACCTTTTCTGAATCAAATTTAAAATTCAATTGAATGATAAAGTATCAAGAACAAGAAATGAAAAAGAAGAAGAAACTGATTCAAAATCAATTGAATTAGCTTTTCTCGATTTAATTCATTCAATTTAGTTTCAAACGTCTTTTCATCTCAATGAGCATCTTCCTGGTAAAAGTGGCTTAAATTACACTAAATTGTACTTTTACTTGACTAAGCCAACCAAAATGTTATACAATGTTGTACAATCGAGAAAAATGTACCATAACAATGAGGTTGAAGGATCGGTCAAGTGCCACAAAAGTGCCGACGAGCAAGATGACAAATTGTCTGGTCAGTTGGGTCGATTTGAATAAATTTTTCATCAAAAATACTTTTCTTCAAATCTTTATTCAATTTTTCTTCCAACAAAACTCTTCTCCAAGTGTGAAAGTTGAAAATTCTTAGTTTCTTTTTCTTGTTCTGTGTTCAAACCTTGTTCAACCATCCTGATGTTGAAGCACAGATAGTGGCTCAAGAACAAGAAAAAAATTCTGACTTTAATAGCAAAGATATGTTTCTGTATTCATTTTAAATTTTATTCTCAGTGTGAATGATCAAAGTTGATGAACCAAGTCATAATCAAAATCAAGTTAAGCAAACCCTTTTCAAGTTTTACAGCAAACTGCAAAAAATGAATTCCTTAAACACTGAATACTTCGAGTGGATAATTAATTAATTACTTGAAATATGAAAATATCAATTAGCATTAAGATGATAACTAAAACGGGACAAAACAGTTAATCAAAATGTGTCTAAATTAGTTGAAGAGAGAAACAATTTTTCACTAAAAACGGATAAAGTTGACAAATTATAAATACTGTTGAAGGTTGGTCGGTTAACTTAGGAGGCGTTTAGTCAAAGTGTAACCTAAACAAAAGGCTTTGCTGGGTTGAGTGTTGAACATGTTATCAGGCTCTTTAAAGCTTTTACTTGACCTGGATAGAGGCTTTGGTTAGGATGAAAACCAAGAGGAGTAGCAGCTAGTATTTAGTATTGAAAAAACACTAACAATTGTTCCTTCGTAAACAGTTCTCTTTCCTTTTCATGTAAAGGTAGATCAAGTTAATTGTTGTATACAATCAGTTCAAATGAGCGTGAAATAGATGTTAAATATCTCTATTATTATTATTAGCATTATTGTCCTGATTGGATGTCGGTTTCCTCTGTTCAAAATATGTTCATTTTTTTCAATTGTAAATAATACTCTGCACAAATCATCATGTTTTTCCAACCCTCACCATCAGCATCTTTCCTCTTTTTTAACTCCCAGACAACTATTTTCATTTACCATTGTTAGTTATTGTTAATATAATGCAAAGGGATTAAAGTTTTATCATTACTATTATTGGATTAAATCGTACACTTTTTTTACCTTTCAAATCAAAATAAATATTTTTCCATTCTTAATCAAATTATCCTCAATCACAGCGCACTAATTGAACAATTTATCCAGTTGATCAACAATAACTTTAATCATTATTTACCTTTAAAAACTCCCTTGGTGACGATTAAACAAAACTTTATAAAAAATGGAAAATTAAAGTAAATTTGTTTCTCCAAATATTAACAATTTAAGCTTCTTACAAAATGATATTAACAATGATTGTTATCAAATTAAACATGATGATATACAAATTGATGTTAATCTTTTCAACACCTTTTTACCTGAGAATGGATGGAACGAAGAAAAGTACAAACAAGTTGATTTAACCATTTTCTAGTGGAATGATAATAAGCTGAACGATTATCCGTCAAGACCACCCGATAACAAAATAATGTCGCTAATAACAATCACAATGGTACCTTGTGAAGGGAAGAAAACAAATTTCGTCTCTTTCTCAATGGTTCCCGTTTTGTTTTCCTGCTTTTTTTTGGTGGCCCTTCCTTTTGTCCCTTCAATAATAATATTGTTGGTCTGAAGTCTTAATCCCTAGTAGATTAAGGTTTTTTTTCGGGTCTAAAAGAACCCGACCTGAAGAAAGAATCGCATTCAGAGCCAAGTGAGTTAATTTACAAAAGAAACTATTGAACAGTCTATTGAAGTCTATTTGTTATGCAAAAAAATATTATTATTGGTCAATGTAAAGAGCATCAGAAGAGATGAAAAGGTAAATTAGTAAAGCTAATCTGTTAAACCATTCAATTGAAAGTAACCTTAAGCTTCGAGTTTAGAACTTTGAAACTCTTTTCTTTCTCTCACTCGACTAGTGAGGTCGAACTGTGATTTGAGTCTCTAAAATAGCATTTGGAGAAACAAAATTATGATGAAGATTATGATGGAAATGATGATCCAGATGATGAAGATTTGACAAAAGAAACAGTAAAGTTGAAAAGAGAAAATTGTTTCTTCTCTTCTTTCCTTCATTTTTAGACCTTTTTTCCCTCTACTTTAAAATCTAAGGCTGGTCACTTGCTTATTGACCAATGTGGTTAGTGTGTCTTGCTAAATGTGTACATTAAAATGTTAATTTGAATAAATTTGGTTTCCATTTTACTCTCATTGTTATCCATTGACCACAGTACAAGGCTTTACTTTAACAATTTGATTTCCATTGAAAGTTAAACATATTTATTACATTCAATTTGTATTTAACAGTTCAATTAACATAACTATGATAAACATGATAACAAATGGAAATGTTTCAAACCTAAACAAATCGACAATTAGTTTATCATGTTCGATCTTAATCCTATCAATTGTAACAACCAGTGAATATAATCTGGTTTTGTCACAATTTTAATAACTTATGACATTTTAACCAAACAAGTGAACAGTTCAACCTCCAAAACAAACTTAATTTTGAAACAAAACCATTCAATTTGATGATTGACTCAAATTTTCAAACTAATTACATTTCACTAATTTGATAAATGGTTATCAAGTAATACTTGAGAGTCTCGAATTTTTAGATTGAGATTACATATGGAAATACTAGATGGAGTTTGTTTCCTGGTTAAAGCCTCATGAAATATGAGTCTACAAAATGATATTTTTATCTGAATCAGTTTCTAAATGGAAGTCATTTTCATCGGAATTCACAACACTCAGTTGAAACATTGATTGAACGTTGATTCAAGTTTTAACAGTCAATGATAAAGAATATAATGTTTACAGTTGACATTGATGGTGTGTGATTATGTGTTTGTTTGTGATTCCCAAGAAAATTAAAAAAAATCTTGCTGAGTAAATATTGGTGATTGAGGATTCAATTAAGTCTTGTTTTTTGTCGTCTGATTTTTCCTTCTTCTTCAAATGAAAACAGAGTGATTGAAGCGAAATAAACGTTTTCACTTTCCATACGGAGAGTTGAATAACGCTTTAGGTAATGTTGATCATCCTCACCATCATCATATAAGTTTACACATTATTTGTTACATCAACTGTTGAAAGTTGATATAACATTGAGCAAAGTGTGATGATAATAATAATAATAATGAAAAAAAGTCCAAGTTTTGTTGGCACAAAAAAACATTAAAACAAAGTTTCGACACTTTGTTAATCATTCAACAAAAATCATATCGTCATGAAATTAAAAAAACAATTTGTTTTCCTTCACAATGCGTTGAAATACGGATTGTTTTCCCCAGCACCCTGTTAGAACATGATTTTTTTAGGAATGTGAATTCCAATATCAATTTTTATCGTTTGCTTTATTCAAGTCTTCAACAACGAAAGCTCAACTGTTGTTGTTTCATTGAAGGTTTGAATAGCAAATAAAAGCAGCCATCAGTTTCTTGATGATTTTCATGAATTTGATCAACTTGAACAATAAATAACTGAGAGGTTTACTTTCGGCCAGAGGTTAGCTCCCAATTAAATAAAGTGGTATTACTTTTGAAAATTGTTTCACTCTTTTCATATCAAAATGAGCTGCAATTATATCTATATCAATCGCACTCATAAACGTTAGTTTTCAACATTGATTGTTCAATCTTATTCAAGAATTCATTTTCATGAGTGAAATCATCTTTGACTTTATTTCAGCCACTTGCAAGTTGAGTGTTTAATTATCATATTCAACCTTATGCCATTGATTATTTTAAGCCTTGTAAGCTCATGTAGCTCACCTATCGGTGTAACGCACATTATATAACTTTGATGTGAATGCAGATTAAGATGACAATGATGACTTATCATTGATAAGAATTCGTGCCTAAGCAAGATAATTAAGACTTTTTATGCATTACAGCCTTTATAAATCATGATTTTCTTTTATTCAGTTACTCTTGAATAGAAAGTCGAAGCAAAAATGGATGAAAAAAGTTCTCTAAAAGTTTTGATGACTTCAATGATTGGGTGAGTTAATATTACATTGTAAGTCTTAATATTAAAGAGTTTACTGATTTATTCAATTGTTTCTGTGTATTCACAGCCTGGGCCATGTAAATGCGTGCATTGGTATTGGTTCACTTCTTCGCAAACGCGGTCATCAAGTTTACTTTGCCCATTTTGATGAAAACAAAGAGGTGATTGAAAAGCATGGATTTCATTACATCTCATTGTGTGAATACAATGATAAAAATTATCCCATAATGGGTGAAATACCAGCCAATATTACAGCATTTTTGCAAGCAGGTTTCGAGATGGCTTGTAAGTTTTCAACTTTGGACACTTTAAAAGAGTCAATTAAATCTGGTCTTGGTGATGGCCCAGCTTTTTTACTTGAAGTCGCCAAAGGTGAAAACTGTGCAATGTTAAACATCATTGAAAAGATAAAGCCAGATGTTTGTTTAGTCGATCATTATTGGAGTATGCCTTGGATGGTCAAAACTTCATGTCCAGCAGTTCCTATTATATCGTCATCGCCACTTGATCTGTATAATGGTCCACCGATGGGTTCAGGATATTCAGTACATGATTCACCTGAGATTTGGTCTGAATACCGTAAGTTAAGGGAAGAGTCAGAAAAAAATATTGTAGCAAAAGCAAAGGAATTGTACAAATTTTTTGATGCTGAATACAAACCACAAATTTATGCAGAGCAACTGGGCATTTACATTTTCCCTGGTCCATTAGATTATCATGAATTGGGTTCACCAAAAGAAAAATGGTTTCGTTGTGACTCATCCATTCGCACACCAGAAACATTGGATTTCGCATTACCAGAAAAACTTAAAGGCAAACCAGGAAAATTGATTTATGTCTCAATGGGAACTGTTGTTTCAGCCGTTCGACAGCTAATGGAAATGATTGTTTCTCCTTTAGCCAAATCGCCTCACCGATTCGTTGTTTCAACAGGTGTTTATGGTGGTGCGCTTGAACTTCACGATAACATGTGGGGAGATAAATATATCAATCAGATCGCTCTCTTACCCAAAGTTGATCTATTTATAACTCATGGAGGAACCAATTCGTTGATCGAAGGCCTAGCTGCTGGCAAACCATTGATAGTTATTCCACAATTCGGTGATCAACCGGACAACGCTCAACGAGTAGTTGATCTTGGTTTAGGTGCGAGGATAAACTTGCATGAATTCAGTGGTGAGAAGCTACTGAAAGCCATTGAAGATGTACTCAATGATGAAAAGATTCTTGCAAATGTTGCTCGAGTCAGTGAAGAGCTGGAAAAGTCTGATACGAGAGATAAAGTTATTTCTCTTATTGAGCAACTGGCACGAAACAAAACGCTTTGAATTTCAATTTCGATTCGTTCTTCGAACACGATAACTAAGATGAATAATTTTAAATTTATAGTGAACATGATTGTAACTGTCTTTCATAAAAGTTGACATTCAATTCATAAATTATTATAATATATTGATTAAATAAAAAGATAAATCTTCAATTAAGTCTTAAATTCTTAAGTGATCACAGAAAATTTTGATTCTAATTGAAGTCAAGCATATGAGTTTGATTCAGGTCTGAAGATAAACTTGCGTTTAAATGAAACTGATTTTTTCGGCTAATAAGAAGTTATTTAAATGGACTTTACCTCGCGACTTTAGACTGATTTTGTAACATTGATAACATTTTTTTATTTCATTTTGCTATTTGTATCAACACCCTTGAACATAATCTTAACAAAGTTATCACTGCAATATGCTCGTATGAAGATAGTTGATCAATGATCACCATTAAAGCTTTGAACAGTCGTATCATGATTATGATCAATTTGCACCTAAAACAATCAATTATTGTTTATTTTTCAATTATTTATTCAATTGTGCTAACTACTTTAACCAATCATCAAATCATTTGAAGTGACCGACAATGATCTCAGGCAGCCTAAGTGCACATCCGTCAAACTTCAGTTCATTCAGTTTTCGAGTTTTAAAGGTCCCTTATAAAGACTATTTTACACCAATCTGATTCAAGCTCAACCTAATGATTCTTCATGGCTCATACCCCTTTACAAAATCATTACATTACAATCTTTATATCAAATGTTTACCCAAGTCTCAAAAAAATAAATCTTAACCATTATGTCTGTATTTAAAACATGATTTTTCATCTTTTATTTGAATGAAATTGTATTAAAGAATGAATTTGATTTGAATTTGATATGGACACGTCCATTATATTAGATAGACCAATGAATCTGATTTTATTAGGGAATGGATACGTCAGATCAATATGATAAAACAGAAAATATGATTTTGATATGATACCTTTATTGGTTTTCAAATCATGTTCTTCAAAATTTGTCTCCAAAATAAAAGTTGATCTACAGTCTTTAGCTGGACATTTGATTACAAATTTTTTATGTACGCCATGTGACTTTCAACGTCATGAAGCTTTGTTCTATTTTAAAATTGCAATTCGAGCAATATTTACATGAGTGGCTACCTGGAGAAGTATCCATGTACCGAGCATAAAATTTTTTTTCTTCTTTTTTGGTGATTAATTTACCAGTGTTTACCTTTACCACAACTTTTCCATAAAACCTTTCAAATTCTTGCAGTGATTTTTCCTTCGAACCACTTTCAACCTCTTTCGCCTCAGGAGACTTTGATCTTTCTATTTTTTCTTTCAAAGCAGTAATACGTCTCTCAAAATCTTTAGAGAAGCGATTTTTAAAATTGTTTGGACGTTCAATTGGGTTATAAATCTTTGAAATATTCACCAATCCTGGCTTCATTAAAAATTCCTCTTTTGCTTTCCTTGCTTTTTCTTCTTTTTTCTGTCTAAAAATCTTAAATTTTTGTCAATTAGCTCACCTTAAGATTTATTATATATGTAATAAATCTTAACATAAATAGTCTTATCCATCTTTCGTTTTGCATAACAAATTCACTTTTAATTGCAGTTATTATAATGGACAACTCCATTGAAAATAAAGAAAAAATTTTTGCCTCTTTAGATTTGTATCCAAAAAATATAAAAAAGACAAAAAACACCTAATGACGATGATGAAGAAGACAATTGCTTGGTGGTTTTGGAAAAGTTGCCATTGATTGTACCAATGACTCATGCAGATTCAATGGATGAGAAGATGAGTTTGGTGTTCAGATCGAGACAGAAAAAAATTCGTTTGAAAGTATTGAGGAAAAAGAAGATGAAAATTGATGACCGAAATGACCAGGATGAGTCCAGAAGTTATAAAGATAAATTCATTTATTAAAGATTTCACCACTGGACAAAGCGTCTCAAAAGATGAAGAAAGGCCATTTATAAGAATTATATTACAGGTTCTAGCCCAATTATAGTTGTATTTCTAACTCAAATTTGTGTTTTTAAATAAGCAGAAAATCTATTCTGTTGAAAACTATTTGTCACCCAATTCTTTTAAAACCAATTGTCCAATAACTAATTGTAATTTGTCTTTTATTGTTGTCACCAATTTTATAAAGCATTTTAAAAAAGATCATGATAATTGATCAGACTTAGGTATGAGAAAAAATGACGAAAAAACGATTTTACTACATTATTGTTTGAATAAATAAAAAAATTCATAGTTTAATCTTGTTGCAATTATGTTGCAATCAATTATTGGTAGACTTAAGATATAATAAATCTTAACAATGTTCACTTCGGAGCAGATTAGTGTTTTGCTCTTAATATGCTTTTATTTGGATTCAGATTGAGATTACATATTGAAATACTAGATGGAGTTTGTTTCCTGGTTAAAACTCATGAAATATGAGTCTACAAAATGATATTTGTATCTGAATCATATTCTAAATGAAAGTCATTTTCATCGGAATCCACATCACTCAGTTGAAACATTGACTGAACGTTGATTCAAGTTTTAACAGTCAATGATAAAGAATATAATGTTTAAAGTTGACATTGACGGTGTGTGATTATGTGTTTGTTTGTGATTCCCAAGAAAATTAAAAAAAAATCTTGCTGGGTAAATATTGGTGATTGAGGATTCAATTAAGTCTTGTTTTTTTTGTCGTCTGATTTTTTCTTCTTCTTCAAATGAAAACAGAGTGATTGAAGCGAAATAAACGTTTTCACTTTCCATACGGAGAGTTGAATAACGCTTTAGGTAATGTTGATCATCCTCACCATCATCTGATAAGTTTACACATTATTTGTTACATCAACTGTTGAAAGTTGATATAACATTGAGCAAAGTGTGATGATAATAATAATAATGAAAAAAAGTCCAAGTTTTGTTGGCACAAAAAAACATGAAATTAGTGTGAAATGAAGACACAAACAAAAAGCCAAACTCGCATGTATTTAACAAATAGCCTTTGGGTATCAACATTGACGCTATTTTTGTCATTACATTTATATTAAATGACTCAATTTCAGTGAAATCATTGGCACATTGAGACACTCTCAACACCAATAACAATTTTTATCATTTGCTTCATTCAAGTCTTAATCATTTATTATTAAATCTGATAATCAAACAACGAAAGCTCAACTGTTGTTGTTTCATTGAAGGTTGAAAAGCAAATGAAGACAGACATTATTTTTTTATGTTTATCATGAGTCTAGTCTTAATCAACTTGAACAATGAATTGAAAGGTTTACTTTCGCACAAAGATTAACTGTCAATTGAATAAAATGATATTTACCTTTGAAAATTGTTTCAATTTTTTATATCAAAATGCAATCATATTTACTTCAACCTCACTCATTAACTATAACTTTAGCTGCAATTTTAATTGTTCAATCTTATCCAAGAACCCATTTTCATGAGTGAAACTGCCTTCAACTTTATTGCAGTCATTTGTTAGCTGAGTGTTTCAATTGTGACTCGAAATTGAATGATCATTTTTATTCAACTTTTTGTCCTTAAATATTAATTTAGAGTCTCTCGGAACCTAAAAACCTTGGACAATCCAAGGAAAAGATTCAACATAATTATTGCAATTTGATTTGTTTAATCGTCAAGTCTTTGCGTACCTAAATTTGCGTACAACTGTGCTTAGTTTTACTTCAACTATAAAAAAACTTGATTTTTCTTTATTAGGTTATTCTTGGTTGGAATCAAAGCAAAAATGGATGAAAAAGGTTCGCTAAAAGTATTGATGACTTCAATGATAGGGTAAGTTAATAGACAGTTTTTTGAAAAATAAAACATTTATTTTTTATTTATTTATTATTCGATTGTTTCTGTGTATTCATAGCCTGGGCCATTTGAATGCATGCATTGGAATTGGTTCACTTCTTCGTAAACGCGGTCATCAAGTTTACTTTGCCCATTTTGACGTAAACAAGGAAGTTATTGAAAAGCATGGCTTTCATTACATCTCATTGTGTGAATACAATGATAAAAATTATCCCATAATGAATGGAATGCCACCCAATCTTGCTAAAATGTTGGAAGCACGTTTTAAGATGGCAACCAAGTTTTCACCTTTGGACATTTTGAAAAAGTCGATTGAATCTGATTCAGGTGCTGATGAAGGGCTAGTCTTTATACTTGAAGCTGCTAAAGGCGAGAACTGTGCAATGTTGAACATCATTGAGAAGATAAAGCCAGATGTCTGTTTAGTGGACCATTTGTGGACTATGCCTTGGACGGTTAAAGCTTCATGTCCAGTGATTCCTGTTTGGTCAGCCTCTCCAGTTGATCTGTATAATGGTCCACCAATGGGTTCAGGTTATTCACTACATGAGCCACCGCAGCTATGGTCTGAGTACCTAAAGTTGAAGGAAAAGTTCGAGCAGAATATTGTAGCGAAAGCAAAGGAATTGTTCACATTGTTTGATGCTGAATTCAAACCACAGCTTTATGCAAAGCAACTAGGTATCTACATTTTCCCTGGTCCGTTAGATTACCATGAATTGGGTTCGCCGAAAGAAAACTGGGTTCGTCTCGACTCATCCATTCGAGCTCCAGAAACACAAAATTTTGAATTACCAGAGAAACTGAAAGATAAACCAGGAAAATTGATTTATGTCTCAATGGGAACTGTTGCTTCAGTGATTCCCCAGCTGATGGAAATGATTGTTTCTCCCTTAGCTAAATCCCGCCATAGATTCATTGTTTCAACAGGTGTTTATGGAGGTGCGATTGAACTTCACGATAACATGTGGGGAGATAAATATATCAATCAAATCGCTCTCTTACCCAAAGTTGATCTATTCATAACTCATGGAGGAAGCAATTCACTGGTCGAAGGTCTATCTGCTGGTAAACCATTAATTGTCATTCCTCAATTCGGTGATCAACCAGACAATGCTCAACGAATAGTTGATCTTGGCTTAGGTGTGAGGATAAACTTACATGAATTTAGTGGTGAAAAGCTGTCAAAAGCCATTGAAGATGTGCTCAATAATAAAGAGATTCATTCAAATGTTGCTCGAGTAAGTGAAGAGCTGAAAAGGACCGATTCAAGAGATAAAGTTATCTCGCTCATTGAACAACTGGCTCGAAACAAAACGCTTTGAGACAAATTTCGATTTTGGTCATCTTTTTTATCGCAATTGCTCATCGGTTATTTTGCAACACTCACAACATCAGGTTTCAATTAGATTCTGATTCCAAGCTAGTCTTTAGTCTTTATGTACACAAAAGTCGTACGCTATGTATTGTTTATTCATAACTCGGCAACAGAAAAAAATAATTTTGAATTCTCAGTAAACCTGTTTTTTATAAAATTTGAAGTTGAATTCAGTCTTGTATTATTAATTATTTATAACGAAAAAATGTACAAACTAAGATATTAAAGAGATTTTATGATAAATGTTTTTGTGTCGAATCCTTGGTTCATTTTAGATATTTGACAGTCAATCTTACTTTAAGTAGATGCAAATTGCTGTAAATTGAACTCACCTTGCTTTATTGCAATTTCAATTTTTTTATTGGACAAAAAAAATCTATCTGCATCGGTTTCAATGAAGAAATGCTTGAACAATCGTTTTGATTCTTCCAGCACAGATTGTTCCTTACAAACAAGAAATTTTTGTTCTAAAGATGGTTCTGATAAATTATGTTGGTTAAATAAAATGATAATTCTCCAATTATAACTGATCATAAAAATTCCTGATTCTGTGTGAAGTCAAAACCATAATCTTTGTTTAGGTGTAAGCGTGAGCTTGAATTTAGTAATGAAAAGCTGTTGAAAGTAATGAGAAGAGCTCATTGATGAAAAGATTAATTCAAATGTCACTCGAGTAAGTGAAGAGCTGAAAAAATCAAATTCAAGAGATAAAGTTATCAAGCTCATTGAGCAGCTTGCTGTGGCGAAAACTTGTGCTGAAACTTGACTGCTGCTTGGCTGCTTGACACTTTGTTAAGGTGTTTGATTAGGAATTTTATTTCTTCATTTTTATTAGTGATCGCTTTATTATAATTATAATATATCGAACTCGGTAGATTTTTTTCGGCCAATAAAGAGCAATAAAATGGACTTTACTTTCTGACTTTGGGTTGGTTTCGTAACATTGAGTAACATTTTGCTTATTTTTTTTGCTATTTGTACCCAAAAACCTTGAATGTTATCTAGTCGAAGTTATCACTGCAATAAGATATGCAATATTATTAGCTATCTTTTTATAATTACATGCACAGGAACTTGCTCACTTGATCACAGACACTTGAGCTTAGTTTTAGATCAGCTATATAAACTCATTTCTGCTTTACTCAGATGTTCTCGGATACGTATCAAAGCAAAAATGGATGAAAAAGGTTCGCTAAAAGTATTGATGACTTCAATGATTGGGTAAGTCAATGCCAAGTCTTTGATTAGTTTATTCGTCATTTGAATTTTTCTTCTATTTTCTCAGCATTGGCCATTTGAATGCATGCATTGGAATTGGTTCACTTCTTCGTAAACGCGGTCATCAAGTTTACTTTGCCCATTTTGACGTAAACAAGGAAGTTATTGAAAAGCATGGCTTTCATTACATCTCATTGTGTGAATACAATGATAAAAATTATCCCATAATGGATGGAATGCCACCCAATATTGTCGAAGTATTCAAGAAACGATTTGACATGGCGAGTAGATATTCGAGTTTGGACAGTTTGAAAGAGTCAATAAAATCTGGTTTAGGTGCTAATGATGGCTTAGTCTTTATTCTTGAAGCTGCTAAAGGTGAGAACTGTGCAATGCTGAACATCATTGAGAAGATAAAGCCAGATGTTTGTTTAGTGGATCATTTATGGACTATGCCTTGGACGGTTAAAGCTTCATGTCCAGTGATTCCTGTTTGGTCAGCATCGCCAGTTGATCTGTATAATGGTCCATCGATGGGTTCAGGTTATTCAGTACATGATCCACCTGAGCTTTGGTCTGAATACCATAAGTTGAGAGAAGAGTTTCAAAAGGATGCTGTAACGAAAGCGAAGGAATTGTACGAATTGTTTGATGCTGAATTCAAGCCACAGCTTTATGCAAAGCAACTAGGAATTTACATTTACCCTGGTCCATTGGATTACCATGAATTGGGTCCACCAAAAGAAAACTGGGTTCGTCTTGACTCATCCATTCGGGCACCAGAAACACCGAGCTTTGAACTACCAGAGAAATTGAAAGATAAACCAGGAAAATTGACTTATGTCTCAATGGGAACATTGGCTTCGTCCGTGATTGAACTAATATCCATGATACTAACTCCATTGGCCAACTCACCCCATCGTTTCATTGTTTCGACTGGTATGAATGGTGACTCAATTAAACTACACGAAAACATGTGGGGATCCAAATTTATCAATCAACTTGCTCTTTTACCCAAAGTTGATTTATTCATAACTCATGGAGGAAGCAATTCTTTGATTGAAGGCTTGACTGCTGGCAAACCATTGATAGTTATTCCCCAATTTGATGATCAACTTGATAATGCTCAACGAATAGCTGATCTTGGTTTAGGTGTGAGGATAAACTTGTATGAATTTAGTGGTGAAAAGCTTTTAAAAGCCATTGAAGATGTGCTCAATGATGAAAAGATTCATGCAAATGTTGCTCGAGTCAGTGAAGAGCTGAAAAGGACAGATTCAAGAGATAAAGTTATTTCTCTCATTGAACAATTCGCTCGAAATAAAACGCTTTGAATAGCAACATTTATTGTAATTTTCGATAACCTTGTTTTACTTTAATTTAATTATATCGATAAATATTCACGAAAACCTTTAAAATAACTTTCATGACTACAAAATTCAAATAAATGTATCTCCAAGTTGCTTAAACTCATATAATCTTATATTTTTGCTGTATGATCTGCTTTCCTCATGAATCCGAGCTTTGAGTTGACTTTCTATGCTCTTAACTTAGTTTCATTAATTTTGTTGGCTTTTAGATAATCTAATATGAAATCATTCGATCATAACTTCTCACTGCAAACATTAATGATAGTAGTAAACTCAAACACAAACAATAAAATAAAATCAAGCCACAACTTTTAAACTTGAATATCAAATTTTTGCCACTTATTCATTACCCATCACCCATAACGTCGTCAAACTAAACACCATGATTTTTTGCCTTAAATATGCTTCAAAATAGTGGATAAAAATTGCTCCCGCATTTGATAATATATTATGCTAGTAAAACGCTACCTCAACTTCATTAGTTTGTCGAAGCCTTAAGTTACTTCAGTCTATCATCAAGTAGTCCCTATTTTATCCCTATCCCAGTAGCTCATGGCTTTGTCACAAAATGTCGAAGTAAAGTTCTTTACAAGATTCATTTTGGGATGAAAAAGACCTTTCCTTAAAAATTTCATCCCGAGTTGAAAGTTTATACTTTGTTGATTACAGATGCGTAAAATTGATTCCATATGATTGATCAAAAAGTTTCTCTGATCGAGTTCAAAGAAGTAAGTTAGCTGTTGGTAAACCATTGATAGTTCTTCAATTTGATAATCAACTAGATAATGCTCAACGAATGGGTGTGAGGATAAGCTTGTATGAATTTAGTGATGAGAAGTTATTCAGAGCCATTCAGGTGTGCTCAATAATAAAGCTGAAACATCTGATTCAATCTGATAAAGTTATCTGACTCATTGATCCTTTATATCACATAGGATCTTCAAATAAAGGTTGGCGATTAAAGTTCTTTGTTTCGATCTCATATTAACTTCTTCAGAATTATTTTTGCTAATTCACTGATTACATGAAACCAGAGCAACATTTATATTGTAATTATTGAGTTAAAATATGATGATTGGGATTTTCTGATATCCCTGTACAGAAGCCTTTGATTCAAAGAGATTTGCATTTCTTAATCGTATAAATTGATCCAAATATTCATTATAATATATCTTATTCCGACACAGTTTTGTTTAATAAACTGATAGTGATGCTAAATATAATAAATGACACTGTGATAACTTAATTCCAGTCACATTTATTCAAGATTATAATCAACCAGAAAGAAGAGAAATATACAATCAAAAGGAGTTTAGTTGGAAACATTCAACTCAATATAATAGTTAGTAAATATAAATATAAAATTAGTTTCAAAGTTTCAACAAAACTGCTCTACAACTAACTCAGAATGGTAACTGAAAATGATAAACGCCTCAAAATACTGTTCACTGCTCTGTTTAGGTAAGTTTAATTTGACTTTGATTTACAGCTTTTTAATTTGAATCATTTTCAATACAGTCCTGGTCATCTGAATGCATGTCTTGGTATTGGTTTGTTACTAAAACAGCGAGGTCATCAAGTTTATTTCGCTCACTTTCCTAAGAATCGTCCAATTATCGAAAAACATGGATTCGAGTTTATCTCATTGTTGGACTATGCTGAACCCGAATTCCAAACCATAGATTCAATGCCTGCAATGGGAGATACTATGAGAATTTTGTTTGAAAAATCACGGAAACTTACACCTTTGGAGCTAATGAAAGATGAATTTGAGGCGAATCCTTTAGTTGGTATGGTTAAAGGATCAAAAGGCGAAAATTATGCTATGATGAAGATAGTTAAAGAGTATAAACCCGATGTTTGTTTGGCTGATTACCTCTTCAATATGCCTTGGATGTTTGCTGTCGATTGTCCAACTATTCCTATCAAGTCTGTCAATCCGATTGAGCTATATAATGGTCCTCCTCTTCGTTCAAGATATTCAGTTCGTGATCCACCAAATGTTTGGGAAGAGTTTAGGAGATTGACCCAAAAATCTGAATTAGAAATGGAAAGTGAACTTGAAAAGTTGTTCGCTCATTTTAATGTTGAGTTTAAACCGGTAGACTATGCACAACATTTGGGAATCTACATTTTCCCTGGCCCTTTAGATTACCATGAATTGGGTCCACCAAAAGAAAACTGGGTTCGTCTTGACTCATCCATTCGCGCACCCGAAACATCAAATTTTGAGTTACCAGAGAAACTGAAAGATAAACCAGGAAAATTGATTTATATTTAAATGGGAACGTTGGCTTCGTCTGTAGGTGAATTACTAACCATGATATTGAATCCATTGGCCAACTCACCTCATCGTTTTATCGTGTCGACTGGTGTTAATGGTGACTCAATCAAGCTTCATGATAATATGTGGGGAGACAAATTCTTAAACCAAGTTGCGCTTTTACCCAAAGTGGATTTATTCATAACTCATGGAGGAAGCAATTCTTTGATTGAAGGCTTAGCTGCTGGTAAACCCTTGATAGTCATTCCTCAATTCGGTGATCAACTAGATAATGCTCAGCGTATAGTTGATCTTGGCTTAGGTTTGAGGATAAACTTGTGGGAATTTAGTGGTGACATGCTACTGAAAGCCATTGAAGATGTGCTCAATGATGAAGAGATTCATGCAAATGTTGCTCGAGTGAGTGAAGAGCTGAAAAGGACAGATTCAAGAGATAAAGTTATTTCTCTTATTGAACAACTCGCTCGAAATAAAACGCTTTGAATAGCAACATATACTGTAATCTGTAATAATTTTGTTTTACCTTGATTCCAATTATAACGATAATAATTCTCTAAAATAACATTTATTTCCAAAATTTAAGTGAATGCACTCAAATGAAGGTATCAGCACTCTTGCTAATATGATGCACAACTTTCCTTAGGAATCTGTGCTCAAATTTTAATACTTATATCAGCCTAATTTGCAATGACTCAAAAGATTTGTCCTAATCCAGTCTTTATCTTATTTGCTGCTTTTTAGCAAATCTAATGTGAAAGCAATATGACAGATCACTGCAAACATTAATGATACAGTAGGTCTCAAAAATAATCAACCAGGGTTAAATTTTTATAGGAAGATGATTGATGTCTTGCAAATTAGCATCGAAAAACGCTAAATGAAACTTTTCAACATTTTTTGAATATACTCACGAATTTAATTAAGCGAAAGTATCCAAGGTATTGAATTTTTTTGATGATAAGATCAAAGCTTGAGTGGAAATGTACCTAAATAATAAAAAATTGATCGATAAAAAGCCAACTTGATGACCTGAGGTCACAAAAACCGAAAAATACGCTGAAAAATTTCATGCAATAAAAAGTTCTTTACGATATTTAATTTGTGTCGAAAAGGCCTTAATTTAAATGAAAATAGCAAACTTCGTTCGAGGCGAAATCGAATTCCTTTTGTTTGATTAAAAAGTTTCTTCGATGGACGTCATCCATTGGAAGATCATTTAAAAATTGCGTGCAAAGCACTAAGTTAGCTGTTGGTTAACCATTGATAGTTATTCCTCAATTCAGTGTCTAACCTGACAATGCTCAACGAGTAGCTGATCTTATTTTAGATTTGAAAACTAACTTGTATGAATTTAGCAATGACAAGTCATTCAAAGCCATTCAGATGTATCCAATAATAAAAAGATTCATTCAAATGTTCTCGAGTGCGTGAAAAGCTGGAAACATCTGAATCAATTTGATAAAGTTATCCGGCTCATTGAGCCGTTGTATAAAATATGTTCTTCGAATTAAACTTCACGTTTATGAGTCGCACGTTTTTAAATGTTGATTCAATTGAAAATGTTGACTTATTTTCAATAACTTATTGCACAAAACACATTAAAAACTGGTCAATCAAAAAAAGCATCACCAAACTTTGAAATATACGTTTTCAATCTTGCAATAAGTTTATCATCAGTTACATCTACAAAAGAAAGTACAATCGAGGTCGATTACTGTCCGCTCAAAAGAAGCAAGTTTTGGTATTCGGAGGGATCGAACGAATATCGAAATTAGCATTTGCTGAAGTTGTTGATAAAAGGGATGAGAAATCTCTAAAAAAAGCAATGGAAAAATAAATTCTTCCAGGGACAAACATTTATTCTGACGGATGGAAAGCTTATCAAAATTTATCAAATTATAACTTTTATCATCATGATTCAATGAATCAGTCTAAGAATTTTTTAAACTCACTTGACAAGAGCGTCCATACTCAGACAATCGAAAGAAAATAGAAGGCGGTAAAGGAACATATTCGCAAATCATCGAATGGCCAGAATCGAAATGATCATTTGATTGAGTTTTTGTGCAATTCTAAATCTCATAGCAAAAAAGAACCGAAACTTAACTTGGAAACTACCGTCCAACATTTAAAAAATGATCCATATTCCTTGGATTATCTTAATGTATATGATTATGATGGTTACTACATAAGTAAAGTTAATAATTTAAGTAAATTTTCTTGTTAAATTTTATGTCAAATAAAATAAATCTTATCTTGTCAGATTGTCTAACCTTTGGGGACTAGCATGGATTGAAATGACAGGCTGATAGATAGACGTTGATGAATGTTAATCCAATGGCCAGAAAAATAGATATAACGGCGAAAAAAGTGAATTTCAATTACATCATGAATCTAATTTCAAATAATTTTATGATTTCGAAACATACTTTCGTTTAACAAAAATTTAGTTGGCCTTATTAGCTTTAAATGATTAACTTAAGGTGACTTATGTTTTACAGCAACTAGGACTATTGCAACTGACTATAGTTAGTCTCTCTATCACATGCCAACTATCTTAAATATCCGAATCTTCATGAGGACTTTACTAGTTACTTTTTACTTTCAAATTTAAGTACAATTGTATTATAAGTGACTCAAGGTATCATTTGCTAATAACAATTTTCTCATGCAAGTAATTATTTCCATCACAATTAGATCACTAAAGCTAAAGCTCGACGATTAACCTTCTATGTCACATGTTTATTTGATGTTCATGGAACGTGAATATTTTTCCCAATCTTAACAGAAATAATTATTTAACAGAATTAACATCGCTTTAATAATTCACTAATTACTGTCAATTAATTATTGTGAATATAATTAATTGACATTTTCCTGAATGAATTTCATTGCATTCAGTCAATGCTAACCAGTTAATCTTATCAACCAGAAAAAAAAGAAATATAAATAAAATCAAAACAAAAAAGTTTTATTCAATTTGCAACTTTCAACTCAATAGTAACAGTTGAACTCAAAATTTTAATAGAACTGAATTATTATACAACAATATTAATACAAAAAATCTGAAAATGGTAGCTGAAAATGATAAAAGTCTCAAAGTATTGTTTACTGCTCTGTTTAGGTAAGTTTAATTTGATCTTGAATTCACATTACATTGTATTTTAATTTTAAATCTTCAAACAGTCCTGGTCATCTGAATGCATGTCTTGGTATCGGTTTGTTGCTTCATAAACGAGGTCATCAAGTTTATTTTGCTCATCTTCCTAAGCATCGCCCAATCATCGAAAAACATGGATTCGAGTTTATTTCACTGTTGGACTATGCTGAACCCGAATTTCCAGTTATGGAATCTGTGCCAGCAATGAAAGATATTATGAAACCTGAGTTTGAAAAGGCGCTAAAATTTACACCATTGGAGCTTTTAAAAGATGAGTCTAAGAGCCATCCTTTTATTGGCATGATCAAAGGATCAAAAGGTGATAATTATGCCATGATGAAGATCGTTAAAGAGTATAAGCCCGATGTTTGTTTGGCTGATTACCTCTTCAATATGCCTTGGATGTTTGCTGTCGATTGTCCAACTATTCCTGTAAAGTCTGTCAATCCTATCGAACTGTATAATGGACCACCTCCTCGTTCAGGGTATTCAGTTCATGACCCACCAACTGTTTGGGAAGAGTTTAGGCGATTGGCCAGTAAATCTGAATCAGAAATGGAAAGTGAAGTTGAAAAGTTGTTCGCTCATTTCAATATTGATCCTAAGCCGCAAAACTATGCTAAAAAGTTGGGAATCTACATTTATCCTGGCCCATTGGATTATCATGAATTTGGTCTACCAAAAGAAAACTGGGTTCGTCTTGACTCATCCATTCGCTCACCAGAAACATTGAATTTCGAAATACCAGAGAAACTTGAAGATAAACCAGGAAAATTGATCTATGTCTCAATGGGAACATTAGCTTCTGCTTTAACTGAATTACTAACCATGATATTGACTCCATTGGCCAACTCACCTCATCGTTTTATTGTTTCAACTGGTGTTAATGGTGACTCAATCACGCTATATGATAACATGTGGGGAGACAAATTCGTCAATCAAGTGGCTCTTTTACCCAAAGTCGATTTATTCATAACTCATGGAGGAAGTAATTCTTTGATTGAAGGATTAGCTGCTGGTAAACCCTTGATAGTTATTCCTCAATTTTGCGATCAACTTGATAATGCTCAACGAATAGCTGATCTTGGTTTAGGTGTGAGGATAAACTTGCATGAATTTAGTGGTGAGAAGTTACTGAAAGCCATTGAAGACGTGCTCAAAGATGAAAAGATTCATTCAAATGTTGCTCGAGCAAGTGAAGAGCTGAAAAAATCTGATTCACGAGATAAAGTTATTTCTCTTATTGAACAAATTGCTAGAAACTAATCTCCCATAATACCAACATGTAAAGCAATATTTTTGTTTTAACTGAAAGCTGCCTAAAACCAACCAGCTTAAAATACGAAATAAACTCAATTATATGAAAGTTCACATGATAAAACGCTGTTAACTTTTATTAGGGTATTGCTCTCGGCCACAATACCTCTAAAGTTAAAAAATTTCTTACCATTTCTCCTAACTCGGTAAACCAAACATTTCCATCACCATAAGATCTTAAAGTAAAGCTCGGTGATTAACCTTCTTCGTTTCATTCACATGTCTACCTGATGTTCATGGAACGTGAATATTTTTCCCAATCACGCTTTACCAGAATTAACTTTCATTTAAAATTCCCTAATTACTTAACACCGAAGCAACATCAATGTTGTACATTTTCAAGTCTAACATAGATACAAGCAAGCCATGAATGACTGAACAGTTTTACAGATTGATAATCTGTACTGCCCCCTGGTGTAGTCATATTTAGCTCTTTTCAGGGTTGGTCCCTTACAGTATTATTTTGTGTTATTTTTTACAAAGTATTATTCAGTTTACATTAGATTTTTCTTTCTGTTTCCAGATTTTAGTGATTACTTCCAGATTCCATTATTACTTGATCTTCCTGATTTATTGTCCTATCTTCCTGTTCCATCCTGTTTACCATCCAGTTGATCCATTCAGAGAGTATTTTCCATTTTCTCCCATCCATTGTGTCAATATTCCATTCCTTTTTTTCCCTTGGCATCTGGAGTATTTCGTCCTGTGTAAGGTAATCTTCTCTTATCCTACTCACTTCCTTACATTCCATTAGCATGTGTTTCATCCCCCAATCATTCCCGCAGATACATTTTTGGATTCTATTGTCCATCCTTCTCATTTGATAGAATCTATCTTTTCTTATTACTTTTCCTTCTGGATATAATAGAGTCCATATGCTCTTCTTTGATATCCACCACTCTTTGTATATATTTATTGCTTCTTTGTTTATATCTTCTCTTATTTTATATTCTGTTTCAGGTCTTCCAATTTCGATTTCTGCTGCATCTAGAAAGGTTCTTGGGACTTCATCACTTCTCATCCATTTCCAGTTTTTGTTTTTAATTTTTCCCATGGATTTGATTATCTCTTTTGAGAAATTACTCTTTGTATGTATACTTTGCTCCATTTCTTTAGTTATCATTATGACTCCATCTTCTCCATTTTGATTCATCATTTGAACTATGATTTTTATTGCAGCTACTTGTGTTTCTTGGATGGATTTTATTTGATTTGATTTGAAGATCTTGGTATATACCGTTGTTTCCCCTTTTTTCTGGATTTGATACTGGAACCAACTTGAGCTTCTTTGAGTTATTATGATCCACTTCTTTGGTCCTTTTTGGTAGGTTTCTCTTTCAAGAAACTCATTGCACATTTGATTTGTGCATTTTTCTGATTTTCTTTTGATTTTAATACTTTCTTTTATGATATTTATTATATCTTTATAGTGCCCTTCTAGCAGTAGGATTTTTCTTGAGAATCTCTGCGGATAACCTTGCATTATCTTGATTGAACCAAGTATGTGATCAATTATGACATCCACTCTTCTTGAGAACATCTGTTCATTAGCTGCCGTCAACAGGAACGATAGTGATCCTTTTTTTATTTTTTGTATTATGTATGAAGATGTAGTAAGTAGTTTTGCTTTCTCAGGTAGAAATCTTATTTCAGGTTTATGTTTCCATCTTTCAATTTCAGCTGTCTTCTGTGTACTCATGATTCTTTTGTATTGTGAGATACCTTTTCCCGTCAGTCCACAGATAGGTTCCCCCAATATCTTCAGCTTCCCTTTTTTTATCTCTTTGAGGTCATATATCTCAGTCTTTTTCTCATTGATTTCCAAGTTAACTTTCTTCATTGACTCAGTTATTTCTTTCATGGTTTCTTCCTTGTCATCAGTTATCAGTATGATATCGTCTGCGAAGGCTTTAACCATTTTTACTCTTTGATTTATTCTTCTGAGTATATCATCTATCGAAATTATAAACATGAGTGGTCCAATGGACGATCCTTGTGGGGTTCCTTCTTCTTCTTTTTTGTATTTGGTTTTCTTATCAACATTAATTTTAAGCCATCTACTGTTGGCTATTGATCGTAATAGTCCATATGTTGATTCTCCGCAATTTGATTTTATCTTTTCCATTGCTATTTTGGTGTTAACTTTATCAAAGGCCTTTGATATATCTAGTTTTATCAGCCATTCCTTGTAGTTCATCTTTTCAATATTTGTTATTATTTCATAGATCATTTCCTGTCTGTTTGTATCTGCAATATAAGCATATTGTATTGTTGAGTCAACCATATCATCTATTTTGTTTAATAATCTTTCTGCTATTATTTTATCTAGGATTTTCATCAGGTAGTTGGCTCCTTTGATCATACGGGCATTCTGGTTGTCAGCTTTTGGAACAAACGCACAATTTAATGTGGATACACACTCTGGTATGTGAGAGTATTGTATTATTGTTCTGATTACTAACAGTATTTCACTTTTGTTTTTTTTCATGAACTTTTTCCAAGTGGTTTTCGTAAATCCATCCGTTGCCAGACTGGATGATTTGCTCTTAAAGTTCAGGACCATTTCAATTTCTTTTTTACTCATTTCTCCTTTGATATTGATTGGTAAATCTTTATAGACAGGTTTCTCAGTTGTAAAATCCTTTATCTGGTTATCCCTAGACTTGATCATATCTTGATTTAGACCAGTTTTCCTCATACTAAGGTATTCTTTGATTATCTTCCATAGCTGTTTGGATGTTTTGGATTCTTTTATCTTTAGCTGAATACTTTTTGATAATTTCAGTATTTTCTTACTCTTATCTATTCTGATCTATCTACCATTATTTTCTGGAAAATTAATTATTTGTTTACACATTTTTATTATCGGGCTGTTTTTTCTCCATCTTTTTTCCATTTCTTGTTTTGTGTTACACTTCCAGTTGAGTTTCCATGAGTTTATCTTCAATACTCTCTCCATCTTTGGATTTCTTTTGTTTAGTATAATCTTGGCTTGAACTGCTTTGTGATCTGTTAGGGCGATCTTTATTATTCTTATCCATCTGATGTTTAAATTCTTGCTTGTTATAATTAAGTCCAATACAGTTCCTGATCTAGAGTATGTTGCTATTTTATTATCATTCGCTATTTTTAGGTCATAGCTCTCAATAATACTCCTCGTTGTATTCCCAATGTGTATAGAGTACCTGTGGAACTGTTTTTCTGACCATAGTTCATTGGTTGCATTTAGATCTCCCATTATTACTATATTTTTTCCTTTGGATCTTCTGAGTATTTGTTGGATAGCTTCAAGTTGTCGATAGGCCAGTTTTAATTGTTCCTTATTGAAGCATCTTAAATAGCATGCCATCACTATTGTATTTACTTCTGTTAGATGTACAACTATCAGGCACTGTATTTCCATTTCGATTCTTTCCCATTTGATATTTTTGGATATAACCAGAGCCATTTCTTTGTTCTGAATTAAACTTGAGTTTGTATTGACTTCAATCATTGCTGATTGATTTATTTCACAGATACATGTACAGGAATTTACTAAGTATTCCGTTTGGTTGATAATTCTTTTAGTAATACTTTTTATTTTATTCACATTTATTGTTGTAAATAGCATCTTTCTAAGACTGTGTTGACAGTTTGATCTTGTTTCTAAGATTAATTTCTTAACTTTCTCATTGTGTCAGGAAAAGGAAATCCAATTTTTATTTTGGTTGAGGAGGGTGATTTGTTTTCCCCTGTTTTTACTTTTTTATTGGTTTGTCTCTTGTTGATGTTTTCATCTTATATTATTTTTTTTTATTATACAGATTAATTTATTTGACGTTTTCATCTTTTATCTTTAGTCTCTTTGTTTTTCAGCATGATCTTAATTCTCCAATCTTCATGATTCATCTGTGGAAGGACGATTTCTGGAGAGTTCTGTGGTTAATCCCATCCTGTTCATAATTTTCATTTTGTTATCATTGACCATCGGATATGGTTTCGATAGATCGATTTTCCTCGGATCCATTCTTCTATCAGATTGGATCTGGATTTTTATTTTTAAGTACGCCAATTTTTAATTAGCTTTAATTGCTCATTGATTGTTGAAGTTTTCCACTTCCATTCTAATTACTCATTTATTTCTCATTTTATTTTCCAATTTAAAGATTTTCATTTTGCAAAGTTTGGAGATTTGATCCAGATTTTGTTATCAGATTCTTATTATATATCTGAGGTAAGTGTTACCTTTTTATTTTTATTATTAATGGTTAATATCTATTATTGTTTGTTAATCACTTCTTTTCTTTTATATTTTTCTTCAGAGATTTCTTCTTGCCATGTTAAGTTCTGGTTCAATTAATAAGATTATCTCTGGTACCCATGTTACCAATCCATTATTCCAGATTTTAGCTATAAATGGTTTAGCTAATGATGATTCTCATTATTATTGTTATTTACACGATGGAACTAACTTATTTATTCCTTGTGTTGTTCCAAATCTTCCGGAGATATCTTTGGTTAAAGATTCAATTATATTATTAGAGAAATATTCTTATAATTACTACATTTCTCTTAAACAGACTCTCCTTGAGATATCCAGTTTTAAGCTATTACCTAGCTTAGTTACTCCTCAAGCTACCTTACCTGATGCTAATTCATCAGATATGTCTCCTGTTAATTTGACAGCTTCAGTTCCTGGTGTTGAACAATTGCTGGATAATCAGAATTTTTCTGGTCAAGCTGGTACTTCTCATGATGATGAGGCTAGTGTTCATAGTCTTCCCACCAATTTAAATTCTGCTTCTTCTTCTCGATCAAGATGCCGTTCTGTGTCTGACTTTCCCATTAATTTTGTCTCTGCTTCATCCTATTACTCAAAGAAGCGTAAACTTTCCAAGACTGACAAGATTTATCATATTGGTGAGTTATTCTCACAGTCATTCTGGACAATTCGTGGACGTGTCTTATCTAAGGGTTCATTGGGAACTCTTACATCAACTCCCGGAAGTCATTGGTTTTGATTTGAACTGGGTGACGTTTCTGGTACAATAAAGATCAATGCTTTTGGGGACAAATGTGACGAATACTTTGATATGATTCAGTTGAGTAAGGTTTATTCTGTGAGCCGTGGAAAGCTAATATCAGCTAATAGAAAGTTTAATCAGACTGGCCACCCTATGGAGATTAGTTTGACTGCTGATAGTTATATTTCAGAGTTGTCTAGCTTCAATAAGATGGATTTTCCCATGATTACTTACAATTTTAAAAAGATTATGGATTTAAAGGATGTTTCACCTGATTCTGAGATCGACACCATAGGAGTTTGTATCGACTCTCATCTCTTCCATAATAATTCTCAGAGATCTATCTTAATATTGGACGATTCTCTTGCTGAGATTAGAGTCTCAATCTGGAATCTATCTCCTGAGAAATTTAATTCTCCTTTAATCTCCATTATTGCTTTTCGAAGGGCTAAAATGACTCATAAGCGTTTTGGCAGATTTTTAACTGTTTCTGGTCGCGCTACAGTTGAGATAAATCCTGATATACCTGAGGTTGCTCCTCTTGCCGAATGGTATTCTCTCCATGGTGATCGTGCTGTAACTACTTCTTTGACTAAAGGAGTTTTTGGCGATATTTCACTTATTAGTGCTCTTCCAGTTGATCTTATGGATGACCAGGTCATTTATACTAATTTAGATGTTACCATTAGTGATATTTCTGGTCTAATTTACCAGTCTTGTGCTATCTGTTTTCATAAGATTAAATTGTACAAAGGAGACATTCCCGTCTGTGAAACCTGTATGGATACCGAACCTGTTTTGATTAATCAGCTAGTTTTAACTATCCATGTTTATGATGCTTCTGGTTCTGCTAGCTTGGTTGCTTTCACTAGCACTGCTTTGGAATTGCTGGATAAGGATATTGACGATCTTTCTACTCTTGACGAAGAGCTATCTTCTCTTTTGGAAACCTTCAATGAGAAGAAGTTCAAATTTAATATAAAGACTCGAAAGACTACTTTTCATGTGCTTGTAAATATGATAATTGATCTTTCCCTGTACAGGAGCCTTCTGAAAGAGATTTGATTATTATTATCGTATTAGTTGCTTTGAATATTCATCATAAACTTACAGTCGAGACAGTTTCATTAATCCATGAACTTGATATTATATAATCAATATCAAATGATAGTGATGCTGAATATAATCAATTGACATTTTGAAAAATGAATTTCAGGGCAGCGTGTCAATGTCGATATATTGCATACTAAAAATTTAATTTGCCCTTTTAATTATCAATTTCAAATTCATAAGAAGCCTAGTTTCTGTGAAATTCAGCTATGCTAATCTGTTAATAAATTTGTGTCCGTGAGTTACCAATGTCAATACTGCTTTAAATTGTTTGGCCAAATTTCTACCTTGCAATGAACTGTTCAGACTTATTCCAATGAAAAACCTTTCGAATGCAAAACAAGGTATGACTGGTAAAGTTTTAGACAAATTTTCAGCATTGATTTGAGACAGTTTGACTAGACTCACATGCACCATTAAATAATTAAAATCAAGTTGAACTTTTCAAAAATACGTTGTGAAAAAATGGATTAATTTTGATCAAAAATTGGCAATAAATAGATAAAGGCGACAAAATCTGATTTTGCCTTTCGTCAAAAATCTTATATTTTCAACTTGTTTTGGAGAATCGAAAAATGGCAAAATTTGACCTCAAAGCTGTTAAAGAATGTGATTCGCCTAATATAACTCAACATAGATTGAATGAAAGGTTCAGATCACTATCGAAACAAAATTTCACGGACATTTGGTAAATTTTAACAAAAATATGGTGCTTTTGGCAACTTACAATGGATTATAATTATTGATTTTATAAATATTATATCATTCAATGATATTAAATTTTCAATGCGATAAATTTTTTAGGCTATCAGATAAGGAGTCATTAAAATACACTTTAACTTTCGATTTCGTACTGGTTTTGTACCATTGATAATATTTTTCATTGCCTTTTGCTATTTGTAACAAAAACCTTGAACAATATCTAATCAAAGTTACTAGTAATTACTTTATTTGTTTAATCTACATAAATGTACCTTTCTTTTTTGTTTCCTTACACCAAAGCCACGTGAATATTTTTCCGTATCATGCTTCATCAGGATAGACTTTACTTTAATAATTCACTAATTACTTCACACTAAAGCAACATCAATGTTGCAATTAGTGAATCTAAATATGATAATTGGGATTTACTGAAGCCTTTGATTCAAAGAGATTTGACTATCTTTGACGTTTAAGTTGATCCAAATATTCATCTTATTCCGATACAGTTTTATTTGATCAACTGATAGTGATACTAAATATAATAAATTGAAATTGTGATAACTGAATTTCAGTGCATTAAGTCAATGTTAACCAGTTATTCTTATCAACCAGAAAAAAAGAAATATAAATCAAATCAAAACAAAAACGTTTTATTCAATTTGAAACTTTCAACTCAACAGTAACCATCAACTTCAAAGTTATTAAGCAAATTATAAAGAATCTGAAAATGGTAGCTGAAAATGATAAATGCCTCAAAGTATTGTTCGCATGTTTGTTTACGTAAGTTTTATCTGTATTTTGATTGAAACTTTTTAATTATTTTATCTCGATTTGAATCTTTTCCATGTAGTCCTGGTCATTTGAATTCATGTCTGGGTATCGGTTCGTTACTTAAGCAAAGAGGCCATCAAGTTTATTTTGCTCATTCTCTTAAACATCGGTCAAATATTGAAAACCATGGATTCGAGTTTATCTCATTGGAGGACTATGCTGAACCCGAATTTCCCATAATGGATTCAATGCCTACAATTGAAGATAATATGAGACTTTTATTTGAAAAATCGCTGGAATTGACACCATTGGAGCAATTGAAAGATAAGAAACATCCTTTCATTGAAATGATTCAAGGAGCAAAAGGTGAAAATTATGCTCTGATGAAGATTGTAAAGGAGTATAATCCTGATGTTTGTTTGGCTGATTACCTCTTTAATATGCCTTGGATGTTTTCTGTTGATTGTCCAACTATTCCTATCAAGTCAGTCAATCCAATTCAACTATATAATGGTCCACCTCTTCGTTCAGGATTTTCAGTTCATGACCCACCAACTGTTTGGGAAGAGTTTAGGCGATTGGCCAGTAAATCTGAATCAGAAATGGAAAGTGAAGTTGAAAAGTTGTTCGCTCATTTCAATATTGATCCTAAGCCGCAAAACTATGCTAAAAAGTTGGGGATCTACATTTATCCTGGCCCATTGGATTATCATGAATTTGGTCTACCAAAAGAAAACTGGGTTCGTCTTGACTCATCCATTCGCTCACCAGAAACATTGAATTTCGAAATACCAGAGAAACTCAAAGATAAACCAGGAAAGCTTATCTATGTCTCAATGGGAACACTGGCTTCTGCTTTGCCTGAATTACTAACCATGATATTAAACCCATTGGCCAACTCACCTCATCGTTTTATCGTTTCAACTGGCATTAATGGTGATTCGATTAAGCTTCATGATAACATGTGGGGAGACAAGTTTGTCAACCAAGTTGCTCTTTTACCCAAAGTCGATTTATTCATAACTCATGGAGGAAGCAATTCGCTGATAGAAGGTCTATCTGTTGGTAAACCATTAATAGTTATTCCTCAATTCGGTGATCAACTAGATAATGCTCAACGAGTAGCTGATCTTGGTTTGGGTGTGAGGTTAAACTTGCATGAATTTAGTGGTGAGAAGTTACTAAAAGCCATTGAAGATGTGCTCAATGATGCAAAGATTCATTCAAATGTTGCTCGAGTAAGTGAAGAGCTGAAAAAATCTGATTCAAGAGATAAAGTTATCTCGCTCATTGAACAACTTGCTCGAAACAAGACTCTGTGTTAAGCTGTTTGCGAAGATGTTGTAAAATAAGGAATAAAATCTACATGTATCTTTCATGTATCTGCTCATGCAAAATAAAGTTTTTATATTATTATTTAATACGAAAGTTGCGTCTCCAAAAGTCTTTATCTCTAACATTCAAGATCTCAAACTTTCTCTTGGCTTAGCCGTTTTGAGATTTTAGATCAAAGTGTGCAATAATTTACGACAGTAAGTACAAAAAATTTCCTTTTGACGTTAAGAGCTGAAACTTTGTGGGTTTTTGCGGTCATAAAAATTGAGTCCATTAGAGGTATTTAAAAGTTTCTTCAATCGACAGTTTTCGAGAAAATCGAGTCCAAAATACAAACTTCTATCGGCTTTGGTACAGCTGTGATTTTTTAACTGTTAATTTAGCTTCGATGGCCATCCAGGAAATACAATTGTTTTGCAAAATAAAATTTCCTACTTCTGTGCAACACATTCCTTCGATTTCCGATTGAACCTGGTGCTTCGAATCATGATAACAGTAATCAGCTTAAACTTGTTTTTCGTCGATAGAAATGATTGGTGAACATCAACGATGGAACACTATTTACACCAAGAATTATTATCATCTTAAACTTAAAAAATGCCCACATGAAATTCCCTAAACTCAATTCGCATCAACCAAGAAACGGGTTATAATCATTGAAAAATTATAAAAAGCCATTGCTATAACATTCCAATAATGTCCATTAAGCAACTAATCACAATCAAATATGAGCATACTTACATATTGTTAGTCTTGTCTTTAAATATGAGTTACCATTTCAAGCCTTTATCCAGATAAAAGCTTGTAGATTGTATCAGATGTAGATAATCATGGATAACTAATTAGTAATTACATTTTGATTTCCATGATTTTCCTCACGTAATACATCAATGAGTAACAAATCACTCATTTATTACAAATGATAATCTAACTTTTGTGTTGTCTAGACAACACAAATTTTCCGATTTCACCTAAAAGTTTGCCAAGTTGCTTTCAAACCAGTTTCTAAACTTGATTTGCCAACAAATATTGACAGAACCAAATATTCAACTTCTACCATTCACCACCAACACCTTAACCTGTGTTTCAAAACTCAACAGCCATGGATGATGCTAACAAGCCACTCAAGATATTGATGACATCAATGATCGAGTAAGTAATACATAAAGATGGTTGAATTTCAAAAGATAATAACAATTTCTCTACAGTTTTGGTCATCTCAACTCGTGTCTAGGAATTGGTTACCTTTTGGTTAAACGTGGTCATCAAGTGTATCTCGCTCATTTCCCAAAGAACAAGTCAATCATTGAAAAACAAGGAATAAAATTCATTTCACTTTATGATTATGCCGATGAAGGTGCACAGTTGAGTGATGCCGTACCTCGAAGTTCAAGCAATTTTAAGCCTCGTTTTGAGCGGTCATTGAAAATGGATCCACTTGAGGCTCTCAAAGAACAGATTGCAACTGGTTCCATCAATACTGGTTTTGTCAACATCCTTGAAAGATACAAAGCTGAAAATGTTGTTATGCACAAAATTGTTGATCAACTAAAGCCAGACATTTGTCTCTGTGATTACCTTTACCCTTTACCCTGGATGTTCACAGTCGACTGTCCAGTTATACCAGTCAAGTCAACCAATCCAGTTGGTCTTTACCGTGGTCCACCATCAAACTCGGGATATTCTGTTAAAGATTCAACAGAGCTTTGGGACGAGTTTAAAGCTCTCAATGAAAAAGTAAACCAACCAATTTTGGATAAGGTTAATGAAATTTTTCAACTATTCAATGTTCAATTTATCCACCGAGATCATGTTAAATACTTTGGAATCTACATCTATCCTGGCCCATTGGATTACCATGAATTGGCTCCACCAAAAGAGAAGTGGGTTCGACTTGATTCAGCTTTACGAGAACATGATGCAACTGAGTTTGAGTTACCAGAGAAACTGAAAGATAAACCAGGAAAATTGATTTACATCTCAATGGGAACTTTGATCTCAGCTGTAACTGAGCTACTAACCATGATATTGACTCCATTGGCCAACTCACCTCATCGTTTCATCGTCTCAACAGGCCCTAATGGTGATTCGATTAAGCTTCATGATAACATGTGGGGAGACAAGTTTGTCGATCAAGTTGCTCTTTTACCCAAAGTCGATCTATTCATAACTCATGGAGGAAGCAATTCGCTGATTGAAGGCTTAACCGCTGGTAAACCATTGATAGTCATTCCTCAATTCGGTGATCAACCGGACAATGCTCAACGAGTAGCTGATCTTGGTTTAGGTGTGAGGTTAAACTTGCATGAATTTAGTGGTGAGAAGTTACTCAAAGCGATAGAAGATGTGCTCAACAATAAAGAGATTCATTTAAATGTCGCTAGAGTGAGTGAAGAGCTGAAAAAATCTGGTTCAAAAGAAAAAGTTGTTACGCTTATTGAAAAACTTGCTCGAAACAAAAGACTTTGAATTCCAATCCATGCAATATATAAAGTTAAAACCTCAAATTTTTGTGTAAAAATTGTAACTGCACGGAAAGGATTCTAAGGGAAATTTTTGCACAGACTGAAACCCACGATTGAATTACATGTCCGAAAAATAGTCAGAGATTAATCAGAATTCAGGTTATTGGGAAATTCACGTTTAAACAGGGTATGGAAAAAATGCAGAATTCGTATTTTGTATTAATAGCATTGTGTTTGGGGGAAAAACTTTTTGGTTATTTAATTTACTTGTTTAGGTTTAGTTAATTTCACTCATAGTATTAGCTGTAATAAGTCATCTAAGAAAAATTTATTTGTATTGGTTTTTCGGACGAAATGTTTTTTCTGGTTTTGTTCAAACCAGAAAAAAGCAGCTCCAACGAAAAAATTTATACGAAAGCCCTGATTATACTTCATTCCCTAAGAAATAGGAAGCCTAACTTCAGAGTTCAGATTTACAAGAAATGCACCACAATTTTTCTTGAAGGCAAAATTCAGAATCTGTATTGAATGACTTTGTATGAGGGGAAAAAACTTTTTTGTTGTTCAAGTTGATGCTTGTATGTTGGACCATAATTTTATGTAAAACTTTGTCTTTCGTGTTAACAGTTTGGTAAGGAAATCTGGTACCTCAACTGCCCAAAAGGAGATCTATCAATATTGCTAAGCTACAAGAAATAATAATTGAAAATTGTATTTAATTGTCAAGCTAAGCTTTAATTGAAAGTGTTGATATGTTTTTGCAGAGTTTCAACTCATGCCTTTAAGGGCTTAGGAAATATATGGAATAAGAATGAAAAATGTGAATTCTTGACTGATTCTTGATATTTTGGGATATTTTGAAAGCAACATTGGTAAATGTGTTCTATGGAAAGATTGTCCTCAATCCAACAGCAACAGTTATCAATAACAAAAGTGTGAGTTCAATTACATTTTTGGTAAGGAAATCTGGTACCTCAACTGCCCAAAAGGTGAACTATCAATATGGATAAGCTGCAAGAAACAGTGATTGAAAATTGTCTTTGGTTGCTTCATTTACAAGCGAACTTCAAGTCAGTCGAACAAATCAATTTCCTTTACCTGAAACTTTCTCTGAAATAAGCAATAATAGAAAATTTAATTTGTGTGCTAGCTTCAAGGTGAGGCTTGAATTGAGTTGCGGTTTGCCAATTATTCGGTAGATTCGATGATAATAATGAAGTATCATAACATTAATAAATACTGATGCGCATTTTATTTGGAATGAAAAAGAGTAGATTAAGTTTCTCTTTGAAACATGATTCCTTCGACATTATTCAGATGAAAAGTTGGTTGGCCCAGCATCCAAGAGCCTCCTTTATCCGGACCATTAAAACATAATGAAAGTTTTATCAAACTTTTATAAAATGATAAATATGAATATTTTTACAGTTATTGTAGCTCTCAACTGATGATTCAAACACTTTATTTGAATATTTGTATTGACTTCATTACTCTTTGCTGAATAAACTTAATTAAAAAACAAAAAAACAGGTTAGTCATAAATCAAGAAACAAAACACGTCAATTAAAATATCTTCAAAAACAATACTCATGTCTGACGATTGCAATTGAAATGCAAAAACAATTTTTTCTGAGAAATTCAGATTCAATGACTAACCTAGAGATTAAAAAGCATAAATCAGTTATGTATTATTTATATTTCTAGTGAGACTGATGAACTTGCAAAACATTTTATAACTATGCTCAGACAATTAATCTTGCGATTTCATTTGAAAATTTAATGCTAGTGTTTAGATGAGTTTTTTCACAAAAAACACAACACACCACAAACATATTGTAAAATTCATGAGACAATTGGGCAAATATTGGTATGACATTTAAAGACTGTTGTATTAATGTTATGTCATATATTTCCTAAGCCCTTAAAGGCATGAGTTGAAACTCTGCAAAAACATATCAACACTTTCAATTAAAGCTTAGCTTGACAATTAAATACAATTTTCAATTATTATTTCTTGTAGCTTAGCAATATTGATAGATCTCCTTTTGGGCAGTTGAGGTACCAGATTTCCTTACCAAACTGTTAACACGAAAGACAAAGTTTTACATAAAATTATGGTCCAACATACAAGCATCAACTTGAACAACAAAAAAGTTTTTTCCCCTCATACAAAGTCATTCAATACAGATTCTGAATTTTGCCTTCAAGAAAAATTGTGGTGCACTTCTTGTAAATCTGAACTCTGAAGTTAGGCTTCCTATTTCTTAGGGTATGAAGTATAAGCAGGGCTTTCGTATAAATTTTTTCGTTGGAGCTGCTTTTTTCTGGTTTGAACAAAATCCTTTCCGTGCAGTTACAATTTTTACACAAAAATTTGAGGTTATAACTTTATATATTGCATGGATTGGAATTCAAAGTCTTTTGTTTCGAGCAAGTTTTTCAATAAGCGTAACAACTTTATCTTTTGTATCTGGTAAACCATTGCTAGTTATTCCGCAATTCGGTGATCAACTAGATAATGCTCAGCGGATAGTTGATCTTTGCTTAGGCGTAAGGATAAACTTGCATGAATTTAGTGATGAGAAGTTACTAAAAGCCATTGAAGATGTGCTCAATAATAAAGAGAATCATTTAAATGTCGCTCGAGTGAGGGAAGAGCTGAAAAAATCTGATTCAAAAGAAAAAGTTGTTACGCTTAGCGAAAAACTTGCTCGAACCTGAATATCACCAATTTAACAAGTCATTTGCACTCATTTTGTAACTGTTACTTAATAAAATCCATTACTGTGAGGTTAATGAGGTTAATAAAGGGTGTTAAGGTTTATTTCTTGCAAAGTAGGAAAAGGTAAAAGCGATCTTATCTGACAAACAAAAAATTCAAATTAAGTTTTTTCTGTGATTATAAGTGATTTTACTAGATTCTCGATTCGTATGAATTAAAGATTCAACATTCGATTGAGATTTTCCAAGTCAAGAATCATCCATGATCTTGTGCCGTCATTATTATTTACTTTACCTGATCTTGACTTATTTCTAAAAACTTTGTGTTCATTGGGTATCTTCTCATTCAGGAACAATTAAGTTGAATTGATTCTGCTAAAAAATGGGACCCTGGGACTTTTTTTGTTTTCAATAAGCATAAAAACTGAGTCCATTAGTGCTATTAACGAATTTCTTTAAAAAATTTCGGGAAAATCGAGGTCAAATTTGAGATTTCAAACGACTTTTTTATAGTAGTTGAGCCAGATTTTCATCTACTCATTTTTTGTGGTTTATCTTAAGATGACCAGCTAGAAATTGCACTTACTTCGGGAAATAAAATTTTCTGCTTATTTACAAGAAGCTTATATTTTTATCTTATATTTTCATATCTTATATATTTTTCGGCGTTGAAATAAAGCCTCCTCTTGCGACTTTGGACTGTTTCTGTAACATTGTATAACATAGTTTATTTCATTTCTAACTAAAAACCCTGAAATTTATCTAATCCAAATTATTATCCCTGCGATAGGATTAGTATTTTTTTGCTTAATCTTTAAGCGCCTAGTTTTTAGGCGTTTGGCTTAGTTTTATATCAACTATATAAGACTTATTTTTCATTTTATTCAGTTGTATTCGGGTGAAATCAAACGAAAATGGAAGAAAAAAGTTCATTAAAAGTTTTGATAACTTCAATGATTGGGTAAGTAAATGCTAAGTCTTTGATTAATTTATTCGTCTATTAAATTTTTCCTCTATTTTCTCAGCATTGGCCATTTGAATGCATGCATTGGAATTGGTTCGCTTCTCCGTAAACGCGGTCACCAAGTTTACTATGCCTATTTTGATGAATACAAGGAAACTATTGAAAAGAATGGATTTCATTACATCTCATTGTGTGAATACAATGATAAAAATTATCCCATGAAGACTGGAATGCCACCCAATCTTACTGAAGTATTTGAAAAACAGTTTGAGAAGACTCGTAGACTTTCAAGTTTGGACATTTTGAAGGAGTCTGTGAAACCTGGGTCCGGTGATGATGAGGTGTGTGCTTTCATATTTGAATCTGCTAAAGGTGAGAACTGTGCAATGTTGAACATCATTGAGAAGATAAAGCCCGATGTCTGTTTAGCTGATTATCTTTTATCTATGCCTTGGATGGTCAAAGCTTCATGTCCAGCGATTCCTATTATATCGTCATCACCGCTTGATCTGTATAGTGGTCCGCCAGCAGGCTCTGGATATTCAGTACATGATCCACCTGAACTTTGGTCTGAGTACCGTGAGTTGAAGGAAGAGTTTGAAAAGAATTTTGAAGTAAAAGCAAAGGAATTGTACACATTGTTTGATGTTGAATTCAAATCACAGCTTTATGCAAAGCAGCTAGGAATTTACATTTTCCCTGGTCCATTGGATTATCATGAATTGGGTCCACCAAAAGAAAACTGGGTTCGTCTTGACTCATCCATTCGAGCACCAGAAACAGCGAACTTTGAAATACCAGAGAAACTTAAAGATAAACCAGGAAAATTGATTTATGTCTCAATGGGATCACTGGCTTCATCTGTAACTGAATTACTAACCATGATATTAAACCCATTGGCTAACTCACCTCATCGTTTCATCGTGTCGACTGGCATTAATGGTGATTCAATAAAACTGCACGATAACATGTGGGGAGACAAATTTATCAATCAACTTGCTCTTTTACCCAAAGTGGATCTATTCATAACTCATGGAGGAACCAATTCTTTGATTGAAGGACTAGCTGTTGGTAAACCATTAATAGTCATTCCTCAATTCGGTGACCAACTAGATAATGCACAACGAATAGCTGATCTTGGTTTAGGTGTGAGGTTAAACTTGCATGAATTTAGTGATGAGAAGTTACTGAAAGCCATTGAAGATGTGCTCAACAATAAAGAGATTCATTCAAATGTTGCTAGAGTGAGTGAAGAGCTGAAAAAATCTGATTCAAGAGATAAAGTTATCTCGCTCATTGAACAACTGGCTCGAAATAAATCACTTTGAATATTAACACAATGTATTTCAATTTACAATAATTTTGTTTTAACTCAATGCCACCAGAATTTATTAAATTAAAACATATTGCATTAAAAAATATGAAATTTTTTTATATTAATGATTAGAATCTATTAATTCGAATAAATCGATTAAATTTCGAAGATTAACTTCCATGTTTCAATCACATGTTACTTTATGTTCATGGAACGTGAATATTTTTCCTAATCTTGTATAACACAACAAACACAATAAAGCAAAGTGCCAACTCTTAACTCGAAAATTTTTCTCACTTTACTCTTTTTGAAACTTTCCAGAATTGATTTCCATGTTTGTTTATAGCCAATCATTGGCCTCAGTTGTTAATACAAATGAAATTGATTCTTGTCTCATTTGAGGAAACGCAGCGAAAGAATGAAAATATTTTAATAATCCCAATTGATAATCTGATTCATAACTCATGGAGGAACCAATTCGCTGATTGAATGAGTTTTGTATTTTTCATCACTTGTTCATGTTTCATGATTACAAACAATTTTCAGGGTTTCAATGATTAAATGATAAAGCAAACGTTTCTTTAAAATTAATCACTGTTTTCATAGCAATTACTATTAGACATTCCCGAGTAAAAATAAGATGTGTGTCGCACTTGAAGGAAAGAATAAATGATATGGAATACTTATAACCGATATAGATATTCTTCGTTCAAAGACAAGATTCGTAATACAATCTTAGAAATTAATACAGATCTTTAGTTTCTTTTCTTAATGGCCGATTGATGATAGATTTAAAATATTTTCAAATGCTGTAGAATATTCAAATTGCTTTTTTATTGATTGAAAATTTTTACATGAAAGATAAATCGCAGGTTTATGTTTTTTAGTAATAGATGCATCTAGCTTTGATCATTGAGTTTTGTCAATACGAAAAAAAGAAAGATGTTGGGTCGATACAGCGTTTCAAAATGGAAATGATACAATATCGATTAATACACCACGACAGTAGTTACATGATGTAGGTCCGATATAAAGTAGTTTTTCAGATATTTCTGTGGCATCGATCAGTCGATGACTTGGGCTGATTGCGTCAATCTTATTGAAACCTTTTAAAGTACAACTCTGACCTGTTTTGGAATTCTTATATTTTATCTCCGATACTCTCAGGATTTGTACTAAAACTTTGATTAATTTAGTTTCTATATCAACGATACATAAAATTTTTCCAAATCTAATACAGTTATTGTCACGAAATTTAATGTAACAATCTTCGGTTTTTATCGATGTAGTACCGATATAGCTTCGATATAAAGTACTACCATGTTTTAAATTTCGATAGGTTTTAAGTTCTTTATCTTGGAACTGAGTGAAGAAACGTCGATATATCGTCGGTACATGCTGTTTACTTGAACCTGTTACTATCCAAAAATTTTCGGAGTGCTTGATCCCAGTCAAACTTGTGTAAAGTTCTGCTATTTCGCCGTTAAGGTTTAATGAATTTTTATCGAGAAAATCAATCAGACTCAATCTCATGCTTATGTTGTTCATTATCTGACTTGAAACACGATAAAATGAATGCTGTTTTCTCTTGAGAAATCCATAAAAAGTTTCTGGGTTGTAAGCTGAGTAAAAAGTTGGTGGGCCATAATTCTTTATCGAATCTGAAATCGTATGCAATAAATGAAAATTGATTGTCAAGAATCTATTAGAGAAAATTGAGGAAAAAATTTCACTGAAATAGTTTAGATTTTTCTTTATCGATGCTATATCACAATCGCTTATCACTCTACGATTTGCTTTCCGTATAGCGTCCACAAATGTGTAAATCATTTCAACTACTTTTGCAGACATGAAGTCACGAGCAACAACAGGTAAATAATATAAAATGAACATATGGAAGTCTTTAGCTTTCCATTGTTTCCAATCAGAAAGTCTCTTGGGCGCTTCATGGAATTCTGTCGGTGGTTTAATTTTGATTAAGCGCTCTTGAATACTCGCTCAAAACCTTTTTAAGCTTAAATTATTCGCTACATCGTCGCAAAAGAAAAGTAAATTTACCAATGTTTTACATACGCCTTCATCTACCGTATGCATTAAATCAACAGGAAAACTTTCAATCATGTCAAATCCTTCAACACAAGTTAATGGTGATTTTTTTGCTATGCCGTTGATACAGCGGCCTGATTGAGACAGTGTTAGCAATTGATGAGAAATTTGCATGATTTCTTTTCCTGATGCGATTGAAAGGAATGAATGGATAGTATCTATGTATCGGTGAATCAAGCTGTAGACTCTGCGTGATACATTTTGGACATCCCATGATCGCGTTATGATTTTTCATTCCCATTAACCAAGATTTTGCTGGTGTGTCGGCGATAAATCCACACAAAAAGACTTTAGAGTTTGTTTGTGTACCATTGATATGCTGTATCTCAATGCCATTTTCATTAAGTCTTGCTATATCTTCGATGAAGTTTTCTAGAAAAAACTCCACTTTAGGTTTACTTCTGCCATACCATAAATAACAGACAATTGGATTTTTATACCTCACATCAGCGTGAAGCTCATTAATATAAAACATTATCGGCCACAAACTTTTGAGTGTCTTATGCGGAAGACAAACTCCATCAGTAGTAGCGGTTACCGTTATTGCATCGCTATATCTATTCTTTACGTTTTTTATTATTTTTCCATCAATAATGTCTTTTATGCTGCTAGATTGGCTTCTATTTGATGATATAATAAAATTACTATAGCAGCGAAGTATCATTTCAATCTGTTCTTTGATTGGCAGCTTAATCATGAAGCGTTCGTTCTTCACTTGGTTTCGAACATTTACAGACTTTCCACATCTGCAATCAAGGAAAAGAAAGTCTTTCATTTGATCCTGTGATATAC